CTGAATTCGAATTTATCTCGTTATTAATATAAATATATATACTCCATCCAAAAACAAGCATTCTTAAAAGGTGCTCGCCTGTGCTACAAATATAGACCACCATACCTATTCTTCTTTTATCTCCACGCCTACTGATGTCAACTGAACGATTGATATATAGTCCTAGACATTTGACTGAAGTTACCTTAGAAGAGGGGGGATTAAGAATCACAGATCAATCGCTTGAAGTATTGCACGGAAACGATCATAATCACAATTTTTTATCAACATGTTTACAGACATATTCCAAGTCTGGAAACTTGGAGTCTCATATTCCATTTAAGAACATTATATGGTGTGAAAAAGCGACATCAGATGATTACCAGGACTTGTACGAATTAGCATACATGTACCATTCGTCACAATCGTTAAAACCAGAAACTATACAAATTCAAATTAAATCTATTGACCCTAGCCAAGTACACTTGACTTCAGAAAACAGTGATTTAAGCAAATACATACTTTCTCGTGCTTACAAAAATAGTTTGATTTCCCCATCAATACTTGTTATAATAAATCCACATGGGGGCCAAGGTAATGCTGTTCGTATATACGAGCAGAAGATTTTGCCAATATTGAAAGAAGCACATGTTAATATCACATATAAGGAAACCAAATACCAAGGCCATGGAATGGAAATAGCTAAGACATTAGACATCAATAGCTATGATATAATTGCATGCTGTTCGGGGGATGGTATTCCTCACGAAGTAATCAATGGGTTTTATCAACGACCTGATAAAGGATTAGAAGCGTTTAATAAGATTGCTGTGACACAATTGCCATGTGGGTCAGGTAACGCGCTTACTTTAAGTACACATGGAAGTAATGATGCTTCAATTGCAACATTGAATATGTTGAAATCTCAAAGAGGTAAGTTGGATCTTATGGCAGTAACTCAAGGTTCCGGCGATAAAGAAAAGACAAGCTTGTCATTTTTAACTCAATGCTATGGAATTATTGCTGATTCTGATATTGGGACTGAGCATTTAAGATGGATGGGTCCGATAAGATTTGATTTAGGTGTTACTTACAAGGTATTTAAAAGAAGTAAGTATCCGTGTGATATTTATGTGAATTCGGTAACTGAATCTAAACGAGATGTTTCTGATCATTTTGATCAACATTATAAAACAAATACTGGTCTTAAAACATTAACGGCTGAAGAATTCGAACTAAAGTATCCAGGATTGGATAAAAGTCCACCTGATGATTGGATTAGACTACCTGACGCAACAAGTGCTAACTTGAATATACTATATGTGGGAAAAATGCCTTATGTTTCGGATGATGCACAGTTTTTTCCTGCAGCTCTACCGAACGACGGTTCGATGGATATGATCATTACAGATACAAATATGTCAATAATTGAAACTACTTCTACTTTGCTTTCTGTGAGTAAGGGGACTCATGTTTACAGTGATAAAGTGCACCATTCTAAGATTTTAAGTTACAGATTAGTCCCAAAACTTACTAAACCTGAAAACCACTATATTTCTATTGACGGAGAGAATTTTCCAACAGAGGCATTGCAGGTAGAAATTATGCCGGGAATACTAACTGGCTTATTAAATGACGGCAACTTTGTTGATACATCTTTTTCCAAGTAGATAAAATATTTCATAGATTAACTAAGATATAAAATTTACTGATTTGGACTCTTGTAAAATTCCACGTCTGTGATTTTCTGGATCGATTTTATGTTTAGGTTGCAACCTTCTTGTTGTTCCAATATCATTCATATTTTCTTTTGAGTTGTGCGATTTCTGTATACTATCTTCCATGATCTTTGTTAACTTATCTAACATATTTTGGTAGTTATTATTTCTGTTTTCAACTTCTGACTGCAAGAGAATTTCATTCTCCAAATATTGACATATAAAATCTGAAATACATCGAGTAATGAATTGAATTATTGTTTCTATCGTGCTTATTTTACCTTGAGAAAATAATGTTTGTTTTTCTAACCCACAGTAAATGTTTTCAAAATATGCCCTAGATTCCTCGTACATCACAGGTTCCAAAGCATGAAAAGTTGTCACTACAAACCTTTTTAAAGCATTTGAAATTATTTCATTAGATTTCAAAACCATAAGATATTCTTTGGACATTATATCAACATTTTTGTTTGACTTTTTAATATGTTCTTGTAACAAATATAAATTAAGCTTACACTCTGTGTTGTCTTTAGCTAATCTTTTGTTTTCAACTGTAAGATCTTCCCTTTCTTCCTTCAAGGTCTTTAGCTCTTCAAGCATTAATATATTTTCCTGTTTCATCTTTGAATTAATGTCACTAAGCTCTGAAAATTCAGTTTGTTTTAAAGTTAATTGGTCATTTGCAATCTTTACTCCCTTTTGTAGCTGGCTTTCGGCTTCTTTCAATTTCATATTCAACTCGTTATAATCCTTTACCATTTGATTTCTAAACTCTAATTCTTCTTGTATTTGCTGATTGGCCTCTTCAATATCTGCAAGATATTCGGAAAGCTTGGCTTGTAAGTACTCTTTTTCTTCATTCAAAAAACTAACCTGGGACTTAAACTCGGAAATCTGAACATTTCTTTCATTAATAAGCTTGTTTTGTAGGTCAAATTTGCTTTGAGTAATTAAATCTGAACTATTTACTCTCGATTCTAATTCTTTCAGTTTGGTATCTAATCTCTTGTTTTCCTCTGTAAGTAATTCCAAAGCTTCATGTTTACGATCTAGAGTACTTTGTAGGCTTTGTTCTAATGATACCATTTTATTTTTCATCTGTAACTGTTGTTCGAGTAAGACATTATTTGCCTTTGATAAACTTTCGTTCTTAAGGAATAATTGTTCGATATAGCCTTTCAAAGCGTCTGCATTATCTGATAACTCCTCGCTACTATCATATTTGTCGATTAGAGATAAAAGATCTTCTCTGGAACAAATTTCTATTTGTAATCGAGAGACTGAAGATGAGAGATCAACCTCCAACTGTAGTACATCACTTCTAAGACATTTTTCGTTCCTCTCTAATTCATTATTTATACATAATAGATGATCGTATTTTTTTGAGATTTGTTCCTTCTCAATTTTGCAGCTATTAAATTCAGTATGTAATCTTGTACATTCTTCTTGTAGAATATTCATTTTATCAAATTTTTCATCATCTTTCTCCCTGATTTGACTCTTCAATTGTTTGATTTCAGCGTCTTTTAATTTTGTTGTCTCTAAGACTTTTTCTGAATAATCTAGTATGTCTCGTAATGACGTACGAGCATTTAAATTTTCCTGTTCATGATTTTCAACCTTCATGAGATTCTCCAAAATGATAGTCATCATTTGATATTCTTTGATACTTGCTTCTTCTTCTTCTTCTTCTTCTTCTTGATTTATCAATCTCTCGGTGTTTTCATTTGCTTTTTGATGATCTTCAATATAGTTTTCATGGTCTTTGTCTTCCGCTGAATATTCAGTAAACAAGCAACTGTTGTCAATTTCGCTTTCTTCGTATTCCTCCAAAGATCTAGGATCATGAGTGATGGATGTTCCTAATGGTAAAAAATTGTCATTTGAGATATCTCTTTGAATGCTTATGGGATTTTCAGGTTCCAGCTCTGAAATAATGCAGTCTTCGGAGAATAGTTCATATCTTTGCTGTATCTTATTTTCCTGGGATCTATGTAAGTTCATTTCATTACTATCTAATTGATTTTGAAACTCGCTTGTTTCTCCTAAATCTGATTGCGAGTAAGATAAAGGCTTCTCTGTGAACGTATTTTTTGTTTGAAATGACTCTGAAGTTCCAAATAAATTAGAAAGCGTAACCAGCTTCGAACTCATGTTGCATTTTTCACTAAATTCCTCTTGGGACTCGAATCGAACTGATTTTGGAACTTTTTTTCGTAGAGTGGAAAAGCTTGGACGTCTTGAGATATTAAATGATAAGCTTTTACTTCGCTTTAATGTGTTTGAACTATCGAATGGATCAATACTCAAATCTGCATTACCATTAGTTCTATTAATTTCTTCTTCAAGTACTGATTCTGCATAAGGAGTCACAAACGAATGTCGTCTCCTTAAAGTTGGTATATCAGATTTATTAATCTGTTCACTGGAACAATCAGTATGTTTAGAACTAGAATTTTCGGAACTGGCTTCTATATCAAATAAAGTTTCACCTTGTTTCTGACTTGTAGAAGATGCTGATAATGCTGGTAAGAATCGTTTAAACATACTTAGCTACATATACTGTTCTGTTTACCTATTGTTCTTTTTGCAACTTTTATTAGAAAAGCTGCGAAAATGTGGAAATTGTGGAACCACAAAAAGAAAAGTCTTCGTTCGATACTGTTTATTCACGATTACGCTACACTTAATTTAAAACATAGAAGACTAGAACATAAAACTTAATTCCGTTCATTGATTTAAAAGGTCCATCTTACCTCTTGAAACTAGTAAGGCAGTCTTCACAATTCAACAGAATTTACAGAATTGCTTGTCGTAATATTCTTACACAAAAAGGAAATAGTCAATGGTGATAATATTTTCATTACGATAATAAATAAGATTTAATTAGCCACCTTAAAGGTCAATATTAATAGTACAAGGAGGAATGGTCAACAAAGAAGTTTTTAATTTGTATTGTTAAACAATAGTTTTACTAAGTTATAAAAACTTCAATGATAACTTCTCAATAATTGGTTTCGTGGTCTAGTTGGTTATGGCATCTGCTTAACACGCAGAACGTCCCCAGTTCGATCCTGGGCGAAATCAGTTAGTCAGCGCAAATGGTTTAGTGGTAAAATCCAACGTTGCCATCGTTGGGCCCCCGGTTCGATTCCGGGTTTGCGCATATTTTTTTTTTCAAATTTATCTACCAAGTATTTGTTTAGTATATACGCTAACAGTTAGAGAAATATAGCTGTAACATTAAAATTTGATTCGTCAATGATTAGACACAGTGCTTAAGTTATGGATCGACATTTCAAGAGCTCTTTCTCGGTCAGCCCTTCTGATAGGATGAAGTATTTCTACAAGTTTCTTAGTTTGGAGGTAACGTTATTTATTACTAGTTGCTAGATACTAATGAATACAAAGTCTATATCTTCGTTAGTATATCCTCTTCGATAATAAGTTGAAAGCTTTTAAGAAATATTGAAACACTTCATGTAGGTGTTAGTTGATTTCAATTTAAACCCGAGACATTGTAAAATGGGTAAAATCATGACGATAACGCATGTATAATTCTAATCATATATGTTTTTCATATTACTTATAAGCAATGCACAAAGGTACTTTACATACATTCTAAATCTTATAACGTTCTTAAAAGAAAATAAATAAAATGGTTTGACTAAAAAATTCTTTTATAGGCTTCTCACCAGTATTTAAATTACACAAATATTCACAAATTTGCGCATAGGCATTTAGGGTTCCAGATAAATGCTTAAGAAATCAGTTATAGTTAGTACTCAATTTATTTTGATAATTCCTGAGCTCTCTGCACCAGTTGATTAAGATATCAACTCTATCGATTCCTGAGAAACCCTTGCTATCATCCATAGCTATTTGTGCCATATTGGCAGATTTCTGTGTAACACTGTTTCTATGAGAATTATCTGCGGTAGGCTCATTAACATTCATACTAGCAAGATTATTGTTAGATGCATTTTCAGCACGCTGTTCAGAAAATATTTGATCCTTCTGAGATAATGAATCTTTCATTTGGGCAGGAATTGCACTTGATATGTATCTGTACCAAGGGTCAATCACAGTAAACCATTCTTCTTCAAGTGTAGGCATGTCGTTAAATAACAAGAATTTTGAGAGAATAGATTCTCTACGTTGTACCTTATTGAAAAATGGAGATGATGCATCTTGCTCGAAAATAGAAGTTGCGGTTCTTGGTCTTGAATCAGTATCAATTTCCATACTATCATCCACGTCATACTTGATATCAGAGACACTATTATTATTCGAGACAACGCTATTCATATTAATCGCATCTAAACATTTCATATTAAAATAAATCTCCTTTGAATCAATTGTTAATGGTAAGGGACTTATCTTTTGCTTTGAGTCAATTTCAATATATCCCCCTATGAAATCCAACTTTGCATTCAATAGCTTTCCTTTGCTTGCTAACTTCAATATCATTTCTTCTAGTTGCTCTTGATTAATATTCAACTTCTTTGTTATATACTCAAACTTGATTATTTTATATGACTTCAACAAATTTAATATTATTTTGGATCTCAAATTCTCTAAAATCCTATTTGAAGCAAAATTGAAAATTTCATCATTGGCTAATGGGTCGTTCTCATCTTTAATTTTATTTATAATTCCATTGAAACCATGTAAATCTAATTCATCATAACATTTAAGGAGAAGAATTAAGTTGGTATATTCTGATAATTGGGAATACGTTTGAGTTTCTTGTGACTCAAATGGGTTGACTTCATTTTCAGCTAACATAGAACAAAGTGCTAAGTACTTGAGTATCTTTTTCTTTAACGGAGAACCAGTCTCGTCAAAATTTTTAAAACATTCATAGAATTCTAGTCTTGCCTTTTCAAAATTACCCCTATAGAAATGAACCTTTGCACCACATTCTCGAATAGTTCCCATAATTTTCGGGTGTGTTACAGCTGTTGTGATTGTCATACTTTTTCTATATAATTGATTCAATTCTGAAAGACTAGCTCTGTTCAGTTGTGAATAGTATTCAATTTCGGCAGCTATTACCTCTAGGGAATATGAATTCCTTGTTGTTTCTGATACAAGCTGTAGCGTGTTATTTATCAGTTCAATCAAGCCAGCACATTTATCAAATTCTCTATTTTCCAATAGTATATTCAATTTATTAATATTTATCTTTAACCATAACCTATCATTGTATTGCTCTGATCTATTTGATTTTTCCAAAAATTCCAAGATTATATCATATAACCTAGAGACGAATTGTTTATCATTTGCAAGAGAATAATTATTCAATATTTTACTCATAGATTCCTCTGCATAGTTTCTATTAACCTTCAGCATTAATTTAGTTAATTTCTCGAAGTATTTGAGAGTCTCATCATAGTTCTGCTTGCTGAAGTTGATCTTCATCAACTGCTTATATGATTTAAATATCCATTCAATATTATCTTGATCTGTCAAGCCTGCTTCTACTATTGCTTTAAATTCTCTTATGGCTCCATCTGTGTCGTCGTCTTTCAAACCTTTTGCATTGTAATATTTATTTTCCTTTATTTGTTAGTATTCTGGTCTAGAGCATGTCCCCGAATTTGTACTTACCACTCCATAATCCGGATGATTTTCATTTTCTTCTACATCCTCGTCTTCATCTTCTTCAAACTCAAATTCATATGATTCTTCAGATAAGAAATCTTCCTCATCAGACATTTCAACGACTGTCAATTATTGTATTAAAGTGATAATGGGATGTTGTAATCACTATTCGTAAATATATAATTGACGCAATTTTGTGTACAATTTCTAAAGTTCCAAAGATACTAGTCCGATTGCAACTGGATTTGAAAAAACGATATATATACACAATTCTAGACTATACTTCAAATTTTTTCTACTTATAAGTGATAATTCTTGTGATGGTTTAGAGAAAGATACATCCAAAGGCAGCAAGCTTAGAGAGTTATTGTAATATTAACATTCAATTAACATTGAAATTTAGCTCGTATGGCGCAGTGGTAGCGCAGCAGATTGCAAATCTGTTGGTCCTTAGTTCGATCCTGAGTGCGAGCTTACTTCCTTCTTTTTTTCTAATTATATTCGTTTTATTTTTTAGAATAATACTTATAATATATAAATGTATAATAGATATAGAGATAAACAAGGAATTAGAAATTGAAACTTATGAAATGAAATTTAATTCAAAGAAAATTGACTAGCACGAATTATATGTATTAATAGTGTAGATATGAACTAGACTATTTCCATATCATACAAGACAAATGGCTCATATTCAGTATCCACTAACGAAGCATATTCTTGAAGGTTTGCATTATTATTCATACCATCACCGCCCAAATAACCGAATTTTGAAACCAATTCTTTCTTAGACTTGCTCATGTTCTTGAAATTTGCCTTGTCAAATTTAATCAAATAACAGTCGAATTGTGGAGGTAAACCGTATCTCAAGACAGATTCAACATAAATTCTTATAGCCTTGATGTGAAGCCAACCAGCAAAAATATCAGAGTATGCTGTGGTGGCCAAACGAATCAAGTCGTTTTTAGATTTGGATTCTGTTGCTCTCGATAAATCAAATTCTTTCCTCAAATTATTCAAGGTTTCTTCAGAGTAAACAAAATCATTACGTGGATGCCATTTGTGTTCTCTTGCTTGGTTGATGAAGTCCTGCTGGAATTTCTTGAATAAAGTGACTGTGTACAATGAATATTCCAGGTCCGTAGCTATGACTTTAGCAGATCTTGGTATGACAAATTCAGTTAAAGTTTCGTACGACTTCTCAAAATCAGAAATCAAGTTCTTAGGAACTGCAATTAAGACAGTAATTAAATGCTCAGAGTCTAAAACAAAATATTCTGGTCGAACAATCTCATGGAGAGATTTTATTGATAAATCCCCATTTTTCTTCCTATCTGCAGCCAAAAAGTTAGACTTGGCATTCTGATATGTCTGGTAAGAGCTTCTCACATCATTGTCCAATGTAATGGCTTCGTTGGAAATCAAGCTAACTAATTGGGTGAGTGGTTTATCTAATCTATACTTGGAAGTATTCCACTGAAACGATTCAACATAATTCAAGACTTGCTTTCCATTAACCGTTTTTGAAGACGAAGATTGGGTGACTGAATTCAATATATCAACGACCTTAGAAACAGATGTACTCAATTGTGCGTCTAACTTACTTAATTCGTCACTTTGTTGAACCAACGAGTCCAAAGTCCCTATTTGGAAATCTGGTAATACAAACTTATATAGTGGTAATTTTCCCCCATTTAAGCTCTGTTCTAACCATTCTCGAGCGTTGATAGATTGGGGTAATGAAAGTGCCAAATACTTTGCAACTGGATCCATGTTTCAAGTACAAATTTGCCAATGCTAGATTATCTTATCTCATTCAAGAACAGCGTACATTATTATAAGGGAGTACAGTGAGTATTAGATTGTATGCGTAATTGAGAGTATAATCACCATACATAATTGTGCTCATATATACGCACTTGTCTACAGACTTAATAAGTTATGGAATTGCATTCTGAATGTTCCCTAGTGTTACATTAAGACTTATATATACCATTACAATCCTTAGGGAAGTCTACTGTCTGTAAAACTTTCTGGCATTAGTATTTGGATTTATGTCTGGTTTTTCTATACAAATTGATGGAAATGAGACCAGGGCTGCAATTGCGATGGGAATATTTTTTTTTCCTATAGAGACATAAAGAGTATATAGAGACGATATATCATTAGGCATATCACCTCTATAGTACATTAATAGATAAAATTTGTCCCAATTTGAGGATATGAGTAATTCATTAGAAGTATGTTAATCATTTGAACATTGAATGGTACTCTGGAGGGAGTTCTGTACCAAATATATGTTGGGATCAGAAAAGACTAACAGATTTTTAGGAGAGGTTAAAAACCCATTCAACAGCATTTGATGGCTTATTATCGTTAATACCTGCTAAATACTACTATGATGATGCCACACAAGACCAATGGCAACAAAAGAAAAAGTCGAAGCAAGAAATGCAGCAGAATAAAAGAGCCAAATTAGATCCTAATTCCAGAGAGGACGCAGATGATTATACCAATTCGCATGCCAGTGCCAAAGATGTGATGGATAATAAGTCTAAAACAGCCAAGAAGGTAACCTTACCTTCGAGAGATAAGCTCCCAAAACCAATAGTTGATGATGACAGCGACGAAGTTGAAATTCCAGACATGGATGTAGATGATGATGACGAAGAAGATAGCATTGATTCAAATGACCAAAAGGAAGAAACAGACGAAAAAGAAGAAGAATCGGACTCTTTAATACAAGATAGTACTCAACTAGTGTTCGATGATGACGGAAATGAAGTTTCTACGAATGGATCTGGTAATGTCGAAACAACTAGCACCAAGCAAAATAAGAAGAGCAACAAAAAGGAATTATCCCCTGAAGAGCAAAAGAAAAAGAAGGAGAACTTAGCCAAGTTGAGAGAAAAGTTGTCAGCCAAAATCAGCGTTTTAAAAGATAAAAGAAAGGCACCTGGATCCAAGACAGGGGTAGCAAAATCAAGAGACCAAATCTTAGAGGAACGTAAGAGAAAGGATGAATTAAGAAGACAGGAGAAATTAAAGAGAAAGCTTGCGGCGTTAGATGAAGATGAAGATGACGAAGATGCATCAGACTCTGATTCTGATGACGACGACGAAACCAAACAAGATAAAGCGGTATTATACGGAAATATAACGTTTAATGATGGTTCCAGACTTACATCTGACTTGAGCAAGATTCGTTCCACTGCGGAAAAGAGAAAGCTCAAAGGCCCGGCTAATAACGATATCAAGGCTCATCTATTAAAATTAGAGCAGAAAAAGCATAAATTATCCCAGTTATCTCCAGAAGAACAAGCAAAACAGAAAGAAAAGGACCAGTGGCAAAGAGTCATTTCTCAAGCCGAAGGGGTCAAGATCAAAGATGACGAAAAACTTTTGAAAAAAGCCCTCAAAAGGAAGGAAAAACAAAAATTGAAGAGTGAAATCGAATGGAAAGAAAGAAAGCAAATAGTCAAGGACACCGTCTCAGCAAGACTGAAGAGAAGAGAAGAGAATTTGAAGGCAAGAAAGGAGAATAAAGGTAAAAAGGGTAAGCAACAACCAAAATTGCGTAAATTCACCGGTACTGTTAATAAATTCGCCAACAGCAAGAAAAAAAGAGCCGGCTTTGAAGGCAATGCCAAGTCCAACGGAAAAGGCAAGAAATAATGACTCTAAGATTGTATAAATGTATAAAAGTAATTCGTTCATCTCTAAATAAACGTCATTGTCTAAGTGTGTTTGGTGTAGATTATCTCACGACTGCATACAATTATCGACTGGAATTTCGTACATTGTAACTCGAAAATAGATTCAGAAGCAATCGTCCATTTCATTTTATTAATTGAATCAGATTCTTTATATCAATTAATATATTTTTTAAATCAATTGAAACGTTAATCTAACTATCAAAGTAATTATTTAGAAATGTCGTACCAAAATCAAGCAAAGAGCTTTTTATCTACTATTGACCAAGTATGTAACCGTATTGTGCCACTTAGGGACTAAATGTCGGACGTAATGATTTTAACATATACTAATCAATTAACTAGAAAACCAAAGATCTTGAAATCTTAAGACAATTCGAACTCAAAACCGGATTACCAAGATCATACGCTATCTTAGGTGGATTTGGTTTATACTTTGTTTTAATTTTCTTGAACATCGGTGGTGTCGGCCAACTTTTGTCTAACATTGCCGGCTTAGTCATCCCAGGCTACTTTTCTTTACTTGCCTTAGAAAGTACCACCACTAAGGATGACACCCAGTTGTTGACATACTGGGTTGTATTCGCAACCTTAAACGTTGTTGAATTCTGGTCCAAGGCTATCTTGTACTGGATTCCATTCTACTACTTATTCAAGACTGTTTTCTTGCTTTACATTGGTATTCCATCCACTGGTGGTGCTGAAACCGTTTACAACGCTGCTATCAAGCCATTCTCAAGAAGATACATTGTTAGCAACAAGAAATTCGCTCAAGATATCAACAACGCTGCTCAAGGTGTTTCCTCTTCAGTTGAATTATAAGCAAGTGAACTCGGTGTATTGCTACAAACAAACGATTCTATCTTCGTTTTGAGTGAATCGTTTTACCTTCTATATAGGTGACTATTCTTTATTATATGTTATTTATTCTACTTTTTTTATCGAATAAATCGTTTTTTTATTATCTATAACGTAATTTAGACTATTGACAATCATAAGGTCAGGCTAAACCCTGCAAAGTCAAACAAATCTTCAACTGTTTCACCATTTATATCATATTTTGCTTTCACTCTTAATTTCACCTTTGATCCTTGTTTACCAACAATCTTCAATACCTGTTTTATGTCGGAACCATTCACTAAAGAGTCTCCTCCAGAAGTAGATGATATTGATAACTTCTGAGTCTTAGGAACAGCAATTAAAAGCTGAAATTGCTCAATCGAAGAACCTGGGGAGTTTGACTTTATATGTGCTTCCAATGTGGCCTGCCCATTTTGTGGAAATGATTTAGGTAAGAAAGAAATTGCAATATTTGAATTAGAGAATGCATTAATTGGTAGGACAGATGTTTGTGAAGATGTTTCAAAGTTAGATTGAACAGGTGATTGGGTCGATGCTGGCGAGTCAAACAAATCTAGTATATTTGCATTATTAGATGTCTTAGGATGTGTTGATGTTTGAGATTGTGAAGGGTTGGTAGGTCCTGAAAATAAGTCTGATAATAAATCATTGTTACTTGGGGCTGGGTGATTGTTAGACATGTTTGAACCATCATTATTGTCATCTAAAAGATCCAACAAATCATTGGTTGATGAGGGAACTCCTGCTTCATTAGTGGGATGACCAGCAGGTTTAGCCTTATGGACATTAGTATTTTGCAATGAAAGAGATTCCCTTTCTTTAACTCTTGGAGCTGGCATTCTAGCCAATAATCCCTTCTTTAATTGCGTATCTTGAGCAAATATTTCTTGATATTCTGCTGCTCGGATTTGGATTTCCAAGTTATTATCATATGTTCTTGAATTCAAAATTAGCCTTAATTTCTCAATAGAGTCAGGGTTCTTAAATTTGATTGATAACTTGATTATAGCAGTTAAGATATACGTAACCAATTGAACCGTTTCTTGGTCAGAATATGTTGAATTGTTAATTAGCTCATCGATCAACTTCAAAATTAATTTATCGGTAACTGGTTCTTGTTTGCCATTAACGTCAACATTACCATCCAAAATGAGATCAACATATTCTCCTAAACACCAGACGGTAATTAATGATAAGCCATACTGTGTTGAGTCTTCTAAACATAACGATAATAATCTTCCGACTACATGCTTCTTCAATTCCACATCAGTGCACTGCATAATCAATGCTAAAATGTTTGAAATTATATCTGGGGTAATAAAATTACCAGAAAGCTTGAGCATTCTTATCAATGTATCAAAATGCCATTTTTCATTGGGAGCAAACTTATTCGCAGCTGTGGTTAATTGCGATGAAATGTAAGGTTTCAATTCATTATCGCGACAGTTTTCTAAGAATAATAATATTTCTCTCACTAACACCCGAATATTTTGTTCGTTTAATATAGCAAAGGATAATTCCAAAGCTCTTCTTCTGATTGAAATATCACCATCTGATAAACAATTAACAATTGTATTTCTATGTCTTTGTACCGCTAATGGTTCAATATTAATGACTGTCAACAATGTATTGAGCGCAACATATCTCGTATTGTTGTCTTTAGTAGACAAAAACTTTCCCAATAAGTTCACACCTAAAATCTTTAAAGATTGGTCAGATTGAATGGCAAAAATAGTCTTTACACACTCATACAAGATTGCATGAGCTGCATTTTTACCACTTTCAATATTGGAGGCAACTTGAGTTAAAATATCATTAATTTCTTCCAAATATTTAGGAGGGCAACTTTCGTCTACCGCTAGAGTTCTTAACGTAGTTAACAAAGAAACTTGAAGAAAAGGATCCAGAATACCTAAAACATCATAATCAGGGATATAACCACTATTAGCAACTCTCTTCAAATGACCAACAATTTTAGGTATAGTTTTAATCAAGCTCTCTCTGTTTTCGGGATTTGCGAAATATAATGATTGAACCAATCTCAAAGCACCCAACAAGACCCCTGGCAGTTTGTCAGATATCAATTGTGGAACTCTAGGCAAGAATATTTCAGACAAATCTGGGTCCTTCTCAATTAACTTAGCTGCCACAATACATGCCTTCTTCTTCAAATAAAGGTTATTAGTAGTAATAATCTTGTCAACATTAGTGTACAAGTCTCGTGCTAATTCTGGAGAAGCAATATTACCCAAACAACATAACGCCAATCCTACAATGAATGCATTAGGATGCTGCATGTCGTTATCCAACGAATTAGTCAACAACGTCAAAACCTCTTGATTTTCATCTAGTAACAACATCGTAGCCAAATAGCCCAATCTCTTATCAGCAAAACGTGGAGATGCTAGTAATTTAAGACATTCAACCTGCCCAAAGTGGGTCTTTTCACCCATAATATATAAGTATAATAACTTAGAAATATTGATTCTTCTGGTAGTTTGATCCAATGTAGCATCTCTAAATGATGTTCTAATAGCCGCCGATTCCTTCATAACGACTGCCCTCTCATCGGCAATCGTCTTAGACTTTCTGACGGCTTTGATAAACGACTTCAATGAACCCATTATGAGAAATTTCTATCAGTTAGCCTTCTTGATGTTTCTTGATTCATACATGCTAATGTTTGTTTTGAAGACTACGTGTTGAAGAGCCTAATCATATTCTGATACACACACGACCATATATTCAGCCTATCCGAAGTATACTTAATACATTTAGCTGATGTTAGTTCTACGATGATATTGTATCCAGAGCCCGATCTCTGAAGGATTGGAAACAAGTAGAGAAGCTTCGTTTTGAAATTAAGGATGCTGATGAAATATAAAAAAATTGGGAAAACTCAGGTGCATGAAGAATAAATTATGGATTAATGGTTTCCCTTTCATAGCATAATCATCTGAAACGTCATGATACCTAGTTACTATTTGATATGTAAAAGAGAAAAATGCTAAATATTGAATCATTGGAAGATTAATTTGTAGGATAAAACGATACTGAAAAATTATATAGATATAGATGCGTAGCGAAATTTCACAACTTCTTCAATACAAACATTGCAGCATAATTCGATGAGTACTTTAGAACCTGCTACTACTGCTAAAGTGGTTCTTATAACGACAAAAGGGCCTATTGAGATCGAAATATGGGCCAAGGAAGTACCTAATATTAGCAGAGTGTTTATTCAAAATTGTCTAGATAGAAAATATATCGGTACAACATTCAATAAGGTGATAAAGGATTACCTAGTACAAACAAGTAAAATCAAGGAAGCAGAAGGTTTGCAACTAAAAGATGAATTCCATTCAAGATTGAGGTTTAATAAGAGGGGTTTGGTAGGTGCTGTGCATGATGATAAACGAAATTCGAATAATGTTGATTCGATATTTATAACCATGAAGACTACTCCAGAGTTCAATAATAATTATGTGTTATTCGGTAAGATAATGGGAGACTCAATCTACAACGTAGTAAAGATTAATGAAAGTGAGCTTGAATCAGAAGAGACTCCAATGTATCCAGCTGAAATAACTGATATTAAGGTCTTAGTGCAATATTTTGATGACCTTGTTGAGTCAAGGGAGCAAATTACAGAACCAGCAAAAAAAAAAGCAAAGAAGGCAAAGAAACCTCGGGTTAAACTAGATTATGCCTTAGAAGATGAAGATGATACGGGGTTCAAGATGAAATCAGCTCATGATTTGCTTTCAGATTCAAAATTGTCTAATAAATTGTATTCTAATAAAAAGCTCACAGAAGTCATCAGTGAGAACCATATAGAAAAGGCAGCTGAAAATAATGTAGAAATCAAAGAAATAGATTCTGGTCACCCAAATTTTGAGCAAACTGACAAGTCTGATACTTTAGACAATGAGATGAAGGTTACTTCATCCGATAACATGAATGATGAGATTGAACACAAACGAGATGAGCCTCTTCCTAAAGCTAAATTGAATAGAAATCCGAATATTGATTCTGATTATGATTCTGATTTAGACCTATCATCTTCCGAGTCAATCGACCTATCTGCATTTAAGCAAAGTTAGTTTTTTTAAGACTAGTAAATATTAAAAGACTAGTAAAAGTATATATTATGCGCTGGAGATGAAGTAATGCAAGATGAAAGACCAGCTCTTTATAACAATACATATAAAACAATATACAATACAATAAACAATTACTAGATGAAAGTCAACTATGATGTAAATCCAGGAATGTCACTATGGTCCTTAGGTAAATTTGTTGAGCTTTTAAAATCAAAATTAACTAAATCAATATCATTCTTTAACCATGGGTGATTAGCTAAGGAGTTGCAATCATACCTTTCTGCAAGATCATAGCTTAAACATTTTAATATTAAATCATTTATTAATTGAAGGTTGATATCATTTTCATCAAATTTATACTTCTGGACTAGCACATCATGAAGGGACCAGTACTTCAACTTGCTAATGTTTTTTAATGAATACACACCAGCTGAATCTTTATCAAAAAATGCAGAGTTTAATTCACAATTGTCCAAATAAGTAGGTGAAGGAAATTCACCCAATAATTCAATTATTTGCGCCAAATGGTCTTCATCTTTGTCAAAATTATTACCATTATGAGGATCAAATAAATAGTCACCAGTAATTAATTCAAATATAATACATCCAATTGACCATATATCTGCAGACGCTCCCCATGTTTTATGTTTCAAAAGGATTTCCGGTGCCCTATATTGTCTGGTTTGTATTTGATTGGTAAAATGATAGTGGGAAAACGTAGCATTACCAAAGTCAGCAATTTTAATAGAAATTAACTCACTGTCATTCTTATCGTGCTTCTGTTTTAGCACAGTCTTATTCGTAGGACTAATTCCACCATCATTAATTTTACAAAGGGAGTTTTTCCTACCGTTGCTTCCCCTGCTATTGAAAGATACTTCCTGAAACTTAGCATCAGTATTGATACTGGATGATAAAGGTTTTGAAGTTCTAACTGGAGAGTCACATTTACCACATACTGAATTTCTTGATTTTCTATATGATCCATAACCCACAGAATCTTTTCTTGTCTTAAGATTAGTTGAGTTAGCTCTATTAAGTCCCATTTTGTCAGTATTTATGTTCACGGTAGATAACGAACTGTCTTTTCTATTCTTATATTTTGCATTGAATTTTGTTATCTTTTCGTTCTCTATAACCTTAATTACATTATTGATATCCTTGATTTCAATCAATATATTCTCTGGCTTCAAATCGGTATGAATAATTCCACAATGATGCATATAATCAACAGCTAAAAACATTTGCTTCACAATTTGCTTGACTAATGTCAATGGGATTCCTCCATAAGTTTTCTGTACCTCAATTAACTTTGTCAAAGAATCTGAAGAATTGTTCTTTATGCAACCCATAGCGTTGTCGATGGAAATCTCTTTTTTGGGATTATTTATTAATCCTAAACTGAGTTTTGATTTAAATAACTTGAAATTTTTATTATTTTCTTGTCTCGTATCCTTCGTCTCAGTTTGCGATTTTGAGTTATGTTTCAAATCTTTACTGATAGTCTTAGATTTGAAGATCAAGTTTAAAACATTTTCACCCAATATTTCGAAAACCATACAAATGTGCTTTCCATTTGGCCCTGTAACTTCGAAGTCATCCAATAACCTCATAATATGTTTGTAGCCAGGATGCCCCACCGGCTGGTTTTGACTATCAACTTTATAATTCTCAAAGAATTTCTTGTGCAGTTCATCTAGATGTTTACCGTAAACTAAAGGCTTGGCAAGTGTTTTTAATAGTTTAATTTCATCTTCAGCAGCTTCCATATAATTGTCGTTCGATTTAACAAACTTAATTGCAACATAATGATCATCTGTATCTACCGAAGAATCTTGTGATGTACTTGAGGCTAGCTCTTGGTTGTATCTGGATTTGGCTAACCAAACAGTCGAAAAGTGACCCCAGCCAAGTTTTCTCAATATAATGTATTCTCTATTTGGAAAATCACGAGAAAAGTATACCTCTCCTTTAGAAACAGGATGATACCCTCCAACTTTATAATCATTGGCATTTTCTTCCTGATACGGGTTCACATTTAAATCTGACTCGCTTTCTGATAAGTATTCAACCACATCATCCTCTTCAGCTAATTCTCTCTTATATGCTTCGAAATTATCAAGGTGTTGGTAGTTTTCAAACACCTCGCCCCGGGAATCCGGATTATCTACGACAGATGTCACCGAGTGGTTGTTATTGACCCTTGACTTTAAATTCTGTGGCTTTTTTTTCATGCACTTCTGCCCAACACTTATTGGTGGTGGCCGACTCTCATGTGTAAAAACAGAATCTTGCGGCTCATCGAGCGAATGCTCATCCAGATCTATCTGTGATGTAAGTTCGCTATTTTCCAACGAAATGCACTTGGATGTGAAGGTAGCATACCTCTGTTGAGTTCTGCTGGGATCTCCCACGGGAATTATTTCATGTGTGTAGTTGCTGTTTTCCTCTATAATATTTCCCCCACTGCTTCCCAGGCCCACCATTTCCGATGGACTGCTCATCGCCGTTGGCGATAACGAAAACTCTGTTGGATCACCCTGTCCTTCTGTATTGACCCTTATTTCCTCGCTGGGTCTCTTGTTCACTGGAAGAGGGATCTTCTTCAAAAAAACCCCAAAATTGAACTTGGTCCCTTTTTTATCGCCTCCTCGTGGACTCTGTGGTCCCACGGTGGCTTCAAGATCTTTATCTTTATTTCCTCTCATAGCTTGATTCACTAGTATCATGGTCCTGATGTCTCAAATCTGATATATTTATTGCTTTCTTATCTCTAACATGGACAAATCAAAATCTGCTTGTTAAACATCAAATATCCGATTCTTCACTATAATTTTTCTACGGTTATGTTCTAGCCAATATCTTCCTAATACTTTCTAATTTATCCCTTTAAACGATTAAACTATCTCTGTTTCTAATCAAACCCTCGTATATCAATTTTCTCTATAAATGAACTAAATGAATCCAAATCGTTAACTCACTGCCTCATAATAGGGTACTCTTGGTATTTTTTTGGTCAGGATCGGCTAACGTTTTGGGTGTAACCTGTAAAATATTCGACTGGAACCATCGGATGATCATAGGTAATAGCGCTTAACCTGTAAAATATCGCGTACTCCGACATTACTCCACTGTCTATATGATAGTGTTGGGTATTTTATGAATGTAACGTTACATTGACCTATTGTATTATTGCTCTTTGTGTACTCGATGTATGTGGCTCGAACAAAAGATTTTGTTGTAAGCGCAGGACTGAGACTAATTAGCGACATTTAGCGACTAATTACGAGAAGTGGCATTGATTGACAGGTTTGCGATACATGAGGAGTTTTCTGCGACATTGTCGTGGAAGGTTCGTGAGAGTAGGTTAGGCTTTAGACAGGCATGGAAGCATTTGTAGCGCAACTCTAAATTGCATAGAGATCTAAGACGGATATCTATGAGCTAGAATAATTGTAGTAGAGTTGTGAGAAGATTTTGTGGTTCGATGATCAATAATAATCCTTGCAAATTATTGGTACGTATATAGAGAAATGTTTTTACAGGGTGTAGTGTTACGAATTAGAGTCACTTAATAGCACATTTTGTTTGTTAGAAGACGAGTGATGGAATCATATGGTCAGACCTATGATTGCCGTTCGCGAGTCACATTATAAACAGATTTTAATTGTTTGCATTGTGCTGCATCTATCAAGGGGTTATTGCTATTCAGTGGCTAGTGATAATGTGGGGAGAGGTAAATGCAAGGGAAAAACCGTGTTAATCGAAGAAAGGGTCAAAAAAGGGCGACCCCGGATGGATGATCACTCGTAATTGTGCACACAATAGTTACGAACATAGACTATATGAAATCGCTAGGAATCAGTACATGGCTCCAGGCACATATAAAACGATACAAAAAGGGTTAACGGAAATTATTTTAGAAAGCAATAATGTAGTGCAAATGTGCATGAGTAGGAAATCATCCAACACAAGGGAGCTTTGTAGGTAAACATATGCTGCCAGACTGTCCTAGCTCGGATGCTTCAAGTAACACACCCCCAGAAATGGAGCGTGATTAGAATGATTGCTCGAGATAAGCACGGCTTGCAGGCGAAACGATAAAACACATGAAAAGAGAAGCTTCGCGGGGGACATTTGAGAGATCTTACTGGTGCGAAATTCGCTGTTGGGTAAAATTAGCACAATGAACAATTAAGAGATCCTTGAAAAATATATTTAGGTAGAGTTTCTTGGAGGAATTGAAGCTCACTCTTTCACCTACTATTAAAAGGGAAGCTCATTCGTTGCTACGTACAGTGAAGAATTACTATTTATTAGAATAACATGCTAGATATTTCTAACTCAGACTTTGATGTCAATATTCTTGACGGTGCCCTTTCGAATCCCACTATCTCCTTGACATTTCCATTACCTACTGACAAAGATACATACGTAGAATTAGAAGGGAATGAAAAATTAAGCAAGAGTTTTGGAATTTTAAATAATTTCTTTCGTTTTTTCACCGGGGTCAAATTCGATGATATTTACAAAAACAATGAATATCACTATTCGATCAACAAATACACTCCTGAGTTCAACAAGAAGATGAACGATTACATGAACGAGATGTTGTCTGAGAAAGATGAGAAATTGAACGAGTTGGTGTATTCGTTGATTGATCAGGAGTTGAAATTGAACCTTATTAAGGCCAAGGACCTCCCAGCCAGATTTAAAGAAGTCAAAGAATTCATGGTCAAGTATTATCAATTGGAGAACTCAAAAACGATGCCTAGCTTCAAATCTCATCATTTTCTAAGGATCTGCTATGTTACAATTATGACTATTATGCGCAAGATGTTCCCAAAAGGAATTTGGTGTAATAAGACGCAAATGAGTGAGTTATATGCTAAATATTTAAAAGATCCAATGTCTATCATTTTTTTCCCCAACCATCAATCGCATATCGATTATATCATTCTTCATTTGGTATGCGTTAGGTTTCAATTCTCTACACCTACTGTTATTGCAGGTGAAAATTTGAATGTGGCCGTCTTCGGGACCTTTTTAAGGAACTTAGGAGCGATTTTCATTAAAAGGTCCTTTAATAATGAATTGTATACCGAAAGAAACTTGACAAATTTGATCGAATTCATTTTGTTGAACAAGATAAATTTCGAGGTGTTTATCGAAGGTACTAGATCTAGAGATGGAAAGTTATTGTTACCAAAATATGGTATTTTGAAGTATTTGTGTGGTATATACTTGAAACAAAGGGAAGTGGAGAAAAATGAAAAGTTTGATATGCTCTTCCAGCCGATTTCCATTACATATGAGAGGATCTATGAGGCAGATGGATACTTAGACGAATTGCTTGGTAGTGATAAGAAACAGGAAAGCATGACTAATATTCTAAAGAACGGTGTATCTACTTTATTCTCAAATCCAGAAAACGACTTCAAAAACTTTCCTAGTACTAAAAAGCATAAAGAGGGTAAGTACGATAACTCAACCAGAATGTTAAGTGGGAAAATTTTTGTTAAATTGGGTGATTCATTTACGTTATCCAGTTTTATTGAAGAACAAAGAGATACGGAAGCCCATTTAATTGAATCTTTCGGTGAGGAACCAGATTCACCTGTTAATTTAAAAAGATTAGGATTCAAGATTTTACACGAAATTAACAGAGTTGCATATTTACCAGAGATCTCAGTTATAGGAACTGCTCTCCAGGCGTATTATTATTATTATGAGACTAATGAATTCGCAATCAGTGATTTGGTTTCAAGCATGAGGTTGATTATTGAGGTGTTAAAGAGACAAGAAGAACTCGACCATATCAATACGAATGTGAAATTAATGGACGGATTGCTCAGAAGTTCTGACGAGGATCTTATCGCAATGGTGAAAGATCAAGTTCCTCAATTCTTCCGCTTCATCAAAATCAACTTCAACAAGAATACTATCAAAATTGAAAATTCAGTTGAATTGTTATATTACAAGAACCTTACAATCCATCTTGTCATTCACAAGAGTTTAGTATGCTTCATAATTAGCCTGCTAAGCCAAGCCAATCCAAATATTGCCACTGATGCATATATACGGTCGCTTTATTACATATTCACTGGATTTTTGAAAAACGAATTTTTATTTGACTACGATTATAATAAATCCAATGACTTATCGAATATCTTGAACGATTTAGCGCAATGTGGAACGATCACCCGCACCTCCACCCACTATGAAATTGTTGATCACTTGCATGTCACAGTTTTTGCGGAGGTAGTCAAGCCCTTTATCGAATCGTACATGATCTGCATTGGAACCATCAACACCATAGATAACCAGTACAAAAAGAAGCAGACCCATATCACAGACGAGCAATTGATCAATGATGACCTCATTAGTAAAGACTTTCCTACCACAAAATCGCTCTTACGAATCATCCAGTCGTCAAAGTTCCAGCAGAAACATATTGAGTCTATCAACAAACAGTACTTATTGTCGTGTCTCTTCTATCTCGACAACCTCAGGCTCATTCGCATATTTAAGAACAAGGCTAAAACAAGGGCGTTTGTAGTGACGCAGAGACCAAAGGACTTGAAGTTTATTCTCCAACTTCTCGATTCGTTACTCAATAACCCGTCAAGCGAAGTTTTGAATGACACCAATTTGCTCTATATGACAGATATTATTGACAAGTCGTTTGAGCGTACGCTAAAGGCCAAGCTCTAGGCGAACTGATGGATATGCTGAATAAGTGCAGCTAGAGTTGTTTTTATATGTACATTACATAGCAGGTTCTATTTATATACATCAATGCCTTATCGACGTTGTATCAACTCATCGTTTATTTGTAAGTAATAGTATATAGTAATAGAATGTTTTTCTTAACCAGCGTACCATCTGGATGCCATATACTATTTGACAATATGTATTTCCGTGTGTCACAATAACAACTTCTCATTCACTTATTTAAGAACAAAGCTAAAACAAGGGCTTTTGCGGTGACGCAGGGATTGATAGATTTAAAAAACTTTCTTCGTCTTCTTGATCTGTTGCTAAATAGCCATTTCCAAGGAGGTTTTTAGTGACATTAACCTGCTGTACATGAAAGACAATATCAAAAAAAAATTCGAACGTACGCTCAATGACTTCTTTAGGTTGGATATGTTCAGCATATATCCCTATACATACGCCATATAGCTCGTAAAATCTACATGAAGTGACATCTCATCGTGCCTATTTGTTGTATAATGGTTGCATAGAATGCAATTAAATGCACTATTAAAGCACCACCGGTAATAATAACTATGGCCAATGCTGTGCTATTTTTATGAGAAGGTGTTAATTTCCCCATATATAAGTAAAAATAACTAGCCAGCTCATTATACAAATCATCTTTTAAATGTAGTATCTTCTTTCGTCGATTCAGTCTCTCGGGAGTGCTCGCTCATCCTATCAAAGACGGTTTCATCATAAGAATTGTTAGCATCGTTGCATTGCCTTACAGAGAAACTATCATCAACGCTATGCATAGAAACAATTTGATCATCATTATAATTCTGAGTGGCTTGGTTATTTTCTTCAGCAGTCTTACTAAATATATGGTCTAATGCTATGAGATCATCTTGCTTAAGTTTTTCAGTACTTGGACAGGTTGACAACCCAAAGTCAATTAAAGATATTCTACCAGATATCGAAACATGGATATTACCAAGTCTGACATCATTATGTGCAATCCCCATCAGATGAAGCTCCTTGAGCCTTTCCTGAATAACTTCATACACCCTATCATAGTCCCATTTTTCCATTGGCTTTTCCTCGCCCAAATATTCAAATATATGCATTGGATGAGTTGACATCCCATTCCAATATCCTGAAGCAATTAGCTTCGGAAATTTAATTCTAAACTGTGATTTACTGATGAGTATATTCATCTCAAGCTCGTTGACGAACATATCATAGTAACTGCACTTTTCTGGAAAACTCTCAAATGCCAGCTTAGGATAGTTGTACATTTTAACAAACACGTTGGGAGGAAGTTTCAGACCTAAACCAGGGTACCATTTGAGTGCATCATATATTATTCGGCAATATGTGTTACCGCAGATCTCACCATAATCATTGATATCATCATCTTCTTCTATAGGCTCTAAATTACCTAAGAGTTCATCTTCCGATAACATTCCACCTTTACGATTATATAACGACTTTACTATCGGTCTAGGAAGTATGTTTCCAAATGGATCTGATCCTTTCGTTTGCTTGCCTACCTTAAATGAAGATCTTAACCTTTCACGAATATCCCGTGCCCCTGAGTCGCTGTTATAGAAAAACCCTGTCATTGCTGATCTTAAAGTGATACCATTTGCGACAGTCTCTGGGTCATTGATAATGTAGTAATCTATAGCCATCCGGTTGTTATCGGTAATTCTGTATTCTAAAAAGCTGGAAAACAACTGATGGTCTGAGATAAATACTCGGTTAGTCCCACAGAGTAAAGCTTGATATAGATACTTTCTCAAAACCAAAGCACATATTACCCTAGGAGTCCACTCGCGATCTTGGAACAAGCTTCGAGTTGATTGCAGTCTTAAAACTCTCGTGTTTGGAATCCTTTCCTTGTGGTCTTTTATAGTAGCCTTTAATTCTTTAAACCCTTCAGCCAAATAATAATTTCCTTTTTTGTAAACACCTATAGCATAACAAATTTCTGGACATTGATCATTCGGCATCGACACATTCCCTGCAAGATGTACTATATCAGGTTGTATTATCCTTTTTCTTTCTAATGGCGGCCTTATAATTGATGGCTTACCAAAATAGTGATGTTCACCACCCATGTTTCGGTAGAGTTCATCAATTTCTCGTGCTATGTATTTATCAAAGTACCGTTGTATATCGTTTTCCACATGCATTGCATCTCCTAATGGATACGAATATTTTCGAGACAATATATCACCAGCAAGGCTTGACATCTTAATTGCTTTATCAAGAGGTGCAAGGTATCTGTCTTTAAATTCATTGCTACTTATCTCCCGAAATTCAGCTAATATTAATGCATTAGTCACATAAAAAAGTATAGGCAAAGAAGCTCTAGTCTCAACAGAAACAGACACATCACTCTTCGTGATTAATTTCTCCGAGCCAATCTCTCCCTCTACTCCTTTACTGCGTATCCTTAACAAACGAGTATCTAAAAATACTCTTGCATTTTGTTCATTATCGTCTTCGACTCTAGTATATAGCTCCCGGTTGACTCTAATACACCTCCCATCAGGGTCGTCGAAAGTGATGCTTTTGTCATTTATTCCTGAAAAGTACATATATGGACATTATGCTAGCCTTCACTTCGATGAGTTTTGGTTCTTAGGGCTGTATAACCTATCTGATTCTCGGAACATTTGAGGAAAAACAGAAGAAAAAAATGGAATGTAAGATGATAAAGTAGTATAAAAAATTGGCTACGCTTACATGTTAATGAGAAAATCTCGAATTAATTACGTTAACAGGTTGCAACAGAAGCTACATATTAAGAATACCATTCAAAACATTAAGATTAATTTGTTTTATTTAACAAGTTAAAACTTTCTAATCAAGACTTAAGCTTAGATCAATATTTATCAATACTTAGCCATTTTATTTAATGTTCATTCAAATTTAGCAATTCTTATCTCAGGTTTGATTAATCAAAGCGCTTCAATTTATTTCGAGAATATAGAAATGAATGAAAAGAAGTTATTTAAAAGTCCTTTATAACTTATCATATTATTCAAAGTATCAAAATCCTTTTGTCTGAGTTCTTCGCTACTTGGATAGATTGATAGACTAAAGTCTATGAGCGATATCCTACCGAAACGTAAACATGAATACTACCAGCGCTAATATCATTATGAGCGATCCCCATCTGTGGATATCTTTAAGTCTTCTTTTGATGGTAATATATATTTTGTTCCGATTCCATTCGTCCATGGGCTTGTCATTGTCTAAATACTCAAAATATGAACTGAGTGACTCTTTATTCCATTACAGTATACTGACACAATAAATCTTGAAAATTTGGATGAAATCTGGATGAAATCTGGATGAAATCTGGATGAAATCTGGAATTTCTGATCGAGGTGTTAATCTTTAGTTCATTACAAGCCTTTCATAGTAGGGGTACATTTTTAAAGTTTTTCGTTGCGAGTTCAGGATAGGTATACATTTCAACAAATACATTAGTAGGTAGAGCTTTTCACCAACTAGCGTACCATTTCAGCGCACCGATTATTCGATCATATGTATTACTATAGTTGTCTGATCTGTGATTGCCTATGCCATAACAAACTTCAGGATAGCTTGAACTTGGATTCATTGTATCCTCAGCTAAATTTTATATCAGGCTGGACTTCACGTCTCTTATCCAATGGTGCTTATCTTTGGTGGACACACGAAGGAGCATCCGCACCAAAGACATATCTAAACCAATTCTCGCCAAAAACTACATAGCTCCCTTCTCGTTGCCCTTATTCAATCAGCATCTTTAACATCCAACCTTGGACTGATCCTAATGTTCCTGCATATAACCACTTTTCACCGTTCTCGTAAAATGCTGCAATTGACACACCGACTGCGAAGGCCTATCAAATAAGCATTGCATATTCCTGAGCCCAGTGGCTCAACCAGACCCTATGGTAAGTCTTGTTGCCGAAATGAGTACTTCTTCATTTCCAGTACCTACTTCTTTCCCAAAACACTACTAGAGCCTACACTGGAGCCAATTGTACCATAACTGCAATTTATCATCGCGTGGTGGACACTCGTGTGACCTCACCGCTGTTCTTTCTTCTTTCCAGTATGCATATTACTGTCTAGGATGGAAAGCGCACGTTGGTTATCCCGCGCGACATCCAGCACGACATCCATCTCTCGTCCTGACGTCATAGGACATATGTCGCGTCCTCTTATTTGGTCAATGTCGCTTTGCGTCGCTGCACCTCTGCACCACTTTGTCTGTGCTTAGTTTTTTGTTTTTTGTCACACACCACAAAGCCCATTTATTATGGGCCCATGCCGAGGATGATACTTCTGTTGCTCGCAGGACTCCCTCCTCTTCCTCGCCAGTCCTTTTGCAGCTCACCTGTCTCCCTAACACAATCATCCAACTTACCTTCCTCACCTCATCTCATCTCTTCTCTATCTTCCTCGTCTTCCTGTGTCATCTCGCCCATCGGACTTTGCCTACTACTTCTCGCGCTGACCTTTTGTCTTTAGCACCGCCTTCCTCTACTTTTGTCATGCATCTTCCTCTACATAATTGCGATTTGGGCGGTGCACAACGATGATCAGTTTGGCGTAACACTCTAAATTTTTCATTACACAAAAGGCCCAAATTCGAGTAATAGGGGAAACTGCGAATTTCAGGATTTTCATAAATACATGGTTGTTTATACCATTATCGTAGGACTGTTCTTTCGCTGGTTTTCATAAAAAGCATTATTATACTTATTGTCTAGTTGATATATTGTATAGTGGCTATACTTTATTTATATACGAAATTTGGTATAAAGAAAAGTCATCGTTATAGACTAATACAGAAAAGTGGTTTTAATCGGTTATTAGACGATTATTACTATTAGCATTGGAAATTAGAGTCTAGACCAACTGAATTCATTCATTATTAGAAAAAAAGGATTTTAAAGGACTGCAGTAGGTAGGATAGACTATACATGATGAGAAAAGAAGTTAAATACATACTATGGGGACATGTGATGTTGGTGATGTTTTTGGTTTGGTATACGTTTGACTTGATTACGTTGTTGCATGACGACAGTTTCAGCGATGCGCTTTTAGACGTGGAGTTGAACCCTACGAACGGGGTGCTTGATAAGCCGACTATTATTCCCAAGATAATCCATCAAACGTACAAGACGAACCAGATTCCAGAGATCTGGAAGCCAGGACAGCAAGCATGTGTAGACTTGCACCCAGACTACCAGTATATATTGTGGACCGACGAGATGTCGAGGGAGTTCATTGCAGAAGAGTATCCGTGGTTTTTAGAGACATGGGATTCGTATCCGTATCCTATTCAAAGGGCCGATGCAATTCGTTACTTTGCGTTAGTTCACTATGGAGGAGTGTACATCGATCTTGATGACGGGTGTGAACGTCCCCTTGACCCACTTTTGACTGTGTCGGCGTTTGTGCGTAAGACTATCCCAACGGGTATTTCAAACGATGTAATGGGTGCAGTCCCTAGACACCCATTTTTCTTGAAGGTTTTGGACAGTTTGAAGCCTTACAAAAAGAACTGGTTGGTGCCATATGTCACCATCATGTACACGACAGGTCCTTTGTTTTTGTCGGTGATTTGGAAACAGTACAAACGTTGGGGTGTTCCAGAAGCAGGTAAAGTTCGTATCTTGCTTCCAGAGGACTACAAGACTCATAAATACTCGTTCTTTGCTATTGCTCCAGGATCGTCATGGCATCTTGACGATGCTAAATTTGTGAAGTCGCTTGCTGACCACATTGGTTTAGCGGTGTTCGGTGGTTTTGTGATTGCTGGTATATTCTTTTTCGTAGAATACTTGTTGTATTTGCTTGTCATTTCCAACGGATTCAAAAAGTGTATGAAGAGAGTTACTTCAGTGTTCGCTCCATTGAACAAGTATGTGCCTCTCAATGTTCGCAGCAGAACTTTAAAGAAAAGATCCAGAAAGGATTCAAATTTACCCCCAGAAGTCGATTTTGATAATGATAAGACTATGGTTTAGTCTTGATATAATTGCGACTTGCGCATATTCAAATTTTAAATTCATTAAATCTAATGCCATCCGGTAACATGGAGGCTTTTGTCATTAAAGTCCAACTTATTTATGCGGTGTTTTACGCTGTTGTGACTTCATTTAATTCATATTTGGACACATTCAAGTGCATATGAATTCATAAGGTAATATGTAATTCATTATTATTACTAGATTCCCATGCAATGATAACTATGTCATGTGTTATCATTACTCGTTAGAATATTATTACCTTCTCATAATGGGCATTGCAATAAGGCATGCATAATTTAGTCATTAATTCATTCATTAATAATTTGTTATATGTTTTATTCAGTTTTGTATAATAGGGTTCTTAAAACCATTTTCATTTTATTACCAACTAGCATACACTCTTTTCACTGTTTTAGTTAATGAAGTTATGTGTATATTTCTAATTTATTTGCAATCGTAGATTTCATCTTTACATTATGCATGTGGTGATCTCGTGAACCTGGTTATCATCATTGTACGAGTCTACTTTCGTATTTCTATAGATCTATGATTATTGTCAAAAATATTTGTTCTTGCTTAAGAAAAAGATTTCTAAGTTTTTCGATTTTGGTGCAAAAATCATTAAAATCTATATCATTCAAAATTCTATAAATCTGAATATGCAATATGCGATTACTGTATATACAATATGCTCTAACTTTAAGAATCTATTTGGTTCATTAAGTTCGTTTCGCTCAACTTTAGTCATACTATATCTGTTACACACATTTATTACATTTAGGTCTACCTATCAGCACCTACTTCTAACAATTTCAAGTTCATTCTTTCGTATCTTTCTTTCTCATCAGCTTGTAATAAATCTTTGATTTTATCAGTTAAATTGTCTGCTATAACATAGGCCTTTTTGGCTAATTGCATCAAAAGCATTACATCTATTGGCAAACCACCGTTCTTAGATAATTGAATCAAATCACGATTTTTATTTATGGTTATGACAAGTGAGCCGTCTCTTAATAATTCTTCTTGCTGATTGGCATCAATTATAGATATCTCTTCATTCAAATCTCCCTTGATATTTTCTTCTATGCCCACCGGATTGAAAAACAGAAAACTTATACAGATTGGTACATGCAATATGGACAACGGAATAGGTTGTCTTTCGTCAATACTATGCACTATGATATCTTCCCCGTTTATCGAAATATCCGGCTTCTTAAAATGCTGCAATGCAACCATAACTCCCAAACTTGAAGCATCGATGATGCCCCCATCATAATTCAAAAAATTGATATCTGCTCTTATTTGCCAAACCTTAGATCCCGCTACAATACACAAGGACTCCAAATCCAACGCATTCGACCTTCTGATCGCCTTTTCAATAAGTCTAGATATCAAAATCTCATCGTCCGAATTTTTTCCATTTTCAAACTGGGCCGATGCCATGGGTGATATTTCTGTATTTATCATAAATAACCCTTCGAAAGGTCTATCTTCGTATGGAGCAACAATCTCAGCTGAGACCCTTACTGCCAATTTTGTTAATCCCCATTCAATCTCAACATATCCATACTCTGTAGGAGATAATGTTATATTTGGCTGTCTGGCCTCATCTAGTTTTCTACCGTCTGTTCTAAATCCTTGTTTAAGGGATTCTAAAACATATAACTGTTCGTTCGTTGATATTTCCACGCCTTTTGCCATATCAAATAATGTTTTATTTCTGAGTCTTAATAACTACAGTACTATGCTAAACTCATCTAATATTTTTCAAAAAAGGTCAAAATAGAAACTTGCGATTTTGTGTCACTTCTCATGACTTCAATATTCTTTGGTGGCACTCTAGCTAAGTAAATCTAAATTGGAACGATAGAGTACTCTGTATTCAACTACAAGAAATTATGTTAACTAGACAAGCGATAATAAATTCTAATAAGCTAATTGCTAGTAGAAGATTTGCAAATTTGCAAAATGTTAGAAAATTTACCAATAATCCCTCAAATTTCCAACCAAGCTTGACTTTCTTCCAGAAAGAAAGACTCCCAGCTAATACTATAGTAAAGTTCGTTCCGCAACAAACAGCATGGGTTGTGGAAAGAATGGGTAAGTTTCATCGTGTTTTGTCGCCAGGTATTGCTTTTTTGATTCCAGTTTTGGATAAAATTACTTATGTTCAATCGTTGAAAGAGTCGGCTATTGAAATTCCATCACAAAATGCCATTACGGCTGATAATGTGTCATTGGAGATGGATGGTATTCTCTATGTCAAGGTGAATGATCCTTATAAGGCGTCTTATGGAGTTGAAGATTTTAAGTTTGCTATAAGTCAATTGGCTCAAACTACCATGAGATCTGAAATTGGTTCGTTGACTTTGGATTCGGTTTTGAAGGAAAGGCAGACGTTGAATTTAAATATCAATAAAGCCATTAATGAAGCATCTAAAGAATGGGGTGTTGAGTGTCTTAGATACGAAATCAGAGACATCCATCCGCCGCAAAATGTCTTAGAAGCTATGCACAGACAGGTCAGTGCCGAACGTTCGAAAAGAGCAGAGATCTTGGAATCTGAAGGTACCAGACAATCTAGAATTAATATCGCAGAGGGTGAAAAGCAATCTGTCATCTTATCGTCAGAAGCTAATAAGCAAGAAAAGATTAACATGGCTAGAGGTGAAGCCGAATCAATTTTATTAAAGGCAGAGGCTACTGCTGAAGGTTTAAAGAAAGTCGCCGTAGCTATTAGAGAAACTCCAGGTGGTGAACAAGCTGTTAGTTTACAAGTTGCTCAAGAATATGTTAAGCAATTTGGTAACCTTGCCAAGGAATCAAACACTGTTGTTATTCCTTCTAACATGGGTGACATGGGTAACTGGATGGCCAGTGGTTTATCAATTTACAACAGTTTGAATAAACAAATCGATAATGAAAAGAAATAGACAACTAGAAATAGCCATTTCTAATTAATTAGTTAATTAATTATTGAATATGTTGTAAATAGCTTCTATTTTATATACGTCTATCTATTATGCTTTTTTAAAAAATCCATCTAATGCACCTTTACCTACTGCAACTTTCTTTACCTCCTTCTTTCTTACAACCTTTTTCTTAGAGTCTTTCTTTTTTGTTTCAACTTTTGTTGTGGTTTCAACTACCGCATTCATATTTGATTCTACTAATTCAAGCTCTTTCCTTTGGATCTGTATGTCTTTCAAGTATGCGTTCAATTTGTCGAATTCATACCCTCCATTATTTATTAATTGATTTCGTATTTCAATTGGTGTATATGATCCACATATCAAGTCAATTGAATGCCTTATAATTGACAATTGTAAAATTTCCGATGGTATGTCATTGCTTCCCTCACTTATTGGCTTATATAACTCCTGCTTGATTTTCAGTATTATGGAGAAATCCGATTGGGTACTAAGGTACGCCAGCAATTGCGAAACCTTTCTATTTAGATACTCAATAACCTTTTTAGTAGAATATTTGTAGAATATTTCATCATTTTCTTCAATTGTATCGCAGATGTCAGATAAGGCTGATTTGTACATTTTCACAGGTATAGCTCCAACCCAAGAATTATTTTCAAATAAACTGGAGATAGTATCACTAAAATCTTCAAAAGTAATAAATCTTTTGGCAAATGATTCGTTATTATACATAATTGATATCAAATAATACACCAAATTGAATTTTGTTGATACTATTAAATTTGGCGATTGAACAACGCATCCATTTTCCTCTGACTCAAATATAAAAGACTTTACAGACAGTCCTGTGTTAGGGATGACGGGCCTCTTACTGTCATTGGGAAGGTAGCTGTTGTCTCCTTTAATTTCCCTTAATTCGAATAATTGATCATCGCGTAACAAGTATGATTTAAATGACTTTTGATCCGAAGCATTCGGTAATTTAACAATCGAATACACCCCTTTTTCTTTGGGCAATAGTATTACTTTAGTTCCTTCATGAACATTCATTATCTTCTATTGAATATGTAAATTTAAAACCTAAATAAATAGAATAAATAAAGTAAATACACCAAAAATCTCTGAAAATTAATTCTACTACGCGATTCGGTATTGTTATAACCCAACCCACGATTTAATAAGATCTTTAACTGCACCAATACTTGCCATAATGACCATGATTGTACCAAATATACTAAATCCTAAAGAACTCATCAGAGCAGCTCTAGGATCAACATTTAATAAGTGAGCTGTTGCAATGGCACCACAATTAATACCTAAACTAACACCTCTTGTAACATAATCATTCTTAGAGACTCTTAATAAATTGAACAAAGTGTCCCCTACTAATACTCCACAAATACCACTCAATATAGTACAAACAGCCATTAGCGATACTGAGCCATCTAGCGCATCGATCAATGGTGTTCCTAATGCTAGTGTAACAGATCTTCCAATAAATCCTATTGATCTTTGTGATGCAATACCTATGTTGTAACAGATTACTGGGTAGCAGAAAAATGTTAATGCTATAGATATTACAATTGGAGGGACTAGGACCCAAAAGTTCTTCACGAAGTCCTTTCTGTGAGTAAACATTGGCAAAGAAAGAGAGACAATAGAGACGTCCATCAATGAAGACAAAACATCTCCACATCCAGGCCATTTTGGGGTTGCAGTGAAGTCCGAGTCCAATTTATGATCAATCTTTCCACTATTTAATAAGATCTTTTCGTTGAACAAGTTGAGGTACGTCTTTCCTGTTTTGTAGAACTTCAAATCATCCAAAAACCCCTTCAATTCACCTCTGTGATATATTAAAGAACCAATAAAGCATACAAAAAGGATTTCAGCCGTCAGTATTAGAATTGGATGTGCAATTTTTTTCAATTTTGGCCACCTCAAGGGAATTAATAATGCTATATAATATGATATTATTGTCAAACCCAAATGATATGGCAAAAATACATGGATTGACTTAATGTAATAAAATGGTAATGATACAATGAATAGGATAAAATATAATATCCAGTCAATATAATTTGTGATGAATATTATAATACTCTGACAGGAATCGCTAAAGTCCTTGTTTTCGAATATTGATACAGATGGAGATGTCGAAGCAACTGAGGGAGAATTAGTTCTAGCAATTGTACTAACTGGTGTCAGTTTTACACTAGGGGGAGCTTGCGAATCTCGTAAATAAATTGGACCAGGCTCAGGAACATTTGGAATATCTACTGAGCTCATAGAGACTTCATGAGTAAAAGGATTTTCATCGATGCCATTATTTACTGGTGGTTCATTTTTCGTTGCCCTTAAACTCGATAAATCGATCGTAGTGATATCATCTCTCATTGTAGTTATAGCACCATCACCACCACTGCCTAAGCTTTGTAATTCAATTTCTTCAATACCTTCGCCCTCTTCTTCTTCAGGAGTACTTTGCTTGTTGTCATGGCTTAAATTATCATCACCTTTCATGAAACCAAAACTTTTGTAAATCCATTTCAAGCCTAAAATTAAATAAACATCAACACAGAAAAGACTAAGAAATCCGACAACAAAAACACCAGCAATTTTCAAGCATTCTATGAACGAAATTGGATCTGATAATGGCAATATAATAAAAGATGGAATAAAAAATACATTTATCCATTTCAAAGTAAAATTCATCGAAGGTTTAATTAGCCTCAAATAATTAGTGAATATAAATGAACTCCATTTGCTAATTTTATATTTCATTGAAGTCTTGTCAGAGCTTTGTAGTTCAGCCAACACACTTAAGACACTCAATAATATCAAATTAATCAACATGCCCAACACCGAACTTGGAAACCTGATCTTCAAAACATTACTTAATAATTGATTAAAACCATATAATATTGTAAATAACACCAAAATTCCAAAGGGAACTATAATGAACGAGTCTACTAAATGACTCTTCGAATAATAGACTCCATAGACAATGCCTTTACCAAAGTCTTCTAATGTTGCATCTCTGAAAAATTGTTTAATAGATTGCAATCTAGATGCTTCTTGATTTTGAACCATTTCACTCCCGATACTATGGGGTAATTTTGCAATTGTCTATAATTGTAACCAGAGTACCTTGATTCCAGATAAATATACTCAAATATATCGTAAGCGGTATGTGTAATAGTAGCGGATGAATATTTTGATAATTCTACCAGAGTAAAATTGGCGAAAGTGGTCTTGATATGTCCATCATCTTATATCCGAGGATCGCTATTTCGATCTTTAAGATCTACACTATAATTGATACATTTTTAAATTAATTAAATAGTATGATAAAGTATATAATATATAAAGCTTATGAAGGAAGGATAATACAACCGATTAAATGAATTTATTTAATGTATATCCGAAGATATTTTATGAAAATTTAAATGTCTACATGGATGTTTGACCATGCGTACATCGATGATGAGTGACGATTAATGAAAAGTACAGTTCAGAATCAACTGCAATTGACCTTAAGCATACAATTAATCTTGATGCCGCTAACTATCTTAAATGTCAGCCTTTGATTCAATAATTTCTCTGAATTCTTCTTTGGCGTATCTTAAACCACAGTAACCGCATGTGTTGGCCTTAGGTTGGTCCAAATTGATGAAAATCTTAGGGTGACCTTGCAAGGTGTCACCTTTGTTACCATCACAGACTGCAACATTCCCATCCTCGTGAGAAAGGTATCTAATTGGCTCTTTGGCAATTAAATCTATAGCTGCGTATGGTCTTGGTTGAACTTCCAAATCTCTTTGAACAAATCTGACTGGATGTTTGGCAATAATGTCGGATCTGACTTGTTGGGATTGGGACCAAGTGGTTTTTCTATTTGGCGCTTGTTCAGTAACTGGGTTTTCTTTCAATTCAGATTTTGTTAAGCCAGTACTGGAAAAACGAACCATTTGCTTGTTGGCTATTAAGCGTCTGGCGCCTATTCTGTAGCTGGACATCATCTTGGGGTAAATATATCACTCGAAAGTATGCTAATTAACTATGGTACTATATAAGCATTAAAATGTCTAATTTTCAATTGGTTGTTCAAAAGCGATTTTGTGTCACTTCTACTAAAAGGATTTTAGTTACCCGGTTATTAACTATAATAAGCTACTATATAGACTGTAGTCCCTAATAGTCTTTGCAAACAGAATAAACATGTAGCATTGATAAACATATAAGAAATAAAAACCACTATCGATAACATAAAACAACGGACAGAAAATTATAATATGTAGTATATATAAACATAAAGGGTGTTAATTAAAATTAATCAAAGCAAAAGTAATGTATAAATATTAAATTATTATCATTGTTATTGTCATAATAGTAGGCCAACGTTTGTAAATCTACAACAAGAATCGTAATCCCACACCTACTTTTGAATCAAGAGTAAAAAAAAATTAACCTGGGAACAATAATTAATAATTTAACCAATCAACACAGGGAGTAAGATGCAAAACTTATAACACAACACACTTCTTCTTCTTTTCCTTCTTTTCTTTAGTCTTCAACGAGGCTCTAGTAGCAGCTTCGAAAACCTCTCTGACACCCTCTCCAGTTCTGGCAGAACATTCCAAGTAGTAACTGGTACCAATCTTTTGGGCAACCGCTTGACCTTCGGAGGTAGAGACTGGTTGTTGTTGTTGTTGACTTAATTGATGGATAGTGTTTTGGTCGTTTCTTAAATCAGACTTACAACCAACCAAGATGATTGGTACACCTTGACAGAAATGTAACACTTCTGAGATCCACTTTTCTAACACGTTATCTAACGAATCAGGAGAATCAATCGAGAAACAGATTAAAATAACGTTGGAATCTGGGTAAGACAAAGGTCTCAATCTATCGTAATCTTCTTGACCGGCAGTATCCCATAAGGCCAATTCAACCTTTCTGCCATCAACTTCGACATCAGCCACGTAGTTTTCGAAAACAGTTGGGACGTAAACTTCTGGGAATGTACCTTTAGAAAACACAATCAACAAACAAGTTTTACCACAAGCACCATCACCAACGATAACTAATTTTCTACGGATTTCAGCTGGAGGAGGAACCATTATGCAACTAGAACATTGTTAGTATATTGCCATCTATTGTGGTTGTTATTAAAATCGCAGGGTCGCACTTGTCAAATATTTCTTCGCTAAAGTGGTTCAAAACAAATCTGGGATGTATGATCGCGAGGGGGTATTAATCATCCGAATAATAACATATCATCACTTCTGACCCGTTCGACGTCTTGTAGACCACTCATGTATCTCATAAACTCATCCACAGCGGCTGGAGTTCCTCCAGCCGCCCTTTTCGTCGAAAGGAGGTTGTCGATGTCTTGCATTCCTTCGTACTACCATCGACACTCTCCTGGTCCTTAGAGCCCGTCTATCGTCGCTGTAACTCCACAGGCGACCGATCTGACGTCCACATTACTCCTCGACAACTTCCCGTCCCTCTGGGACTCTGATACCACGATCCTTGTCGCTGTGATCTTTGTTCACTTCTCGCTCGCTGTCCCGATCCCGTGGGTGTACCCTGCGATTCAAAACAATCAATTAATCAATCATATTGACCGAATTGCTCAACGTACCTATTATTATGTATATGCTATACTTTGATTATGAAATAAATAAATCTAATACAATAATCTGTTGTATTTTTATCAATAGTATATAAAGATATTAGAGAACAGATTGATATTTAATACAAATTAGCCGCCCTTTCGATTCAAAAATTTCATTCTAAGGGCCACGCGACATTTCTACTTCCAACTGCATTGTAGTCGCGCGACATCCCGCGACATTGGGTCAAATCATAACAGCAAGTGAGGTCGGCGCAGTGCCAACAATCAAATAAAGAACAATCAAGAACATTCGCACAATACTCGTTGGAAACGTAGGAATCGCAGATAGATCGCAAGGTGAAGATCAGGCTACAGATGCTTTTAAAGCGGCAGAAGTGGCAGAAGTGACAGAAGTGTACGGAGTACGGAGTGGTAAGTAAGTAAAGTATGTGTTGATCGGGAATGTAGTATGAATTGACTATGTAAGCATGTATAATGTACTATGTAATGTATTAATAGAGTGGTCTATACACAGGTGGGATGTATGGAATCACAGGGGATAAGGGAAGGGCTAGGTGCTCCACGACATAATGTCGTAATGTCGTAGGATGATGCGATAGCACTACGTCTAGTTGATGTGAAGGGGCCATCGTGGCGTTCTATGGCAGAACAGAAGTCGTGTAAATGATCAATAATTAGCATTATATCCGATACCGCCGACGGGTCGGTGATGTCAGTCGGGTGACTATACACGTGATGTGTTGCACCCTAGCTCTGATGGTGGTAGTCTAGTTGTCTGCAAGTTGGGTTGGTTCATCTGACTGTTCAGACGACACAGATGGTTCGCCGGATGGATTAGATGGTCCATTGTGTTCATGCAGTTCGGATAGCTCAGAAGTTTCGGGTTCGGGCTCGGGCTCGTGCGTGAGCTTGCCCTTTACTTTCCTGGGGGGAAGAACCTCATTGAAAGCCTTTCCCCAGTCCTTGTCGTTTTCGAACCACTTGCAGCACAATTCAAATACGTGTGATGTGGCAAGAACCTGTCTCCCGTTCATTTTAATGAACTTGTCGATGGGTAATCTACCGATTTTAAGGCCAAGCGATTGGGCCTTGTTGAGGCACAAGTTTTTGTATCTATTTTTGTCCACAATGCCTCCAATTATATATGTGTGATGTGGCTCGAGGGTGTCGATGACCTCGTCGGTGTCGGCCGTCAAATATACGTACTTGCTGAGGGCCTCTTTGTCGTTCATTGGCAAGATATCTTCCAATTTATCGTTTTCGACAAACGTTACGTTGGTCCACTTGTCGTACTGTGGTATTGCCTTTTCAAATCGTTTTTTCAAGTTCTTGTTGAACGATGCGATGTCCAATTGCACGTCATAGGTGCTGTGTTTCTTTGCCGAGTATGATCTGGTAATTTGGTTTGACAAGGATACGATCTCCTTGTCATTCATAAGCGCATCGAATTCGCAGTCCATTATTATCTTCACGTCGGTGCTGATTTGCTCTTGCGGTGCCACTTTGGCTCTCTTCATCTGATGGTAGTTGTGCAGCTCTTCGCTATTTTCTCCATTAGCTTCTGCCTCCTTTATACGCTCCTTACGACGTTCTCTAGCTGCCTTCTTCTTTTCTCTCTTTTTCTGTTTGTATTCATCCTTGGTTTCTTCCCATCGTTGCTGCTTCAATTGTCTCTTGTATTCTCGTTTGGTCATACCCTCTGGCACAACCACCTTCTGACGCTTAAATACATTTTTTTCATCATCGGACCCACCTCTCTTCTGTGATTGTTCTGTATCTTGATTTTCCATCTCCTTAGAAGCTATATCGCCTACCTTCACGGTGTCTATGTCCTTATCTGACATTTAATTGTGGGTAATGCTGACCTTGCAATGCATCTTGAAAAAAAATTTATCTCGCAGATTTTGACTCTACAAATTACATACACGACTGCAACTTAATATATGTACAATTAAATTAGGCCCTATAAATACTAACTACAAGCAATGAGCCTCTGATATTAATTATTGATTGTGTTTTTTTTCATTCATTCATTATATTGTTAGGATCCGTTTCAAAACGGTCACTAAGGGTGTTTTGAAATTGTTGATTGAAATACCCAACTGGATCAAAATCCCCTGATATGAGTTCTACCGGATCGTACTTCAGTGCCATGACCAGAAGCCACATCTGGTCTATTTCTTCGTTATTAGGATAGGTAAAATCTTGAAGCGGAGAAATATCGTCTATCATTGCTGGAGAGAAGTCTAAAATAGAACCGACATCCATATACCCTTTCGTTTTCGTTTTGTTATCATTGTCATTTTCTGGGTAAATATCTCCAACAACAGTATCACGTCTAGATCTACCTGATGATTTGTAGTCCGCTGTGTCGAGATGTATATCTACCGAATCTTGATAATTAACTATTGCTTCTAGATCCTTGCCTAAAGAGTATGTTATCGCTTCCATATCATCCACCTGTGAGTTAGTAAGTTTTAAACGATTTATCCCTGGTGAATCTGCTGGAATTTTATTGTAAAATTCAGGGTCATTGATAATTGATAAAAGATATTTCTGTGCCTGCACCACTCTCCATGCATAAAAATACCTATCAGATACCTTAGACATTAGACCTAGCATAAGATTTCCAATTGTTTTATTGTTCTTCAACAAGTTGGAAATTTTCAAAAATTTTTTTCGATATTCTACGTCTTCTTTCATAAGACGTGAATGATCATAATTCTTCAGCATATCGTGGTACTTGTAGGCAATTCTTACTGAAAATGCAAAGTGACATTGATTGAATTTATGGATGGCCATCTGGGCATGTGGATTAAGGATAAGTCCATCATTGCTAAATTTTCCATGGAACACTGCAAAAATATATGGTAGCAAATCGTTTTGGAAAATCACGTAACACTTCTTGAAATAAAAGAACATAATGTCAAATCGTAACTTATTTTCATAGTGGAGATATATGTGATGGTACAACACTAGAAACGATCCTTTAAGTGCAATAAAAACCCTTGCATTTATCACATCTATGAATCGTTGGGCAATTGAGTTATTACTTGACACATGGGACAAAGTGTAAAAGTCTTCTCGACAAACTCTCTCTACTTCATTTAGTGTCTGAGTCAATTCATTCATTGAATAAGTTCCTTGAATATCCAGAAACGTATCAACAATTTTTCTAATTGTACTTAACCTATAATGAAACCATTCAAATGTCTGCGCAATAGCTTCTTCTAATTCTCTATTATCAGAAGTCATATTATTTTCTGTGAAGTATGGAAATCCAACGTCATAATGTTTGGGGTCAATTGACATTGGATTGCCAACATGAAAACAATGTATAATATCACTTCGGACTAGAAAATGCCACATTCTCCTCCCTAAATTATTGATTCGTTCATCATTACATACATCCTGAAACTTATTAGGCTCTCTATTCAATCCTAGTGCATACGCCATCTGAATGAGAACAGCCGTAGATACTTGAGAATCACCACCATCTGTTCCATCACCATCTTCTGGTGCGGCACTGTGATATACTCTCATATATAACGTGGCTTGAAACACAGTCAAATTAGTCTTCCGTGATATCTCAAACCGATCCAAGCATAATTGTGCCATCTCTATGACGATAACGTTAACTGGATTCAAAAATAAGTATTTCATATCCTGTACTGTAGGTGATGGATCATTAGAATGGATTATCTTTTCATTTATACATTTCCTATTGGAAAATAATGATAAATAGGTGAACCTTAACAATATCAAGCATATTGCAACATGGGCTAAGTCTAATCGTTTGACAATTTTCATGTGTTCAAAGGGTACATCTTCATAACTTTTCGCACCTAGAATTCTTACCATATCTGCCGTGAAGTATTCCTTATCAACAAATGGCATAAATGGATATAGTGTTTCAAAGAATCTATCAATTAGTTTCCATACTACTCTCTTTTTGGGCATTATTGTCTTGATGTTCTCAATCAACTTCAATTCAGGGTCAAACTTCCCATCAAACAACGTGCTGGTCAAAGTTGACGTACTGAGATCTGTTTTATTCTTCGATTCTGCATTATTGGTTCGAAGAGTTAGCAATTTTTTGTACGGAACTAATTCTTCGTATCCTTCAACCTTCAATAATTTGCTGACAAATTCACTGTCTGCTTTTCCCTGCTTCTCACAATTTGTTGATAATTCATTTATATTTTCTTGACTAAAATTTGGTACACTTTTCATCAAAAACCAGAGAGGTGTAGGACGTGTTCCAACATATTGGCAAACTTTATATAAACAGGGATCCTTTTTCAATAGACTTGCCCAGCAAAGAGGGTTGAAGCACAATCTTCTGGATTCGTCCTTCACATGAATCGGCGTATAACCATCATGAAAATTTACCATATCATCGTCCGGTCCAACTGGATTGGAAAAATGTGGATTAAAAGCAGGCACCACGTATTCTTGGACATAAAAGTCTGATGTTGTTGATCTGGGCGTCATTTTACCTTGTACGCTGCTGAGAGCGGACGATGGGTTACTCATAGACTGGATATTGTAACCTGCTGTATTCCCAATATTCTGTCGAATTCCTTTCTGTCGTTTCGGTTTTTGTTCATCCTTAGTAACTGATACCGGCTGCCATTTACTTTCGTAAGTACATTCAGAACCAACGTTTGAATTGATACAAGATGAGCAAGGTAATTCCCTATTACACTTGATTTTTCTCCTCTTGCATCTTGTACAAACCAATGTTGGCTTGTTTCGTTTCTTCGGGTGATCGTCCTTCATCAGTCTTTATATATTTGTCTTGATAGATCATTAAATTAATGATAAATTACAAAGAAGCACAGAATGAATGTTTAACTTATCTCAGCGCTCTCGTGATTTTGATGTATTAGTTATATTTTCCAGCCTCATATAAAATATATTTACAAATTATATACAATGTTAAATTCCTACGCCATCAGCGTTATTGAATACCTGATCAAGAGGTAGCTCACTGAAAATATCAAAATGGATAGCCTGCTCCAAATCGATCCCGTACCTATCAATATTAGAATTGTAATTCTGACTTGAAAGTGGGGTTGTTCCTTCTTGAGACTTATTAAATCCAGCAGGGCCAGCACCCTTCTGAGACTGTTCATTATTCTCCATATAATTAATACCTGGTGAATTTGTAAAACCATTTACCATTCTTTGAGAATCAAAACTCAAAGGGTCACCGTTTTCTTGCATACCACTATCAAACATTTTATTATCATGTTTTACACAAAGCATTTGGAACCACAACTTATCAATTTCTGCATTATCAACGTAATTCGATTCGAATCCCTTATAAATAGTATTATTCTTTAATGTGGAATTAGTGTTATTTTTATCAGTATTAGTAGTATTAGCTCTCAAATTTGGAGTGGTTGCATAGTTGTTGGCAGTACTAGGATTCAGCCTGGTACTAGGTGTCTCACTCTCCGAATAGAAGATGTTGCAGAATTCTGATTGAAATTCATTAGAATTTGTTTCAAATTTACCAACCTTGTTTAACGTCGTTTCACATATTTTGATTAAATCTTCCATTTGTTCAGTCGTAAAACGCTGGACACAAAGATGGTTGACCTCTTTGTATTTGTCCATATAGAAGTCTTTGTTTGTAATCGTTTTCAATAAATATGTATGTCCTTTTGTAATTCTCCAAGCATAATAGTATCTATTACTAATCTTTGATATAGCTTCGATCGAAAACTCGGCACATCTAGTTAAATACGTGGATAATTTGCACAACATTCTAAAATTTAAACGATAGGCCAGATCAATAATCATTTTTTCGTTGTGTCGATTGTCTCGTGTCATACTATAAATAATGAAATTTGTCTTCACTAAACATGCAAGATTTACTTGATTTGATTTATGAATTGTCATCTCAAGAGTCGGGTTAATGACGAAGTCACAAATAATGTCACTGTTACCTAGCAAGTCAAAGTAATGGGGCATGATGTCTCTAGTAGCAATTAATAGCATCTTCTTTAAGTAGAAAAACGACAAATTACTATTTTTCTCTTCATAATAAAGATATAAATGAAAGTAAAGCGAAACAAAGAACGAATTAATTGATAAATAAATCTTCGTTTTAAAATTCCTAGTGAATACGTATGCATGACAGTTCTTTTCGAGTGGCCTTAAACATTCGTCCAAATTACCATATTCATTGTGTAAAATGATTTCAAGATCTGACAATAATTTAGTCAACTCTGACATTTTAGTTTTACTATTAACATTTAATACAAGTAATAGAACCTCTCTCATCCGAATACAAGCTCCTCCACAAGAAAAAAAAGCTTGTGTCACATTCCTATCCATATTAGGGTCAAGTGTATTCTCGTTTCCTTTTTCAAAAATGGTATTTTAGTATCGAAAAACATACTATCCACCGATAATGGATTTCCAAAACAAAACCCAAGATACGAATCGAGAAAACATAGAGAATGCCAGATCTTTCTTCCTAAATGATTCATTTTTGGGTCATTGCAAACATCAGGGAAATTGTCCGGTTCTCTATTTAAACCAAGCGAGTAGGCCATTTGCACCAACATGGCATTCAATACCTGGGCGTCGCCACCATCAGCACCATCACCATCTTCAGGTGCATACATATGGTAGAGTCTAATATACAAACCCAATTGCAAAACTGGAAAGCTAGACTTTCGTAATAATTGAAATTGATCTAGACATAACTGAGCAACATCAATTGTATTGATATTGATTGGGTTTGACAACAAGAATTTCATATCTTGAGCCTCAGGGCTTGGATCTGTAGTTCTTAATCTTTCCTCATTCACTGAAGTTTTATTACAGAACAAAGATAAGTATGATAATCTCAACACCACTAATAATATTCCAATATAAGCTAAGTCTAGTCTCTTTTCAACCTTAATTTGTAGAATTTTCGTATCTTCGAAAGATTTTGGCCCAAGTATTCTAGTCATATCCTTAATTAAAGATTCTTCATCTATAAATGGTATAAATGGGTACAACCAAGTAAAATATCTATCAATAAGTTTCCATATAACTTTTCTAGTTGGTAGAATTATTTGAATTTTGTCAATAAGATGTAATTGGATTCTATCACTAAGTCTCAATTCTTTACCAGTTTGTCCTTCATAAAACGTAAGTCCTAATGGTAATGTATTCTCATTTAATCTAGACTTCTTGTTATATAACTCTGTTCTCGCCTTCAATACATTAGTATAAGGAACCATATCATCATATCCATCAGTCTCTAAAGCCCTCTTCTTAAAATAAGCCTCTGGGTTATCAGACTTATCACCCTCAAACGTCGATGTTATAACATTCGTATTCTCTTGCGTAACCTCATGTTTTGACTGGGAAAACATCATACTAAAATTATTTTCCCTATTTGACTTTTCCTTTTGCTCAATCACATAATCCCACAACACCCTCAATCCTGAGTCCTTTTTCATTAAGGAAGACCATGCAAATGGCCCAAAATTTATACGTCTCATGGGTTCTTGAACATGAATTGACGTATAATTTTCATAAAAATTGATTGTTTCGTCCTCATCTCCGTATGGATTAATACCACTAAGTGAATCAAGATCTGATGTACTTGATCTAGTACTTTGAGTATACGAAGTATTCAAGGAATCAACCGAACTCGGGGTGTTTCCGAACAGCATATCACATTGACCCGAAGGCTTCACAGAATTTATGTCCGGCAAATTCCAATTAATTGGGGGCAATTGAACTGATGTGTTCCTATTTTTCACTGGGTACGGAGATAATTTCACCGGTGAACCTATTGGTGATACTGCTTCAATCTTGACTTTACCCATTCCGGATCCCTCAGCAGCCGACTTGATGTCATTGAATTTTGGTATTACCTGAGCTTGTGGCGCCTGACTCTTCAATAAACTCTCAATTTGTTGCAAACGCCCCTTAAGATCATCTAATTCCTCTTTGGGTATTGTCACCTCTTCCAGCGAATTGAATTTATGTTTATTCGTATGTTTGCCATTGCTGATATTTCTACCATTTGCAGCAAAAGTCATCGGATTTTTGGCACTATCAATATAAGGAAGATAACCACTATCCGGAGAACCTTCTGAGATCCCATTATTTTGATATATACATGAAGTCGTTATCTTTGCCTTGATACACTGTGAACATGGATGGCCCTTATCACATTTAATTTTTTTCTTCTTACAATTATCACATACGAGGCTCGCCCTCTTTCGCTTTTTTAGACTTGGATCACTCATAACGGTATAGCTATTGCTTTAAAAAAAACCTTCCGGATGTCTTGTATCTGAAAGGAATAGAATATAGAAATAGCTGTTAAAAAGACATCATATATGAATTAATAATCTTTAATGCGGACTTAACCCAAAGTAGAAGTATTCCGAACAGTGAAATATAATCGGAATCTATTACACAAAAAGAGAAGACTATACTAAATTCTGGCTGAATATTTGATCTAACGGTAAGTCACTGAACATATCAAGGTCTTCAGAGTTACCAAAGTCAAAAGGTTGGTTGAAAATGTTATCTGGTTGAATATCGGTGGCTTGAAAATTATAATTGTCATTTGGTGGTCGATTTTGTAGTGGGTATGATGAATTTTGGGACAGGGTTTGGTATTCGCCGTGATAAGGAGTGGTGTACTGACTAGGAGGGTATCTTTGATTCTGATTTGGGTTTTGGTTATGTTCATTTGCTAGAGTACCAAATAAAGCCATCGTCCTTGTATCACTATTGGAAAACCCTGTTTGATTAGAGGAATTGTCCTGCGTAGGCATGAAATTTCTCTTTTGGTTCTTCATTGAAAGCATTTGCAACCATAACGAGTCAATTTCGGAACTCGTACCAAAATCCAACATTTCAAAGTCAGTGGGAGCCATAATCGGCTCGGAAGAATCTGTTGAAGGTTTAGTTGCCTTCGTAGTATTATAATTGGTCAGATGATCAATTATACCAATGGAAGAAGCAGGTGAGTTTTGTGGTGATGTATTGAGCAAGATACTGGGCATTTGTGGTTGGTTCTTCAAGTCGAATAATCTTTGAATCTGATAATCTTCACAATGGGAAGCAATAATCGAGTTCAATTTCGCAAAACTACTCTCCGTTATATCTATTAATTCCTGTAACTGAGAAGTCCCTATATTTTCAACCCCAATGTCACAGTCCATGTTTTGAAGGTAAAACTCTTCATTTTTAACAATTCTTAGTAAAAAGGTGTGACTTCTATTAATACCCCAAGCGTAATAATACCTCTGACTCATAATTGAAGTACCTAGGATACATACTCTTGCACAATTTTCAAGTAAGACAATATATCTTCCCAATTTCTGAAACCTGATTTTATAATTAATGTCAGAGTTTAGCTTTACCCGATGATCTGGGTCTCTGATCATACGATGCAACGTAAAATTAGCTTTAATCAACATCGAAAGATTAATTTCATTTGCAATATGAATGATTCTCTCTAAATGTGGGTTTATAAGTAAATCTGCTCCCTCTCCAAATATCTCTTGGCCTTTGCAAACATGCAAGAATAAGCTAGGTGCTAAGTCAGATATGCAAGATAATAATTTCTTTCTGTAGTAAAATGATATGCCATGGTTTTTTTTGGCTTCATAATGAGATATCAAATATGAATAAATTGATATATAAAATCCTTTTAGGGAAAGAAGTACTCTTAGTTTAGTCATTTTCACAAAGGAATAAGTATCTCCCTTAGATTCCAAAATATTTGTATAGTCACTAGGTTCGCCAAATAGCTTATGAGGGCAAATCTCAAGTCGATTTAAATACTGTGTTAATTCAGACATTTTAATATCTCCCCTTAAACTTGAAGTAAGTTTCAAAATATCCTTCATTGGTCCATAAATCAACCCTCCAGCAAATCCATGGCATTTTGCAATAGCTTCATCCAAATCGTGATTTAAAACATTTTCATTTCCTTTCTTATAAAATGGAACCTTTGTGTCATAGAACATACCAGCTGATGCCAAGGGACTGCCATAAGTGTATGCATTCATAAAATCGTTTATTAATAAGCTATGCCATATCTTCCTTCCCAAGTTATTAAGCCTTTCGTTACTTGGATGGTCGTTAAAATTGTCCGGTTCTCTATTCAAACCAATTGCATATGCCATTTGAATTAGGATACTAAGAGAAAGTTGAGAGTCTCCTCCATCCACACCATCACCTTCCTCGGGAGCATATTTATGGTAAAGTCTAACAAAAAGTGCACATTGTAACACGACTAAACTATACTTTCTTGTAAATTGAAATTGATGTAAACATACTTGCCCAATATCAAATGCATTTATATGCACAGGATTTGATAACAAATACTTAGTTTCCTGTGCAGCGGCTGAAGTATCGCTTGTCTTTAGTCTTGCATTGTTAACAGAGCATCTATTGGAAAACAATGACAAGTATGCCAATCTTAGTACAATCAAAAGAGTACCTAAGCAGGCCAAATCTATTCGCTTTTCTACATGGATCTCTTTCACTTTCTCATCATCGCATGATTCTGGTCCAATTAATCTACTGACTTCTTGCCTGAAATCAATCTCGTCTAAAAATGGAAAAAATGGATAAAGGAAACGGAAAAACCGCTTTATTAATAACCAAATTACTTTTTTCTTCGGGATGGTGTATTTAATTTGTTCAACCAATCGAAGTTCTCTATCCACTTGACTATCGAATAATGATAGCCCTAATGGTAGCGAATTGGCATTAAGTGAACGTCTACGTGGACGGATTTTGGCATGTATACTGGAACCTTTATACGACATAAAATTATTCGCTTCTAAGTCCTTCCTTGCGAATTCTTTCGAACTTTCTGTAGCTTCACTCTCCTCCATGATCGTATTAGTAGGGTTGGTTGAACTTTCAGTGCCAGAATTTTTTAAGCTATATCCAGAACGTGCATTTGCAGATTCAGCAAGTTTGCTTTTGTTTTTAGCTATCACAAGAGTTCCGCCTTTTCCAGTTTCAAATTTTTCGTATTGACTATATCTCTTTAATAGAACTAACCCTCTGTCCTTTTTCCATACCGAAGACCAATTGAAAATTCCATTGAAATTACTCGAAGGCTCTCGAATGTCAATAGACTTAGAGTCATCAAATAAATTAATTATTTCGTCTTGGTCTTCGTAAGGATTTACACCTATGTATGGGTTTCTTGGTATATATGGCTCATCACTATTCCACGATTCCCCTTTTATGATTTTTTCTGCATTCTTTTCTTTCTCAAGGAAGAGCGTACAGAAACAACAATTGTTCACTTCACCTGGTAAATCAGGGTTATGCAATACATTGCCTGTCATCGGACAAGGTTGTATGTGTTGATTCAATGCTGTCTTTTGGATAACTCCATCGTCAAAAAGTACTATTGTTTCAGTAGATGCAGCTGGTATCTTGGTTTCCTTTTGCAAGGTCTCATATTTTTGCAATTTCGCATGTAGTTCATCAAGTTTTGACTTTTCCACAAGTAAAACAGAGTTATCGCCAGCTTCTGTATGTGCCGGGCTCAGGTTTTTATTACTGACGTCGCTTTCTCCATTTATTCCGTATGATGGAAGCACTGCTACCGGGTACTTTGCACTTTCAGAATATCCTGTTGGTGAATTTACTTTCTGTTTTTTTTTTATAGGCCAGTTATAATCGTATTTACATAGGTGTTCAATTTTATTTTTGACACATCCTGAGCATGGCCGTCCTTTATCACACTTGATCTTTCGTTGCCTGCAAGCATTGCACACCAAGCTTGGTCTATTCCTCCTTCTCACTTTGATTTCATCGTCTTGCTCAAACATAATGAGATTGAAATCTTACTATGGATGAAGTTTTTATCAAGATTTAATACGAATTATATTAAGAATACAACAGAAAGTCAAAAAGTACTAATCAATGTTGATATCATCTTGAATCAAGAGATTATTTATTCTAGTAAGGGATATAAGTATTCATTTTTGTGTCACTTAAAGGAAGAGTTTCCTAATTAGTCAGTAATATACTTTATACGATTGATACTATATATATATTCTAACGATGAGAGCGAACTAAACTAGCCTATTGCGCAGTTCCATACGAATTCTGAGATTCGCTGACCAAGCTTTGATCTTCTGAATCGTCCGAATCTTCACTGTCTTCGTTATAGAGGAAGAATTGCACGAAAATCGTGAAATCCAATGCCAAAGTACCAAGCGAGCCGGCTAACCACGATGAGTTGACCCATAAGTAATACCAACTCATATCGATAGCCAAAATCGAAATGACATAGGTCAAGTTACCTAGACATGCAAAAAGGAAAAACATGAAAGAAATGCCATCACATGATTTTCTCTTGTAATTAAGTAGAATCTGCGGTATACGTGATCCTAAATAAAAAACAGCACAGAGCCATCCAAAAAATTGGGCAAGAGGATCGTAGACAAGGTCTTGTGGACTGTGTTTGCCCGGGTGATGTTTTCTTCCACGGTGTGAATCTTTGACGTATGAAATGTACCACCCAACGAGACCAGCAAATATAACAATCGATACCATCAAAGTCTTGTATACTGCCGACATTAATGGCGAAATTTTGGAATTGTCACCATCGTCTCTCACTTCGGAATTTCCCCCTTCCAAGTCTTCGTCATCACTAAAAACTGTATTCGAGCGCTCTTCTCTCGACAATGCCGTCTCCAACACATCATCATTCAATGGATTTGCTGGCGATAAGTGTATAAAATCGGTCTTTTCCCCGAGTCCATACACTAAACATTGCCATAACAAAACCACGTCCGCCAACGTATAGTAGATAGCCAAAATAATCATTGTGGGCAAGACTCCCTGCAAAATTGAACCAAGAACATTGAAAACATCTCCCGCCAACCATAATATAATAAACAGCAACGATAAGCCCTCTGAGGACTTTCTACGAAAATTTTCATAAATTTGTGGAGCAAATACAATAATCCAACATGCTAGCGAAATTGATCCTGTAATTCCACTCACCGCTTGTGCGTCGATAATAATAGGAGGAGGAGGAGCCATAATATCCCTACGCCCTCAACTTCTAGTATACTTGTATATTTATTTATAAATCAGTACTGATGTCTACAATATATCAATGATCATCTACAATTTTAGAACGACCAAAGTTCGTTGTATGATTACGTAATTTTGTGTAATATTGTACGTCATAGAAGGAACAACTATAGCTTCGATTTTGCATTCACCAAAGAACCTTCATCGTACAACTTCTTAAAGACACTTTGGAAGTAGTTAGCGGCGATACCTCTTTTGATCTTCAATGTTGGAGTTACCACATTTTTTTCCACGGTCAAAGGATTGATATCAATATCAATGTTGTGGAGTTTCTCAAATCCTAGAAGCTTCCCTTTCAAGGTGGAATTAATATTGGTCAAGAACTTAGCTTTGTTCAGTCGTTTGTTAATTTCGACAATTAGCTGTTCGGGCGAGACGTCGTCTTTGTAGCCACAGGAGGTTTGTAAAAACTTTAAACCGGCTGCTTGTTCAATGCCCACAATACCTACCAAATAGGATTGGAGTGAATCACCGTGGACGTATAGTTGGGCAAGAATTGGGTTTGAAGACAAATACACGTTTTCGATTTTTTCGGGCGATATGTATTCACCCTGGGCCAATTTGAAGAAATTCTTGACTCTGTCAATGATGTAAAGTCTACCAGTGTCGGGGCTTATCATTGCAATGTCACCGGTGTGGAACCAGCCGTCTTTATCTAAAGCCTTTTCAGTTTCCTCGGGATCACGGTAGTAACCCTTGAAAATTTGGGGCCCTCTTAATAACAACTCGCCCTTATTATCTTCAGCATAGTATCCCATTGCGGGAACTTCTTTCACTTTCATTTCGCACCCAACACCAATGCTTCCACACGAACCTGGTTTAGCCTCGTATGCGTCACTCAGAGACACGGCTCCAAAAGATTCAGTCAACCCATACAACTGTCTTAATCCAATGTTCAAGCCGGCCTTTAAATAAATAAGTGTCAAGGGAGAAATTGGTGCAGACGCAGTTTGGGTCCATATCAAATTATCAAACCCAAACTTTTTGCGGAGGGATTTATAAGGCGGATAGTTATCATATTCTTCATGAGCCCCAGTGCTCCCATCTCCCTCTGCGTGTTTCTTCAATTTGTAATTGACAATTTCATTTAGCTTAGCCGAGGTTTCTTTGTCGGAGTTTGCAATGGCAGACTTTGTCAACGATTCAATCTTGGTTAAAATTCTAGGCACTAATGATAAATAATGGGGTTTGAAGATGGTTAAATCTTCCATTAAGTTATCGAACGGGTTTGAAGGCTTAGGGGATGGTGTAACAGTCAACTGGGGAAATCCTAAATAATATCCGGTAGATAATGCAAATCCGGTAGTTTTTCTCTCATAGATATGGGTCAAAGGTAAGAATATAAACGCTTTCCCGTTGTCTACTTGAGGCATTGTACTGGTCAAGAAAGTAATAGCAGAGACAGCATTTTCCTGCGTTAAAATTACACCTTTTGGTTTGGACCCTGTCGTACCAGACGTAAAAGATATAGTGTACATAGTTTCGGGAGTTGGTGGTAATTCTTCTACCCTAAATGAGCTACCAACTTTTTCGACGTAATCTATATCGTAGAGCGAAATCTCAGAATCTCTGGCAAAAGAAAATAATGATTCATCTTCAGCCTGAAATTTTGAGTTCTTAGATAAATGAAACAATGGGTCCATAGAGACTATGGATATAAGATCACGCAACTGTTCAGGAAATTGTCTTTTCAATTCAATGATAACCTTTATTTTATCGCGTGAACTAATGACCACAGGACTCTTAGTCAACTCTAATATAAATTTAGTTGCATCGATACCAAGTGTATCATACAAGGCCGTATTAGTTAAAGAATAAGCGGAACACGCAAGATCTGCTAATACCCATTCTAATCTATTGGCAGAAAAAATCGACACGATAAACGAACAGTTACTCTCTCTATCTCCCTCAACACGTCCGTACTTCGTCCAATCACGTAAATGGTTGTCAATCTTTTTATGTTCAATTGAATTCGTTTTGAACTCGTTCTCTTGTAACAAATGGAGAATCCCCGATCCCAAATTCATCCGTCTCTCATTGACTTCTTCATACGAATAGCTTTTATAATATTTCTCAGATTTACCTAATTCATAATTATATGGCCTGCTTCCAAGGCATGGTCTATCCCTAAATAATTTCACAGAATTGTTGAACAAGCTATTGTATGTATTCAACTGAGGATGGATGTTCGATACAAGTCTCTGAGAAATCCCTTGATTTCTGTAAGTTGGCGAGTATGGCTTCTGAACTGAATCAATAGCCACTGAATTTATGGTATTACTTGACTCTAGTGGTAATTTACTAATAAGGTCTTCAGCATTGGCCCCATTTGGTTCAAATAAACTGTGCGTGAAATCTTCAGTCAAATTCATTTTTTTCAACTTAGCTTTTTCGGATTGATATATGAGCTTGAAAATTAACTACCTGGGAACTTGATATTTCATATAAGAGTTATTTCTTTGAAGATCTTAACCAGGAGGAATCTTTTTAATTAACCTTTAATATATAGTTAACATCCCCCACATATCCCCGCATAATGAACTTAACTCTTTTCGTGTAGCCACCATAACGGCAATAGGTACTATTCCTTTCAGATGTTTAGACTAATATTTGAATATCCGATTCAACCGACTGGATATGAGATGATGTAGTAACCGAAGGTTACAATATGAAGAACAATTAGAACAAAAAATCTGCGTGTTTATGCTCGCATTACCCAATAAATTTGCATTAAGTTAACATGTACGTCACATCTTATTCGGCAAGCTATATCCATGGATATAGCACTACATTGATAATAGCAATAGACAGTAAACCTTCCGTGTATAAGACTATTCATTTTATTGGTTTCTGTATATGTAGCGAAGATAGAGAAAATTATTTGGGATAGAAGCTAGCACGGTTGACGAAACCATTACCGAAAAGGATCTGAAATCCCCTTAGAGGATCACTCGTATCCATTTTTGTTATGGGCAGCAGATCTAAATGCTCGTTAATTACTAAACCTACCAATAAAGCATGCTGGATGTAGTTTTTTGAAGAGACCATTATGATCGATAGCAGAACAGCATGTCACAGGCTCCAACTACGTGAATTGATAATGCAATGTAAATTATATGATGTAGCATAATAATATGTAAGTTCTCTGGTGTGAAAGATATGTAATGCTATTTTGTTTCGAACGAGTTTGGCCACTGGCCAGACAGTAGCCACACTCGTATATGCTATGAATTGTATACTCTTTTCAGAGATTTTCCACCCTTATCTCTATTTGCGCCTTCTTTCGAGACATTTTGTCATATGTTGAGCAAATCTACCCCCTGCAATACTTCTTCCGCAATTTTCACATTGAAAATACTTTGATGTTTCAGACATCTTTAACTTTTGCTTATCTTGGCCGTAGATATCCTTTGAAGATGATATAGCATCGTTTATAAACACACTCTCCTTTTGGTTTTCTCCCAATGTACTTTTGAGCGATCGGTATCGTGACACACTTGCAAGCGTTTGTTGTCTTAAGATGTTATCAAGCATGTCCTGCAAGAGAGATTCAGCCTTTAAACGTTAATACCATGTGTGAATATATTCCAATTCTATTCATAATGAAATTAATAAAACATACTAGAGACTGATAAGTCACTGGTTTTTCTGTCATTTGATTGTTAATGTAGGTGTTCTAAATGGTGCAACCTTTCATTAAAAGATATTGATCTAATATGGATCGAAGTACGCAGATTATGAGAAAAAAAAAATTTCGATGATACTCTCGACTGCTAATCTTTTAGTCTTCATAAAATGTCCATCGAAGAACTAGATGAAGCTCAGATTACAAGAGATGACAATGACTACGATATAGAAGATGACATCCAGGATTGGAAAGCTCTAAATAAATTAACTAAAAATTCGGAAGTTATACCTAAAAGAGGTGAAAAAGATTTTGAGCCAGATGGAACCTCAGTACAAAGTTCGCTATTAGATGATTCACGAAATGCTATGTATCAGGCATTGAGCTATCCACGGGGACACCATCTGAAACAGCGATTAATATCTGTATGGATATCGAAAGAAAAAAGGGCTTTAGTACCGCATGCTAAAGGTGGATTCTTTAAAGATATAGGGAAAGCAGCCAATTTTGGAAAGAAGATTCAAGGGTTATGGTTAGAACCTTTAGAAACGGTATATCTTGTCGAAAGAGGATCTATGGCTATTTACCTAGGTAATGAAGAGTTTGAACTGTTTTTAAATGATCCTAATGAGATGCATTTTGATTACGATGCAAAATTAGTTTCATTATCTCTAGGTCATATTTATACATTGGCATTCGACGGTGATAGCAAACTCATGGATTCGTACATTGTGTATGCATATTTGAAACGACATGGATATTTGATACAAAGCTTTAGAAGACTTGATGATGAAGATCAGTACTCGAGATACAAACAGATGCAAATCCATACTACTTTCCAGTCACTGATATTAAGATCCGCTACATCAGTTCTTAGGTATATATCTTCACATCCGTTATTTACCATCCTTCATGGTCAACTTCAAAAGTTGGGAATATTTGCGTTTTCCTCTTTCCATGATTTGCATTTCAGAACCAAGCATTATTTTAACTACACTTCGGTATTTCTGACATTGAAACTTATACCCTCTTATTCATCTCTTGATAGTCTTAAGACTGTTCCAGAAAAGACAAATTATTCCATTGATTTCAACGTATGGAAACCAACTCCAAATTTTTCTAAAAAAAATCCTGCAAAACCAGACTTTCACATATGTGTGGTCAATACTGACAAAACCACATTTCCAGAATTGAAGGATATACAAGGATTATTCAATCAAATTAATTACAAGTTTCCTTCTGAAGATACCCCTGAAATGGTCATTAAATCTACAAAAAAACCTAAAAAGCCCCAGGCACCAACTAAAAGGGAAATCAAGCTACAGAGACAAAAGGAGAGGCAATTAAAATTAGACCCTAAAATTCAAGCTCGAAATGCATACTTTAAACTTAGAGATAATAAGCTTAAATATGGAGCCTCTGGCAGGTGCATAATTCTAGCATTAGTTCAAAGTGGTGTCGTTAACTTCATGAACGTCGGGGAAGGTGATTTCGCCCTCGAGAACTTTGGAACTGAAGATTTAAATGAAATAATTCCAAGTAGACATCATGGTATTATTTGGAATGAAAAATACTGATGTCTATTATGTAGATTACTGTGTACATAGTGGTATGAAAAATATATGATGATGCATTTATTGCTTTATTTGCCATTTCTTTGCCCATTTGGATTTATTCGTGTCCATTTCGACATTAGATATAAATTGCCTGAAATATGCTATGGAATCATTCGACAACTTCAAAGTATCTATTGCAGAGCCATGCACGTAAAATTCAACCAATTTCGACATCCATTTCTCTGCTTCAAAAGCACTTATTCTGTAAAATAAACCGAAGAATCTATTAAATTGGGATTTTAAGAGCTCGAGGATCTTCAAATCATCATTGATATCAACAACACTACTCCTTGACAATGCTAGCCTATAGTTATTATAACTGAATAATCTTGACGGGATTTTACTTTCTGATGCCACTATTGATTTTATAGATTCATTATTGATTAAGGCATCGATAAGTTTTTGATTATTAAGTTGATTGGTCGAATATAGGCATTTTTTTACCATTATTGTAAATAATTTAGAACCTTCTAGTTCTTGCGCTTCCATTAAGCTCTGAATCATCTCCACGGGTGTCACCTCGTTGTTATGTATGACCTGGTTTTTGATAATCAAGTTCTTGATAACATCGGGGTCATTTATGATAAAAGGGAGTAAATTTAATTCTTTTTTAGTGGACAATGCCTTCATAATCACTAATGGATTTTCTGAGTCGTATGGATAAGGTGGGGGTAACGAAAGCTTTGGGAAGTGGTATTTTCTTTTAGTAAATGTCTGCGTACGTTGATATTTGGCTAGTATTTCAATTTCTCTAGAGATCCTTTGAAGACAACGAGAGTCATTTTCCATAAAGTATTTTGCAATTGACTGAAAGTGGTTCAAATGACCATTGAATGTTATTTCGTTACTCTTGAAGAATGAATTATTCATCTGTAAATATTCATTAGTGAATTCCGCAATATAATCATTATATGAATTTGGTATAGTACCCCATATGTTTGGATCATTCCCTATTATCTCTGTGTCATTAAGATACCGTATTACTTTGTACTGAAATATCTCTTCTCCGAATTTTGTGGTAAACTCATTCAAGTATTTAGTATCTTCAACCGTCTCAATGCCATGCACCTTTACATTTATTTTCTTAAAGTCTGATTGTTCTTCAGCATCATGTAAAATATCCAATATTGTTTCCATAGTCTTCATTGAAGATGAATCAAGTGCATCGAATGTTCTAGATAAGTCAATCTTATCTGATTCCTTAACTGTAGGTGTGCTTGCATTATTTTGCTTTTCATTCAATTCTCTTATCCCTTTGGCTAATTTGCTACTGAATCTGATATTCTGTACCTTGATTGGATTCACTCCCCTTTGGAGAGTCACTAAAAACCGCTTCATATGTCAATACCTAAGCTTCGTTAAGAAAAATTAGCCTAGTCATTTAGTAGAATTGAACATCTTTAAATTTCGCACGAGATTCCTTGCCTATGAGTTCAATAGCTGAACAACTACATTTAAACTACGTAAAATGAAGACGTATGCCAGCTCCGTATCACTATACTGGCAAAAGTTATTTCTATTATATATATATATCGATACCATTGTAACTTCCGCTTTCTAATTCAGTCTCATAGAAAGGTTGACCAAATATACTTGCATCCTAGTGGAAAGTATGGCCAATACAAGGTGAACAAAGATACCAAACCCGTAACCCTATTATGCTATGAGTTTTAATAATATAGATTTACCTTAACGTGTCTATATGAGCTTGATAACAAAATATAATTTTTAAAATTCGTTTAGTTAAGGTATTATGCAAGGTAGTCTATCTGTGGCATAAATACAAAAATGCATATTCAACATTGTCACAATACATTATGAATTGTTTGAGGATTCTGTATTTGGTTTTTGATTCTGTCCTTTGGGTTTATGCTTTATTTTAATCTTTGGCTTTTTGGGAGTATCTTCGTTATTGCCAGATGAAGACGGGTTGGGTTTTTGCTTGGTGTCTTGAGTCACCTTTGATTTCTGTTTTGAATCCAGTTTCGCCTTAGCCTTGGCATCTTGTTTCCCCTTCGAAGAATCCAGGGCTTTGTTTTTGGATTTGGTTGCGTGCTTCGCTGGGGTATCAGAAGGTTTACCATCTGCGGGCTGTTTCTGCTTCACTTTGTCATTTGTACTGTCAGTTTCTGTAGCCTTCTTATTTCTGTTTCTCTTTCTGGCCTTCGAGGGAGCTTTTGTATTGTCTCCTGCCTTATCTCCTGCTTTTGCCGACTTGGGCGTTGCCAGTTTTTTCTCTTCTTTCGCTTTGGTTTTCTTATCCTCCTTCTTTTTAGGGTCTTTTTCCTTTTTCTTCTTGTCTTTATTCTTCTTTTTCAACTTCTTATTTATCGTTACAATATCAAACGATTCACTCTTGTTGGCTTCTAATAAAGATATAAACTCTTTGTAGAACTCATCATCCTCGTATTTTTTCGACGTTGAGGTCGTATTATTTAACCTATCTATTGGCATCTTGTTGTATAATGACTTTCCAATAGCCGGTATCAATGAGTCGTTCGTTTCCAGTTCAATGAACGATTTTCCATTAATCTCCTTCATAAATTGGTCGAGCGATACTTGGTTCTTGAAAAGCAAATATGCTCTTGAATAAGTGGGCTTTTCATATGGCTTTGTAGGATAGCATCCTTGGACGTAATAGTAATCACATATTGAGCCATCCTTTAACAACGTGGTGTAGTTAGCTAACTGCTCTTTGAATTGATCTTTGGTTAAAGTAGGCGGTAAAAGTCTAACAGTTAGCTTCAAATTTATATAGTTTGATTTACCACCAACTTTCGGAGTAGGAGTCTTCGAATTGCCGTTGATAGAACTCATTTACTTGTAACAATAGTACCAATTTGCCCAGGTGAAGGAAGAAGTAAAACAGTTTTGTTTTGCGAGAACAAGATTTTTGAAATAAAAATATCAACGATTTTTCACTACTTCAATACTAAAGTAAAATGGAGGTGTTAGATACGTATTTGAACGAAATATTTCAATGTACTAACTCGCCCGTAAACGAACAACTAGTTAGGTTGTCGAATTTGCTCGATATAAATCCTTCTGTCAATCCATACATCGTCAGGATTAATAATCTACCATTTCTACAAGATAGATATTTGAATGATCTTATTGACGGTAAGCACTTTTACAAAGATGAATGGCTCGCTTTTAATGAAGTAGTTATATCGTTTATCAGATTAAGTAACCAATTGAATCCTTGGTCTAGTTTGGAGTCGTTTGACCTTTACACCACTTACATAAATGATTTATCAGTTGCATTCAATAACGCCAACAGAGGATATCTAATTACATACTTAGTCAAGAACACGATACGATTTGTTATGCCCATAGCAACGAAACTAGACTATCAGTTGTACTACAAAGAAAATTGCATGAAACCCCGTTTAGCATATTTGGCATCGATCCTATTGAAGATCTTCAACAACATCAGATCGCAACTTTCAGGAGATGCTAGTGACACTACCATAAAAGTGTCATCTAAGAGCTCGATCATTCTCTACATTGGTATCAAGCTTTGTCAGACGTACTTCAAGTTATCGAATCCGTTGTTATGTCGTAACATCTTCAGTAACATGAATAATGCCAACCTTGTCATGGGAAAATACGACATGAATGAACAGATCCAGTACCGTTTCTACTTGGGCCGATTCTACTTTTTGAAAAATCAATTGGTAGATGCATATACACACCTTCTCTGGTGTCTTCAACGATGTCCAGCGGTGACCGATTCGTCCAACATCACACGAATCCTCCAATACCTCATACCCATCAGCATCGCTATTGGCAAACGTCCTAATTTCAATTTCCTCCAGCAAATGTACTATTCATCGCCCAACACCACCCCATCATTTTTTGCAATTTACCTGGACATTTCGCGTGCTGTGTCGATGGGTGACTACGCCCGCTTCCACGCTTCTATCACTAGTCCTTCTGTCTACGCCTACCTCAAGGATGCAGATCTCCTCGTGTTACTCTCGTCCAAATGCGTGTTACTTGTGATCCGAAATCTTATCAAACGTCTTTGGGTGATCGCAGGAAAAGTCCCAAAACTAGACTACGATTCGATCAAATTGGGTCTCTCGGCCTCGGTGTCGCTCCCTGATGGCACTCCGCTAACTTCGCTTCCCTACTCGATGCATTCGTTCGTCTCGCATGCCCCCGATGACCTCACCATCGAAAACATCTTGATTTCGCTCATCGACCAAAATCTACTCAAGGGAAAGCTTTTTCCGAGACTCCGAGTGGTGTCGCTCTCTAAAGTCAATGTGTTTCCTCCCGTCGACCATATCAACTTCCTACGCTTTGGAAACGGTCCAGAGGGCTCCCTTAACTCCTCGGACGGGTGGCTTAATAACTAGGTACTACAAAGTTTTTGTTCATTACATCGCTATATGTCTTGGATGTATCTCCGATAACTCTTGGCATAATTTTTCACCATCATCACCAAATGTCATATATTCACTTCATATGCCACTGTTTATACCCTGGTGTTTGCCAGATGGGCTCCTTTGGTCCCTTGTGACTCGATGGCCCCAAATTGCCCAATTCGGCCCTTTTTCGTGGCATTTCCGCCTGTCCTAATTGACTCCACAATTTGGTTCCATTTCGCCTCTTTTCACGTAGGGCGATTTTTTCGGTGCGCAATAAAAAGTATGATTACGAACCCCATAATCTTGGTATATATATAAATGATCGAATCGTCTAGAATCTTATAGAAATAGTTTAATATTATATATCCACATTCAATAGCCAGGTATTTTTTGCATAATTTAATTGTGAGTTAATCATAATTTAATAGATATAATAGATAATTATAGAATTAAGGATGCATGTGTTGGATTTGCCATATAATGTACTTGATGATATAATAGGGTACCTAAACCAAAGTGATCTTGTGTCGCTTGGAAGAACTAATAGGATCTTCCACAGTAAAGTGAATCAGATGCTATATAAGCGAATTATGATTTTGGATTCGGAAGGACACAATGAGAAGTATAGTTTGCTAGATGTAAAAAAGGTAGGATCATTCGCCCGGGAATTGACAAAGGAGAATTTTCAGCTTATAGGGAGAGTGGTTATCCATACGCAATCTAACTTGATTGAATATGACTATAAGGAGTTGTACGACAGTTTTATTCGTCAGTGGGAGAAGGTGAAACATCCAATCTACTTTGTGAACTTGGACATAAATAATTTGCGCAAATACCAGTCGTTCAACAATTATATCAGTCAGGAGTCGATTCAGTACTCAGAGAATGAGGACGAGCAAAGTTGTGAAATCGATGTCCAAGACACTATTTTGAATAATTTAACCAACTGGATTGCGTTTGATATCAATGAGCTTATCAGTTTGCCGTACAATCCGAGCTTGCGTCATCTCAATCTTTTCATTGAGCAACTGTTTCTCCTCGATCCTATAGAGAAGTTGAACCGTAATGTGTTGAGAAACATGGAGAGCTTGAAAGCATTGTACTTAAATCTGCCCAAGTCAACTTCGGTGTTCACCAAAACGTTTCTGGGAAAGGTTAAGTTGAATTTGCGCAAGCTTTCCCTCTCAAGCTCGCACAACTTTAAAGCAGACTCATTATTGACTTACCGTGAAGTGAGCCAATTGGTCAACTTCCAGGACTTGGAAGAACTCGAGTTGAAGGTTAATTGCACGAATCACTACTGTCCTAACGAATGCATGGTTCAATTTTTTAGAGACTGGTTCTCAAGCTGCAGGGATCCATTGGCCTTGACCAAGTTAGTGTTGATCAACTACAAATCAAATCCCCACACTGATAATTTGCTGCAGTTCAACAAATTGATTGAGAACGAGTTATTTTGCTCGATGATCTCGAACTTGAGAGAAATCTACTTGAATATTAACGACTTGACGAAATTAACATTGGAAAATAAATCATCCCTAAACTACAATAAATTCTTCAGAAATTTATCTAAATTGCCCAACTTGGCAAAGATAGTCATCCCAGATTTTTTTAACGATTGGGTGGTGAATTTGCCTCGCTTATTCAATAAGAGGACGAACTTCTTCGATTTGTTGGTTAATCAGTGTGATTGTAAAGTTTGTAATGACACCAGACTTACTTTCAACAAGCTTTCGACCCTCGACTCGAAGAATCACTTTCAACACGACTTCGATAACTTCACTAACTCGTCTGCTGATTCCTCAAATGTTAAAATTGATACTACCAGTGAGTACAATTTGAAATTTTTGAACTATATTGTCCGCAAGTTGAAGCAACAGTTTATTTATTTGAACCAGAATTTATACTCCATCAATTCAATTTTGAATTCTGATGACAGACCATTGCTCATCAATCATGATTTAGATCAATTCAAGAATTTATTCTTACATTCTTGCTTATTGAATTTAATCAAATTATTTAAAATTCATGTGCCTACCCTAAAGTCAATAAACTTAGGAGGTATTCAATATTTAGTTCCAAATTAATAGCCTTAAATTATATGTTTTAATTATTATGAATTAACTATGTAAAGTCTCTTCTATTTGTCTTGTGCAAGATTTCCGCTTCTCGTATACATAGATAGATTGATCGCACTTTAAGGAAAGTTGCGATAAATTCATCTCGGCTTTATAATATGATGCCAGAAAGACAGAAGAAAATTGATGAATTGACGTCTCAATTATGGGGTGCTGGTTTAACTGGTCTGCTTAAAGGTTCCCTAATTGGTTTAATTAGTGGTTTTTATTTAAACTATAGGTATAATTATGGCCATAATGCCAAATTTTTCAATACTCCTTATAAGATCGCATACCTAGTGAGTTGGAACTTTATTTTTATTTCGTTTGCTATCGAATCAGAAAAGATCAAAATGAGGAAACAGCTTGCCATGGAGGAGCAAATCAAACGGGATATATATATGGAGGAGGAATTAAATATTAATAAGAAATAAAGTCTCGACTACGCATATACTCAACAACTTGGACTTACATAAAATACATTTATTAGCTATGAATAATATACCAACTAAACATAAAACGATTCTTCATGAAAATTCAATCCATTTTCATTGGCCCATAATTTAACATTTTTAACTAATCCCGCAGGTCCCGCCGTAATAACCCAAACTTTATTCGAATCTACCTTGTTGCCTTTATCCTTAATCAAATCACGACAACATACAAAGTTGTGAGACCCATCATCTACTGGACCCGAGCATTGTGTAAATCCTTCGTTTATGCACCAGTTGTAGTACTTGTAATTAATACGAGGTCTACCCTTATATATTCTATGCTCAATTTTCAACTTCTTCACTGTATCTTTGAACTGCTGTAAATAATGCTTTGCTGTATCCGTTGAATTCGAGTTCAATATAGGGCAAAAAATTTCATTTGTTGTGGATACACTTGTTTTTCTCGAGAGAGAAATACTTGGTTTACGTGAATGCTGTATGCTATTTTTTCTTGTGATATTTAATTTGGTTCCACTGGAGGGTAATTCGAGATTTTGATCTTGTACCTCATCTTCATGATCCATGAAATGTTCTAGCTCTTCGTTATCGTTGTCACCGCTACTAGGTATAGTGTCTAAGAAATGCTCTCTCATTGTAAGGTCTACAGCACACTCATCATCGTCTTCATCTTCTTCATTATCGATAGAGATTTCAACATCTTCATTTTCACCTCCTTTAGTCATACTCGTTTTTCTTTCTTCTCCTAGTAATGGCAGCTGTTCACTTTCAAGATCATAGGTCATACTCGAATTTCCATTACTTGACATATCATTTATGGAACCATATCTCTTCATGGCGGATTCTTGACTTAGCTCCGAACTCCCAGTAACAAATATCTCAAAATCATCTTCATGGATGAACCCATCAAAATGCTTCAAAATGGTAATGTCTCTAAAATCTTTAATGACCCATACAATCTTAATAGGAACGCCATGATAATTCATGACTCTCAAAATTGGTAATGCAAAAGAAATAGCTGATCCTCCTACTATCATCAATATTCTTTTCGCATTGACTCTCAACTTAGAGATACTGAAGCTACCTTTAGTTCTATTTCTTGAACTTAAAAATAACAAATTGGGGTCGTAAGAGCCGCAAATTAAATATTTGTGATTGTTTTGGATTTGGAAGTTACCTCTACGTACTATCAACTTTTGATAATTATCCAGAGGTAATGATACTAAAGTGTATGGATGATAATTTGGGATGATTTGTCTATAAGCTCTCACAAACCAGGAAGATCCATATTCTGTCAATCTGATATGTGCACCTGGACTTATCGATTTGCACTTGATTAAATGGTTAGGAAACTCAACTAAAGCCAAATTTGAAGATATGTTAGTTACCTTCATGTCAGTATCGTTTATAGTCACGTCCGTAAGTTTTAATCTATAGATGATTTGTCCCACCAATATACAAATGTTCGCAATGGTATAAGGAGTTGCCTTGACGGGTCTTGCATGAATTTGAATACATATGACTATAATCCATGACCAGACATAATGTTGAAAATAAAAGAACCGATAATATCTCGTTCTAAATCCCAGCAATGATGTTACCATAATAATTAAAAATCCTAACATTGCACCCCATCCATATAAATTTTCGTACTTAATAGCTTTCCCCCACGTATTCTTATACTGAAAGTACCCACAGTAAATTACTGTGTGTAAAACACCCTGTACAATGATCAACCTCGATAACCACTTGTGAACAGGTAACAATGCTAAATACAACGTATTTGGTAATGGAGAAGGACGAAGTGTTAAAAAGAATATGGTTGGCATCGATACAGTAATGATTTTTCCTAATCTTTTAGCAAGAACAATCAAATCACCGTGATTTGACTCGTTTAATGAAAGAAGTGTTAATAATGATCCCCAGAATATTATTAATAAGATTGCAGTGGCGTGGTAGTATATGTTATATATCAATCCCTTCAATTTACCAGCTACGAATCGCTTGAGTTTATTCAATCTGTAGCTTTCTTCCTCATCTCTTTCAATCCACTTATTCAACCTCAGGTTAGTCTTCTTGAAAATTTTAATCTTCGAAAATGTATATCCTTTAATATTCAAAAGTTTCTGGATTGGAATTGCAATCAAAAAGACCACAAGAATAATTGTCGTTATATCCCCATACTTATTAGTCAATTCTTGCCTATATTTACTGTATTCCTTTGATTTTTGTGTAGGATAATGAAAATAATCAAATAGATTGATTAGCGACTTAAATCGATCCATTTTAACCTACCGAAAAATTTTCATAAACGACGGAACACAATTAATGGAATTATCAATTAGTTGAAACAATAAAACTAACAATATTATTTTCTTGATCAATTCAGGTACCTGTAAATATAGAGAACCGTTGTTGATCCGAGATCGGTTTGATATTTTTATATTGCGAACTATATACACTAATATAAATTCTTGATATTCTTTACACTTTGTTTCTTGGCCCTATTCCCACTACTTTCTATTAATCCTGATCTTGTGGGCTTATGCAGAGAGTTAGATTTATTAGCCTTGTTTTTATTTTTATCTATAAAACCTGATCTTGTCGGTTTTTTATTGTTTTTCTTTGAACTTGAATTGGGTATAAAACCTGATCTGGATGGATTAGGCTTATCCAGCTTCGCGGGATGTCTTGAATTAGGCTTGAAATGTGAATGGCTATTATTGCTGTTATTCTGGTTATTATAATAACCGTTGAAGTTCTTGTCTATAGGCTGTCTGTTAAAATTTGCATTTGAATTGTAGTTGTAATCATTATAACTACTGAAGTTATTCCTAAAGGAACCATTGTTGTAGTTGCCTTTGGTTCCGTGGTTACTATTATTGCTGTTGCTGTAGTTATTGCTGTATCCGTTGCTGTAGCTGTTGCTGTAAGTGGATTTGGTGTTTTGCAGCTTTTTCTGAGCATGGGAGTTCTGTTTACTGGAATTCATGCGATCGAAATAAAGCGATCTTAAATGCCTGGGTAAGTTGGTTCCACTAAAAGCACTGCCGTTTATACACGGTATTCTTGATGTTCTAGGTTCAGGACATTCGTCCCCATAATGCTCATCATCTCCACAATTATAGCAGTATATCACTGGCAATACTGTGCTTTCGTAGTTATCGTTCTCATCGTCACTTTTAGGTGTCGGTAAAGTTAAATATGACCGCCAAATACTAGGACAAGAGTCATCCCCATGATTAAACGTATCGCAATGTTTACAATATTGTCTTTTCTTGAGCTTATTTTTACATATGATGGCAACATGGCCTTTTAATCCACATCTAGAACATACCATTGTAGTTGGACATTGAGTTTCATAATGATCACCGACAACACCACATTTGTGACACACAACAGTCTTACATTTGGCCCTTATATGACCTCTTTTATGGCAATTTGCACATAATGGGCCCATGCTCTGCAAAGAGTTAATAGTAGTACCAGAACTTGGGTCAGTGACCCCAAAATATCTTCCTTCACCACGAAGTTCTATTAATTCGTCAGCATTATCATTAACCTGGTCAAACGAAAGAGACGTAACTCCTTCTTTTCTATTATTACCATTACTATTGGTACTGGGTGTATTTTCCTTCGTTTCGGCCGCTGATGTATTGTGCGATGAGGTATTTTCATTTAGTATCGTTGACATGCTTGGAGTAGCCGACCTTTCGTGTTCTCCTACCAGCGGTTGCGTATCTTCAACAAACGGTAGTATTTTTGACATATTTTCTCTCTGTAAGATGAATATCTGGGAGCTATATCTTCCGTCTAAAGTTTGATTTCATCAAGCAAAAAATAATAGAAAAAAAACAAGTGACACAAAATCTAGCATACGCTATAAGATAAGATTTACAAGACTTATACCATCTACAAAAGTCATTTTAAACAGTTAAATCAATCCAAGAAGGATTGGGCATTCATTTACCTATAATATTGGACATGTACAAAAAAAAGTGGAGTTGTATTTAGAAAATTATAAAAACAACGGTTTTAAGGGCCGGAATTACCAATTGAAGTGGGTCTAGTTGACCTACAATACATTTCTGACGATGTGGTCTCCAACTTGACCTTCAAGCGAGTCCGGATCACCGGCAACATTGAACGAGGTCTTCAAGTACTCTTGGTGCATAAATGCTGCCAATGCATAACAGATACTGGCCAATGTGAAGAACACAGCAACCACAATTAAGCTTGTGGCTTGAACCGTCAATGAAAGCCATTGAATTGCTGCCATTAACAAGTAGAATCCACATCTTGGCCAATTCTCATCGAAGTTCCTAATAAAGTTGGTAAATCTGTCTGTTAAGGGGCAAATCTTCAACAAGAATGGAATTTCAACAAACACAACCACTAACCCTTGCACAATACATATAATTGAAAATACGATCACCACCGAAGCATGGAAAATATTAGCAATTCCCAATGCTATACATAAAAATATGTTAAGTAACCCGATCCATTGACCGTATAAAGAGAAGTTCTTCTTCTTGAAATCACTCGAAAATCCTGAAAACAAGTTGCTAAATACTGATGATATATTCAATGCCATTGTATTTCCATTAGCTTATTATCTATGTTATCGTAATTGCTTTATAAACAACGTATAGTTTGTTAATAAACGCAAAAGAAAACGTAATACATAAGGGCCTAATATAAAAATTGCACAAAAGCCTCTAGGCCAAAGATGATGTAGTTGGTGATAAAATCTTTTTTATTTAGAATATTGATGGTATATTATTGATAGAGATAGATAGATGGGACGAGAAACAGTTATTGCTCTTGTAGGAAAGCCATCTGCTGGTAAATCTACTACATTAAATTCGTTGACAGATGCTAATGCCAAGGTTGGAGCATTTCCTTTTACTACTATAGACCCAAATAAGGCTACTGGGTATCTAGAGATTGATTGTGCGTGTGCAAGGTTCGATAAAAAGGAACTATGTAAACCAAATTATGGATATTGTCGAGATGGAAAAAGAGGAGTTCCCATCATGTTGTTGGATGTGGCAGGGTTGGTTCCCAATGCTCATCTTGGAAAAGGATTAGGAAATAAATTTTTGGGAGATTTGACGGAGGCAGACTGTTTGATTCATATCGTGGACGTTAGTGGAACCACTAATGCAGAGGGGAAGGCTACGAGAGGGTACGATCCGTTACAAGATATCGAGTGGTTGCAGGATGAGATCTTCAAGTGGATTCTTGGGAATCTTATGGAAAGATGGGGCTCAGTGGTCAGAAAGCACACAGCCACTAAATCTACGACTTTGGAGACTTTGAGACAGCAACTAGGAGGATATTCGGCTAATAAGCAGTTAATTGGAAAAGCTCTTGACCTTTTGCCTGGGTTAGCACCATTGCAAGACTGGGATAATGAAACGATCGAGAAGGTGGTCAAGGCGTTTATGCAAGTCAAGTTTCCCACCGTCTTGTCTCTTAACAAGATGGACCATCCAGATGCAGATAAGAATGTATCCAAGATCATTTTAAAGTACCCAGAATTAAAATGCGTCTTAACATCTTCAATCACTGAAGTGTTTTTGCGTAAATTAGCCAGTCAAAAATACATCAAATACGACCTGGGAACTGAATTCGTTGATACCATCGATGATTTGGGTCCCGAATCAGAATTGAAGCCCTTGGACGATAAATTGCGTAACAGAATCGAAAATATCAGAGACTTGGTGCTCTACAGATTCGGTTCAACTGGTGTTGTACAATTATTACAAGCAGCTGCAGACTTATTGGAGTTGGTTCCTGTCTTCCCCGTTAGAAGTATCCATAATTTCACTGGAAGTTCGGGTGAAAATGTATTCAGGGACTGTGTGCTTGTGAAAAGAGGCACCCCGGTGATATCGGTCGCCAGAAAAATCATGGGAGATGTTACTATCGCTTCAATTGAAGGTGTTGGTGGTGTAAGAGTTGGTGAAGAAGATACAGTAGACAATGGTAAGAACGATATCTTGAGTTTCAAGATTGTTCCAGGAAGTACCACTAATAATTAAGTTGTATATACGTAAATCTATAGATTCGAGTAATAGATAATCTCAGGGAATATTTTTTTAGCCGAAGTCCGGCTGAAGTTTTTTTCTATATAAGATAAACAAGAAGTCCCTTTTCTTTCTGAAGAATTAGAAACAGTCGTAACATCATGTCAGAAACCGAAGTGGTTGAAAAACCAACTAACAATCAATCAGCTGAAAAAATAAATGCTAGCTCAGTTGGTGATACTATAAAATCTACCGACCTCACGGCTGATCAAATAGATAAGTTGGCAAAATTGATTGAGGCTATTCCTACAATATTACTGAAGACTGATAACCCTAAATACGACGAAATTTTTGGTCATTGTGTCAATGTTGATTCCAATGAACATGTTGATGTTTCTATTAGAAACGAGATTTTGTTGAAGTTCTTGATAGCTGACGAATATGATGTCGAAACTGCTACGACAAGATTGGTTAACACCTTGAATTGGAGAAATAAGTTCCAACCTCTTTCTGCTGCTTACGAAGAGGAATTTGACAAGGAATTGGATCAATTAGGGGTTGTTACTGGGAATCCAGATGGTGACGATAACATGAAGTATGTTACTTGGAACTTATACGGAAAGCTTAAAAATCCTAAGAAGGTGTTCCAACAATACGGTGGAGAAAGGGAATCCAAAGAAGGTGCCAAGGAAGGTACTCAATTCTTGAGATGGCGTATAGGTATCATGGAAAAATCGTTGCTGTTTGCAGATTTCACTGATCCAACGAACAACAAAATCGCCCAAGTCCATGACTATAACAACGTCTCCATGCTTCGTATGGACCCTAATGTGAAGGCTTCAACGAAGCAGATTATCAGTATCTTTGGTGCCAACTACCCAGAGTTATTATCTGTAAAGTTCTTCATTAATGTTCCAGTATTTATGGGATGGGTGTTCACATTCCTCAAAAAGATGGGTATCATCAGCGCTGAGACTTTGAAGAAGTTCCAGGTTTTGAGCAACGGTAACTTATCTGAATGGTTTGGTAAAGATAACTTGCCAGCAGAATACAATGGAGGCAAGACTACCAAATACAGTCTGTTAGATTCTTTAGCCGAATCCATTCCAAAAGCTGAAATTCCAGCCTATGCTAAAGTCATACTCGCACAAACGAAAGACCAAGAAATCCAAAACGCTAACCTCTCTGTCGAGTAGGTATCTAATTCTGAATTTAATTTGTTTCTACAATGGTTCATTCTAAACTAATATTTAATCTCTATTACATGTATTTTTATTTTCAAGAAGAATTTATCGATATATTCCATTATCAATGTAGACGAGCTTGTAGAATTGAACTTGTAGAATTGATTTAATGTCTTGCTATACAATAATACTGATATCTTTTATTCTTTCTAGCAAGCTATTTCAAGTCAATCATCTGGTGATGATTTGAGATCACTGTGCGACTATTAAAAAAATAGAGTTGATTTCACAATTACATTACAAAAGGTATTCATTAATGACATGGCATCAAACGTAACAGACTTCTATCGGGTGCTAGGTTTGGCGTCTAACGCTAGTGATGATGATATCAAGCGTTGTTACAAAAAGCTAGCTGTGAAATATCATCCTGATAAAACATCAGATACAAACCATCATGAATTGTTTATCAAAATACAAGAGGCATATGAAACGTTAAAAGATCCTGAAAAACGTCGTAAATATGATATTCAACACAGAAAAAGCAATTATAGTTCATACAAAACATATTCTACGTCTACGCATACATCAACTTCCACATCAACTTCAAAATCAAACAGAACCCCAGGATATTATGGGTTTTATCAGCATTTCTACAAATCATACCAAAATCCGGACATAGCTGAAAAGCAGAAACAGGCGCAGGAAGAGAAATTGAAAAAGGATCGTGAAGACCAATCAAGAAGGGCTGCAAAACTTGCTAAGGAGAAAATTGAAGAACAGATAAGAAAAGAAAGAGAGGATAGAAGGAGGGAGAAAATGGAGCGTGAGAGATATAAGGAAAAGGAAAATCAGAAAGAGGCAGAAAATATGCATTATAACGAAAGGAAACGAGATGCATATAGAAAGGAATGGGAGAACACATTTAGTCATTTTGCTCAGGAGGAAGATGTGCTAGATCAGTATTTTATGGAGAGGCGAAGAACACAAGAAAGAGCAAAGGATAAGCCTGAACCTGGTTCATTACATAATGAAAGAAGGCTGGATAACCGGTCGGCCCACCGTGAACATGATACCTACGATACAAACAATTTTGGTCAGCATGGACAAGATTCGAGTGATCCCATAGTGTTAGACGATGATGGCGTTGAAGAGAGCCCTCCCAAACTGACGGGTGCACCATCAAATACACAGCCTTCTACAAAGAGTCTGACTAGTTCGAGTAATAAGGAACCGAATCACACTTCAGATTCGGACGATGATGAATTTGTATCTGTACTACACGAATCACCGGGCGAGCCACAAGTCAAATCAGAACCCTATGCAAACGATATGGATCAGTTTTTCAATGGTGTAGAGCAACTTTTTGATGCTAGAATGAATCTCAGGCCCAGACAAGAGCCCAGTCGGTTAAGTAAAAGTCGACGTTCTGTTTCACCCACGAGAAATAAACCAGTGGCACCAACAACAAGCTACGTTAGAAATAATAGTGTTTCTCATGATCGTTCATCAAATAAAAGACCGAAAACTACGGGAACTTTTAAATTTGATGATTTGAAATCCCACCTAGGTGCTGATATTGGAAATGTGGACTTTTCCGAAGTCTTGGAAAACTTACCCAAGGATGAATCTAATGTTAAAACTAGGAAGATCAGTGAAGATGTCTCATCCAAACTTAAATCTAAACGGCCAAGAGTAGCCGAATATACAAATGGTACCTCTAAAGCTGAAACACTTCATACTCCCATCAACAAAAATTCTGTCAAGGGCCACTCTGTACCCTCCAGTACTCGAAAGAAAGTATTAACCATGTTGGACTTGCATGCATCCCCAACTATTCACAATTATGCTTCTCCAACTCCTCCAGAAGCTTTGCTAAGTAGAAAATTAACGAATGAACTTTGGATGAGATATGTTTCCTCAATTCGTAACTATCAATCGGAATTTCTCAATTATAAGAAGCATATTGTACAGTATCAATTAGAGAGATCAAAGAAAGATGAAGAATACTTCGAACTAATAAATTCGAGCTCTGCTTGCTTTGAAGTTTACCAGCAATGTCTAGAGCGTGATTTCAAGGTTATTCAAGAATATACAGAGCTGTTAAGAGTGTTTACGAGTACTATGGATATCTATAAACAGAACTGCAACTGGATAAAGATGTCTAATTCATAGAAGTATATACCGTATAGTAATTTCATAAACGCGAATTTTATATAACCCTGGTGGATCAACGCGTAGATGATATTTAATGAAATATTTCATTCTGTATTCTAAAAGAATTGATTGAAGAACATATCGCTTACTCGAGATCATGAACAGGAATCGTCAATTGCTTTTGTTCATAGGATTGATTTTCCATTTCTTTTATTTATGGTCTATCTTCGATATCTATTTTGTCCTGCCATTGGTTCATGGTATGGACAATCACAAATCGACCGATAGTCCACCAGCAAAGAGATTATTCTTAATAGTTGGTGATGGACTAAGAGCTGATAAGACATTTCAAAAGTTAAAGCATCCTAGAACAGGAGAAACTAAATATTTAGCACCATATTTAAGAAGTTTGGCATTAAACGAAGGAACATGGGGAATATCCAATACAAGAATGCCAACTGAATCGAGACCTGGGCATGTTGCCATGATTGCAGGTTTCTACGAAGATGTTTCTGCCGTCACGAAAGGCTGGAAGGAGAATCCTGTTGATTTTGACTCATTTTTCAACCAATCAACCCATACATATTCGTTTGGATCACCAGATATCTTGCCTATGTTTGCATACGGTGATAATGTGGTTCCTGGAAGAATAGATACTTGTATGTATGGCCATGAGTTTGAAGACTTCACACAAAGTTCAATTGAATTGGATTCGTTCGTGTTTAATCATTTCAACGAACTCATGGAAAACCTGGCTACAAACAAGACATTACATGATGAATTACATCAACAAGGTAACGTATTCTTCTTACATTTATTGGGACCAGATACTGCCGGGCATGCTTACCGTCCTTATTCCGCTGAGTACTACGACAATATTGAATACATTGATAAAGAGTTATCAAAATTGATTCCAAGAATCAACGAATTCTTTGGTGATGATGATTCTGCTTTCGTTTTCACAGCAGATCACGGTATGTCTGATTTTGGTTCACATGGAGATGGACATCCAGATAATACAAGAACGCCTTTGATTGCTTGGGGTGCAGGTATTAATAAACCAAAATTACTTCGTGATTCGGCTGATCCAGAACTTTTATCAACAATTCAAGACCCTGTTGCTAGTGGATATGAAGCCGACTACTTTGATACTTGGAAGCTCGACCATTTAGTAAGAAATGATGTTAATCAGGCTGATATTGCCTCCTTAATGGCATATTTAATTGGTGCAAATTATCCAGCTAACTCTGTTGGTGAATTACCGTTAAGCTATATTGATGCTGAATCTATAACTAAAATTAAGGCTTTATATGCTAATTCTTTAGCCATTGTTGAGCAATATCTTGTTAAAGAAAGTGAAGTTTACAATCATCAGTTTTCATTTAAACCATTTGATCCATTCAATCAAAAGAGCATCGCAGAATATAAAACCCAAATTGAAACACTAATTACTTTATTACAATTTGGTGATCTCACGGAATATGATAAGAGGATAAATGAAGCTGCTGCAATTAGTTTATCAGAGGAATTACTGAAGCATGCATTAGACGGTTTAAATTACTTACAGACGTACAACTGGGCTTTATTAAGATCAATTGTGACTTTGGGTTTCTTCGGCTGGATTATTTATTCGTTTATTATTTTCTTAAAACTATTCATCCTCACTAACAGAACTGTCGCTGACACTAAATTTTCGCCTGCTTTGGCTGGATTCTTCAGTATTTTGGCCATATCCATCAACTATGTGTTGTATTATCAAAATTCGCCATTTAACTACTACATGTATGCAGCTTTCCCATTATATTTTTGGTATACTATACTAAATGAATCTCCAAACTTAATCGAAGGATTAAATCAATTTCTACATGGCATTTCCGCATCTACTAAAGTTTTTGTATTGGTTTCATTTATTGGGATGTACGAGGGAATTGTTTACGGTTTTTTTGAAAGGATTATGTTCTCAATCATTTTTGTATTGATTGGTTTATATCCATTCTTTTTGAAATCCAGAAAGATTAAATTATTGGAAAAGCTTTTATGGTTGTCAAGTTGTACATCCATGTGTATTTTTACGAACTTAGATCCAGTTAAAGTTGAGAGTTTAACTCAAATCAACGCTGGTGCTGCTGCTGCTCTCTTAACAGGTATATTCGGTGCTAGAAAGGTATTTGAACGTTCAATCGATAATTATAACAAGACTTTAGTCTGTCTTCAAATATTGGTCATACTTATCATGTTATATCCAACAAACGTATCTGTTTTGTCATTGCAAGCTAGAGAGGGTTTACCGCTTCATTCCCAGATCACCGGCTGGGTAACATTTGTTGTGTCATTATTTGTGGTGCCTATTTTTTATTCTTTCAATCCCTCCGCAGATTACCAACTCAGATTATTAAGTATTTTCTTGACATTTGTTCCTACGTTTATTATTTTAACCATCTCATTTGAGTTGTTGTTTTACGTGGGATATTCTTTGGTGTTACTTCAATGGTTAAATATTGAACAATCATTAAAGTTTTCTACCAGAAAAATACAAAAGGCCCGCAAGCTCGGATTGGTTCCAAAGGGATATTGGTTACAGGTCATAAGAATCACAATTATCGGTTTCTTCTTCCTACAGTTTGCATTCTTTGGAACTGGTAATGTGGCCTCCATTTCATCGTTCTCCTTGGACTCGGTCTACAGATTGATTCCTATTTTTGATCCTTTCCCAATGGGTGCATTGTTGATGTTGAAATTAATAATCCCATATATCTTGCTTTCCACCTGTCTTGGTATTATGAACTACAGATTGGAAATCAGAAAATTCACTATTTCCACCTTAATCATTTCAACGAGTGATTTCTTGTCGTTGAACTTTTTCTTCTTAGTGAGAACTGAAGGCTCCTGGTTAGACATTGGTGTAAGTATATCCAACTACTGTTTGGCTATACTTTCGTCTTTGTTTATGTTGATTTTAGAATTGGTTAGTTCAATTTTATTAAGAGGTGTGGAACTTGATTCAGATTATGATGATGAAGCCGATCATGATGGTGCATCTATAGATGAAGCCAACATTTCTGAACCAGAAGACATACAATCGGATGCTCCAATAAGTGCTAGAGTTAGACGTAGAACTAGAAAGGGTTAAACCTTTCTATAGACACTAAAAGACTACTAAATGTATTTGTATATCATATAAGTCTATAGACAATTTATTTAACTTGCAAAATCTATTTAAATTAGTAACCTGTATTAGTGACTCAAAAAAATTTAATGGGACATAAATATTGTAAAACCATACAAGTGAAAAATTATATCAACCGACTTTAAATTACATTATGACTAGTGATTTGCTCAAGAGACATGTTTTGATGATAGATAATTATGATTCCTTTACTTGGAATTTATATCAATATCTTCATCAATCTCATTTATGCGGAAAAGTCGACGTCTATCGTAATGATAAAATCGATATAGCTCGTATTGAAAATGAAATAAAGCCGGATATTATCTTCATATCTCCAGGTCCTGGACATCCACAAACAGATTCAGGTGTTTCAAGAGATGTTATTGAGCATTTCAAGGGAAAGTTGCCAATATTCGGTGTCTGTATGGGATTACAATGTGTATTTGATGTGTTTGGCGGTGATGTTTCGTACGCTGGAGAAATTGTTCATGGTAAAACTACTACTATAAAGCACGATGGAAAAGGTATGTTTGCTAACGTCCCGCAATCAGTTGCTGTTACGAGATATCATTCATTGGCCGGTACTCAACAAACTTTGCCTGATTGTCTTGAGGTGACAGCATCCACTGAAACGTCTCCAGAAATTATTATGGGTGTAAGACATAAGGAATACGCAATAGAAGGTGTGCAGTTCCACCCGGAATCCATCTTAACCGAATCTGGACAGATAATGATTGACAATTTATTATCTGTTCAAGGTGGTACTTGGAAAGAAAATGATGCTTCTAAAGGAGCTGTCACTCCTGCTAGAAAGGAAAATATCTTGATCAAGATCTTTGAAAAGCGTAAGGAAGACTATAAAATCATTGAACAGCTTCCTGGTAAGTCATTTGAACAGTTACAAATATCATTATCGTTGTCCGTAGCCCCAAGCTTGATAAATTTCTATGATCGTATTATCTACACCCAAAAAGAGTTAAAACAAACCATTATTTTGTCTGAGTTCAAGCGTGCATCCCCATCTAAAGGTGACATTAACATTCAAGCTCATCCTGGTAAGCAAGCCTTGACTTACGCCACGAATGGATGCTCGACCATTTCTGTATTAACAGAACCAAAATGGTTCAAAGGCTCATTAGACGACATGGCTTTAATACGTCGTGTTATCGACACTCCTACCAAGGAAGGTTACAAGAGACCGGCAGTCTTAAGAAAAGAATTCATTTTCAATAAGTACCAGATCTTAGAAGCCCGTTTAGCTGGTGCCGATACCGTCTTGTTGATCGTCAAAATGTTGATGAACTCTCACATATTGCAAGAATTGTACGAATACTCCTTATCCTTGGGTATGGTTCCGTTGGTTGAAGTCAATGATGCCTCTGAATTGGACTTAGCTGTCAAGCTCACTTACAAAGGTGATAACAAAGAACCTCTCGTAATCGGGGTAAACAACCGTAATTTGTCCACTTTCGACGTTGATTTAGGAACCACCAGCTCCTTAGTTGATGCTGCTAAAAACAAGAGTGGCAGAAAGGGCGATGTCTTGGTCTTAGCATTATCTGGAATAACTAATGTTGATGATGTCAAAAAATACAAATACGAAGACAATGTCGATGGTTTTTTGATAGGAGAAAGCTTAATGAGAGCTGAAGAACAAGGTAGAGCTGGTGACTTCTTAAATGAATTATGTACTTGTTAGTAATGATAGTTTTATAGATAAATAGATGCAAAAAGATCATAGAACCATTTTACACGTGAATTGCCTGTTACGCGTTGTTCTATATTTTGGACTTAATTATGGTGTAGATGTTTAAGAAGATTATCATACATCATAGAACTAATTAATAAGGTTATAAAGTAATGGACGCCGCAAGTATAAGAATAGATTCCACGTTATTAGAACAACATCAAGGTAGACTTGTTCGTATTATGGGTAAATGTCAATCATATGATCCATCTTCAAATAATTCCATCCTCATAAGTAATGGACCCATCACATTAATTTCTAACCCAGGAGAAGAATTAGTAGTCAATAAGAATTATGAGATCATCGGAAAGGTTGGAACTAGTGATCTCTCGGTGAGAGTGTTATCTGCTATTGAATTGTCTGATAATTTAAATCTTGATACTGCTCAAAAATTAGTAAGCTATGTTCACAAAGTACCAGAATTATTCTACTAATAGGCATATGTGTTCTTTAAAGTAGGGAGAGAATGTTCAGATGTAGTTTATAATTAAGAGTTAGGTGGTTCAACGAAGTTCGATGTAAAAATCTTCAGAAAAGTAGCTAGTTGACACGGGTATTATATACGTGTATATTAATATAAAATTCTAAATAATGATTTATAACTTTTGTATATCGCTTGCTAAGTCAGCGAATCTTTGTTCGGGGTGCTTAGTAACATAGAGCTCTTTAACAGTTGCAAGCCATTTTGGAGAGGCAACAGCTGCTTTGGCGTATTTGTAATTACCGTATCCAATTACTAGTCTATAGGCAGCTTCAGAACTTGATTCCACCAATATTTCTCCAACTTGAGTGGCAAAATCTAATATTGGTTTTGCACTAGCTGGGTTCGACTTTAATGAAGTATTCTGCAGTTGGTATACAGACAAGTTGTATACAAATGTAGCCAAGGTAGTAACAGTGGTGCTGAAATGCTTACTCTGTAAAGCAGCAGAATCTTTCGAAACAGAAGTGATCAATTTAGTCAATCTGACCAACATTTCTTCAAAGAATTCATTATAGAAAACAAGGCCATTATCGTTTGTCGTTATATATAACTGAATGAATAAGGTGTTGTTTACTAGATTATTGAGAACCTTCAAAAGCATCATAAAAAGAGGTAAGTTGGAACCATTTACAATTTTTAATCCAGAGTTCACAGCATTCAAAATTATTTCTGCTGCATCTGTAGACCTTAACAAATCAGCTGTTGTGACACGAGGAATACTAATTCTCAATATATCATATCCAATAAGACGTGATTTCTCGGACCATTTATTGAAAATTTTTGGAAGATAAATGGTAATTAATTCCAATGCTTCCTTGGAGTTTAATACGCTTAAATTTGACGTAACTTGTGATATTTCTTCGCTTGAGAACTTATTCTCTGCTGTTTGCTCTTCGTTGAATTTCGTTAAACCCTTAACCAATTGATCGCTTTTGAAGTCCTTGAAGAAAATATATTGTTTTTGGGGAATGACCGTCAAGTTTGCAGTTACTTGAGCAGCTGGAGGTGTTGGATGTTTATCCGCGTATGGATTATCACTAGCGCTAGTCAGCTGGCCCAATTCAACTCCACCTGTATTCTTCATAATAAATCTGACAACTTCTTCTGTATAGGTCGAAGGTAATTCATTCACAGATAAAAATCTTTCGGCTGCAGCATAAGCATTCTCATTGGTATTATAAGGCAATTTCAATGGAGGAGCCCCTTCTTCAATATCTACATCGAAGACGTAATCCCATTGCTTACCACCAAACTCTTGTTTGCCACCTGAATTTCCTGCAGATCCAACAACATCACCGATTTTAACCCATTCACCGCCAGACCACTGGTGAGCTTCGATAGTTCCGTTTGGGTTTTTGACCATTATGGTAGAACCCTCTTGTTTTCCTGGTTGGAGCAATGCATCATATCCAGGAATATCTGTCTTCTTCAAGTCATCTACAGATTGTTCCGCAATACTTGATTGTTGAACTGCCTCTGCAAACTCTTTCAATTCTTCAGGAGGAGCTATCCTGGAAGAATCTCTTGAAAAGATTCTTAATTTATTATCTGAGCCACCTGCAACAAAATCGCCATTTGGTAAAACTCCTAAACACCAAACAGAAATACATGGCAACGTAATTGCCTGTATCACTTTGCCATCTCTCCAAACACGAACGGTTCTGTCTTCCGCAGAAGAAACAATGTCACCATTAGGCAATATACCAAGATCATAAACAAACGAGTCATGTCCTGTCAACGTTTGCAAGGCCCTACCAGTCTCCAAATCCCAAATTTTAATCGTACAGTCATTAGAGCAAGAAGCAAACTGCTTTCCCCCTGGCAATATAAGCAATTTTCTGATAACATCCCCATGACCAGGAATACTCCAAATTTCCCGATCTCCAAGCCATTTACGTATGGTCCTATCCGCCGAACAAGTCAAAAATACATTGTTTGTTGCATCGACAACTTTGGCATCCCAAACAGATGATTCATGGCCCGTCAAATTGAATTTCACGGACATCGACTCAAGATCCCATACTTTCGACGTCGCATCCCACGATCCCGAGATCAAGTACTGTCCCTGGTGGTGCAAGGAACACACATTACTCTCGTGTCCAACCAATTGATACTTCACGTATTCTTCCGGCATAGCTCCTGTCACATTTACGTCCGGCTTGAGATCACTCAAATATATAATGCAATCCTTACCTCCTGAAGCCACAAGTGGCTGATCTCCATTATCAACGTATGTCACACTGTTAACAAACGAATTATCTGGTGAATTGAATGCCAATAACCCTGTAATATCTGGTGTTGACCATCCTTTTGCTTCATCTGCATGCCAAACTCTCACCGTACCATCTCTCAGCCCTGAAATAACCGTATCATCTGAAGGTGAAATAACACTTCTTACGTCTTGTTCGTGACCGTTCAAGGTACAACTCAACTTGAATTTATCCATTATGATGCTTAATCTAAGATCTATCTTGAATTGAATCTATTAGATAAAGAAGTTGTTATCTTTAACTCGCTATGAAGTGGCAATTCAATAGCATTAATCCGCGCTCTGAACAGAAACAGCAAATCCATAAAAATGGTGAATAGTTTCTTCAAAGATAAGTAGAGAAATAGCAAGCATAGTCAATGACACTCTTTCATTCGATAGCTCCTGATGGAACTCACATCTTCCAGAACAGTAGAACCAAAAATTATCTTTACTTGAGTGGAAATAGTGGTTTACAGGTGTCAGATAGTTTACCAAGTGTTTATTCCAAATTAAATATTGGCAGTGCTCCCTCGGCTATTTCATGTATTATCGGTGTTATTAAGTTAAAGATTAACAAGTATGTGATTATTGCTGATAAGCACACGGTTACTGGGTCAGTTTTGGGTAAGGAAATTGCACATATTGATTCGTTTAAGATCCTTCCTTTGAGTAATGATTTGGTGTCGAAAAAGGATTCTGAAGAATCAAGCTATATTGATTTGTTACACCAGCACTTGACAAAGGCTACTTTGTTTTACTCTATTGATAATGAGTACGATTTGACGAACTCGTTGCAGAGACAATTCACGTCAAAGCCGGTAAGTTATGATCAGAGATTCTGGTGGAACGCGTACTTGTGTGATGAGTTGGTAGAAGCAGCGGCCACTGACTTCGTCACGCCCATTATATACGGTTACTTCAAGTCACACTCGGCAGAGTTTAAGGGCCACCAGTCGTTAGAATTTGCGTTGGTAACCCGTCGTTCAGTTAAGAGAGCAGGTACTAGATACTTCCGTCGTGGAATAGATGACGACGGTAACGTTGGTAATTACAATGAAACTGAACAAATTTTAACTACACACGATAGCCAGATATACTCATATATTCAAACCAGAGGCTCCGTTCCAGTCTACTGGTGTGAAATCAATAACTTGAAGTATAGACCAAACTTGGTGGTTTCTACAAAGTCATCGTCTGAGGCCTCCCAGAAGCACTTTGCCGAACAAATTGAAAAATACGGTGATAACTTTTGTGTTAATCTTGTTAACCAGAAAGGGTATGAATTAGCTGTCAAGGAAGCATATGAGGGTGCGGTTGAAACTTTACCACCAAATTTGGCTGACCATGTCAAATATATCTATTTTGATTTCCATCACGAATGCCGTAACATGAGATGGGATAGAATCAGTCTTTTGTTAGAACGTTTGATTCAGTTGGGATACACCAGTGATAACTACTTCCATTTTGATTTGAGGTCAAGTTCTATTTTATCAACCCAAAATAAGGTTGTCAGAACGAATTGTATGGACTGTTTGGATCGTACCAATGTTGTTCAATCCACTCTCGGACGTTGGGTTTTACAAAATCAATTCATCAAGTCTAAGTACTTACAAACAACAGATGCTGCCCCATGGGAAATATTAGACCCAGGTTTCAACTTATTCTTCATGAGTTTCTGGGCTGATAATGCAGATGCAGTTTCATTTGCTTACTCTGGTACTGGTGCTTTAAAGACTGATTTCACCCGTCTTGGTAAAAGAACGCGTGGGGGAGCTGTGGCCGATTTAATCAACTCAATAACTCGTTATTACAGAAACAACTTGAAAGACGGTGCTCGTCAAGATTCTTTCGATTTATTCCTAGGCAATTACAGACCTTTCCGCGATTCCCTTACATCTCCTTTTATTGACAGAAGACCCCCATACATTCAATTGTTACCTTACTTGATGTGTACTTCATTGTTGGTCCTTTTCGCCATTTTATGGTATCCAAAAGGCTCTATCACTGATTGGAAGAATTTATTAGTTGTGGGTGCTTGTATTTTCTACAACGCTAAAAGTTTGACATATCTCAATAAAAACGGTTATCAATTTGTCAACTGGCCTAAATTAAACAAGTTAGATTTCATCAAAAAGGTCGATGTTTTTGATGGTGAAGGTAAATTTACTGGCATTAGATATGAAGAACAAGATAACTTCAAGACTGTTGGAAAGAAAAAGAATTAATTTATTCCTATTCCATCTTCCTTTTTTTCGCTACATGTATTATTTAGATAGTTCTGTTTATTTATTATATCGTGCTGCTACACTACAACGTCTTATTTTACTTACTTCATTGTTTAGAAGTATTTTATAGAGAATATATGATATTACCTTATGATTTTGTGTAACAAGCTCCTCTATCACCAAATATCAATAATTCAACGATTTATGGGCAATTGATCAACAATTTTCCTGTAATAAATATTTTTAATTATAGCAATCGATAACATGTCTAATCCTATATTGGAAAAGTCTTTAGATGAAATCATTGGCGAAAAAAAGCCAGCCAAAAAATTTCCTAGTGGGCCAAAAAGAGGTAACTCAAGAATCAATAAGCCAGTATGTATCTAGAAATAGGATGATAGAAGGGTAGGTTACTAACTCGCACAATCAGCATCAAAGACCAAAAGGTCCACATGGAAGAAGAAATGATAGACCAAGACCGTCAAGTTCGGTTCCAAGAGAAGTTACAGCTATTTCTAAGTCCAGACCTATTCTCAGAGTCAAGAATATCCACCCAGATTTAAATGGAGAAGATTTATCTAATTTATTCGATGGAGTCGCTCCTGTCGAGTTTGTCAAATTTGATCCTAGAAAGGATGATGTTGCATATGTTTGCTTCCAATACGACCATAATAAAAATAATTCCATAGCCATTTCCAGATTTGACGGAAGAAAGGCTATGGGTGAAAACTTGGTCGTAGAAAGTGCCACATCATTGGCAGACCGTATAGTTGTTCCCAAGGGAAGCCAACAAGGTCCAAGAAATGCTGCATCAGGAGGCAAGCCACATAGTGCGTTGAAGAAGAAGCAAAAGCCTCAAAAGAAGTCCATTGACACATTGGATGAAGAACTTTCGGCGTATATGTCCGGTAAGAGTGAGGAAGAATTGAAAAGAGAATCAAAAGTCAGCAAGCTTGATAATGAAATGGAAAATTATTGGAATAAGAAAGATGAAAATGATTCTAATGGAAATGAAAATCCAAATGATCAGCCTGTGGATACAGCAGACGAAATGAAATTGGATTAATTTATTGTTTACATAAAAAGTCTTTCTAAAATAAACTGTATTATTATATCAAACATAATTTGTAGTGAAAAATTAATTAAGATTAAAATTATGGAATTAAGCTTTGGAGTTAAAGAAAAGTACAGCGAAGAAGTACAGGTTAAGAAATGGACATGGATAAAATTCTAACCCATACCTTGGGTTAATTCAACTAAAGAGATATAAATTCTCTTTGTTCTTCTTCTCCATGACTTACCCCAATATAATGCTGGGATGATGAAGGCAATAGAAACAAAATCAATGACAGCTAATACAATGTATGTGTTTGCAGTACCAGAGCCATCTAACCAATATGAACAAACAAATGTGAAGACACAGGCTAAAGTATTATTAATGATAGAAACTCCGACCATACCTTGGATGACAATATCAGGGTATGAATCCATCAAATATGACATGGCGGTATCACCAATAGAGCCCCATCCAAAACCAATAAATGCTAAACCGGCATATATAGCTTCACGAGGCCATACTCTATCGGCACCAACCCCAAACATGATTAAACCAGCAGGAGAGATCAACAATGTAATAAATAATAGCCATAATCTAAACTCTGGTTCTGATACACCATCATTACGCTTGGCCATCCATAAAACATGTTTATCTGAAAGAACACCAGACATATAACAACCAAGAACGGCTCCAATTAAAGTTGCGACGTTCATCACCGCTACACCAGTCTCGGTATAATTCCATGGGTCATCGTAAAAAAATGTATCTTGAGTAGTCAAGAAGAACGTCATGTAAGCATCTTGTAACCCCCATAATAATCCTGAAAGCCACACAGCAGGAAGAGTAAATACCTTGAAATAAATGACAAATCTTCTTAAATATTGTTTGAAACCAAAACCTATTAAATAGGGAGAGGGCGTAATTAAAGCAATTCTCTTATGATATGGTAATAATTGTTCTTTTGAAGCTTGTGATTCGTGCTCAATAGGGGCAAACACTCCTTTGCTTTCATCTGGAGACACTTGCAAAGGTTCGTTGTTATGCTGACCCCCTTCAGTTGCCTTTTCATCCTTACTTTTTTCGTTGTTATCATTCTCCTCGATATGATGATCGACTGAGCGAGAAGATTGGTAGACAGGGAAATACTTTGATCTGTCGAACACTGTTTCCTCACAACCAAAAAATAATACAACCAATGTAGCACCACAAATTATGGCACCCCACCAGCCAACCCATCTGAATGTTTGCGTTTGGGAAATCAAATGTGCGATTAAAGGAGCCAAGAATGAACCTACGGAAGTAGCCAAAATATACACCGTCAAAACAGACCCCAATTGATGTTGAAAGAAAATGTCAGACAATGACTGTTGAACTTGGGCTTCTGCACATGCTTCAGACATACCCACAAATGCCTGCGACCAGATGGTGTCAGAAGTTCTCTTCGATAATGCAAACCAAACTGATCCCAAGCAACCTGCGAGAAGACATATCAAGTATGTAATACGTCTTCCGTATAAGGAAGAAGCAGGAGCAAAGAAAATACACGACCATCCAATGAAAAGGAATAATACCCCGGCCCCAGTGTTCATTGAATCGTAAGAAATCCCGTATATCTCGTTCAACGAGTCCTGTGCTGCCCCAGCATCATTGGACACGGCTGCCGTAAGCCCAGTAATGAACGAAAGTAGAAAGAAATGCCACATTTTCCGCGGAGTAGACCAGTTCAACGGGTCATTGGGAGAGTCTGATGGCTGCGGCAACAAAATCACCCCCTTCTTGTTTTTCTTCACTGGCCTCCCACTGGACGACGAGTCGAAAGACGAGTCGTCGGCCGAACTAAATATATTTGTGGTCCCAGGAACGAATTCCTCATCGTAAAATTTTGCAGTAATTGTAGTATTCATTATTATCGTCTTTTGCGCTAGTTTTATCAAATATTACTATGCTTAAGCAAAAACTATGTCTCGTGTGTAGTAAAATAATCTCCAGTATTAGCTTTTCGTCGGCTTTTTCTTTCTTTCTTAAGTAAAGAGAAAAATTGCAAAAAATAGAAACTTTCAGTGGTTAAGTCAGAAAAACATTGTCAAATATGAAAATCAACAAATAAAAATAATACTAAATACAATAGCTCTGATTAACACAGCTTAATACCTCAAAAACCTTAAAATATTTGGTCTTATAAAACGATAATTTTTTCACCCTTCTATTATCATAAGAGCTGAACCTGCCAAAAAAAAAAAATTTCAAAAAAAAAACTGAAGTGATTTTGGTAATTTTACACGACCTGTTTTCTTAGTCGATTTAGTACTCTTCACACTTGATAGTATAGTTAAACAATCATCATCAGCAAGGTTGGTAAGGATTTCAGGATAATTAGACCGAAAACCGCATTGTATTGATGCAGCCATTGATTCAAAAAGATCTTTTAACTTGGTGTGATGATTTACATCAAGTTAAAGGGAACATTTCTCAATTACAAGCCACTCTTAATCAAATCTTGACTAAAGCACCAAGTTTGGATCAATTTGGGGAATTATCGACGTATTTAGATAATCCAAACCAGGGCGATAGTTTAAGCATTATTGACAAGACTAAGAATTTCTTGAGCTCTTCCCAATTAAAAGTAGCGGTCAGAATGAAGTTTTTGTATGATCAAGGGTTATTGCCGTTTTTATTGGCGTTGTCCCAAATAAATTTCAAATCTCTGAAGGCAGATAAGTTTGTGGGTTATTTGTTGGATTACACGCCGCCACGGGATATTGGGAGCAATTTGGCGAAGGTGTTGAAGCAGAGAGTGAATTCGGGCAAGCAGGTGAATATTGAATCGTTTCCACCGGTGTTGCCCCCAATATCGAACGAAAGCTTGTTGAATAAGATTCTCACAGATAAGTCGTTTAGACAGCCGTCGGACTTTTTAGAGCTGGACGATGCCAACGACTTCAACCGATCGCATAACGCTAAGTTAAGTTTGAGAGGGAAGAGGTTGTTAGAATTTGCATTAATTGAAATATTGGACGAGAAGCTCCCAGATATTCACGAAGACGATTTGTATTACTTACAGTTCAAACTAGTGTCTACTTCCATCCTCACAAAACTTGCATTCGGGTATAATCTAGCTGACAACTACAAGTTCCACTTTTCCAATGAAATAAGTCTAGATGATAAATTAACTAAACTAAGTAATATATTCTTGGCATACATTGGAGGATTAGTCTTGGATGGGTATTCTTTTGCCGAAATTAAGCTATGGATTGCGAAATTGTATGAGCCCATAATACAAGACTTTATTGACAATCATGAAACGTTGAAGCCATTAAACAAATTAGCATTGATCGAGTTGAACTTTCTATTCAAACAGGTGACAAACATGTATTACATTCCACCCCAAGATACCACCCTTGAGTTCGAGACGTTGGAATCCGACCCACATGTGGTCAAATTGTCCATAAATGGCCAAACGTTGGGTATTGGCACCAGTAGCATTGGTGCTGAGGAGGCCAAGGTCAAGGCTGCGGCTGATGCATTTTCCAATAAGCAGAAAATCGACGATGTAATAAAGATCATGATTGCATCCTACGAAGAGCTGCAGAAACCGAAACAACCCGTCTCGGAACCTCTGTCTACAAACCATGACAGCGCCAACGACGACGATAACTACAACAACGGCAACGACTCGTCAACCGAAGAGCCCTACTCACCAAAAATAGACTCCGAAGAAGAATACGAGCCGTCAATAGAAGATCATATCCCAACCAAGCAAGTGAGTATACCTAGCCAAGGCCAAGACAAACAATCCCACACAACCGACAATATCTACGCGCATCCCTACAGCACCTTCCCGGTTACTCAGCAAACACCCCAGCCGTATGGTGCCCCTCCTCCACCTCCACACCAAAACCAGTTCCACCATCAACAGCCTTCGCACCTCCCAAACCTTCCGTCGCTCCCGTCGCTCCCTCCATATCCCGCAGCCGCACTAGACGCAAAGCACCCCCTCGACAACAACTCCAAAAATACCTTGTACGCGGTGTTAGGGTCCAATCACCTCACCCCAATTTACAGATTCAATAAGGTCGGCAATGACTTCCAGGTTTCTATCTTGGTCAACGATATAGTTGTCGGTTCCAGTGTCGACTCCAACAAAAAGGCTGCAAGTCAGAGGGCTGCAATGAACGCATTATCCAATAAATCCTTACTTAATCAATTGGGTGTGCATATTTAGTATTGCGCTTATTTAGTTCCCCTTGATTATTCCGTTAATCCACCTTTCCAGTCCCTCCTTCCCATGCGCATATATACATAGATCTACATCAAACTACACTAAATCCTTACCTCTCCATATATACATTACATTTCACGAATCGCTACGTGAAGACGTGCATCCTGATCGCATTTTGACCGAAATAGTAATGGTTATTGTGTCCCTGTAATTAGCCAAACATTGTTATTGTATTAGAGCCACGCTCAGAAAGAAAAGAAAAAAAAATTATTTCCGAAATCGACCGAGAGCTGAAAAATTCGTCGATTTAAATTCAACCATTTCCTCCCTAAAATTTTTTTTATTGTTTTCGATATTGATATACTAAATTCTTAGTTTATTTAATATATAGACACACATAGATATTCAAGATGGCTACTCCTCAAAGTCAAACTTTACCAACATACACCGTCGGTGATTACGCTTCATTTGCCTTAGCTGGTGCTATTGGTTGTGGTGTTACTCACGGTGCCATGACCCCAATTGATGTTATCAAGACTAGAATTCAATTAGAACCAACTGTATACAACAACGGTTTATTCGGATCCTTTAAGAAAATTGTCGGTACCGAAGGTGCTGGTGCTTTATTAACCGGTTTAGGACCAACCGTGTTGGGTTACTCTTTACAAGGTTGTTTCAAATTCGGTGGTTACGAATTATTCAAGAAGAACTTCACTGAACTTGTCGGTATTGATACCGCCAAGCACTACAAGAACTCCGTCTACATGGGTTCTGCTGCTTTAGCTGAATTCTTCGCTGATATCGCTTTATGTCCATTAGAAGCTACTAGAATTAGATTGGTTTCTCAACCAAACTTCGCTAACGGTTTAATCGGTGGTTTCTCCAGAATCTTAAAGGAAGAAGGTGTTGGTTCTTTCTACAACGGTTTCACCCCAATTTTATTCAAGCAAATTCCATATAACATCGCTAAGTTCTTGGTTTTCGAAAGAGCTGCTGAAGCTATTTTCGGTGCTGTCGGTACCCCAAAGAACCAATTATCTGAAACCAAATTGACCTTAATTAACTTGTCTGCCGGTATTATCGCTGGTTGTGCTGCCGCTTTCGTTTCCCAACCTGCTGATACCTTATTATCCAAGGTTAACAAGACCAAGAAGGCTCCAGGTCAATCTACCATCGGTTTATTAGGTCAATTAGCTAAGCAATTAGGTGTTGTCGGTTCTTTCGCCGGTTTACCAACCAGATTGGTTATGGTCGGTACCTTAACCTCCTTACAATTCACCATCTACGGTCACATTAAGAAGATGTTGAACTGTCCAAAGGCTGTTGAATTATAGGTTCTTTAGCTCTTATCTAAATTAGAACTTGTAATTAGGTCTGTATTTATATGAAATTGTTTATATATATGTAAATATATTCACCTTTTGTTATATGCGTTAGTTGTACTTAACCGATTTCGTTAACATAATTAGTACATGATTAGGTGGGTCTACGTGGGGCTATTCAATTTATCACCTGAACCATCACCTGAACCATCGAGATGGATTCGCTACCGAATGATCTCTGATCTAGTTTGATGTTTCTGTGAATGACCCATGAAGACGTTCGAGTACATTGAATTACTTCTATACTCCACGATTGATGTCTGATCCCATGATCAAGCTAATCCAGAAGTTCTGTATAGCAATGGAAAGCCCATGGCATACGTCTGGAATGGTATTAAAAAGAAATCAAATATTTGATTATGTAATAAATTCTCACATATCCTTCTCTGCTTATCAAAGCTATTTTCTTATTGCCGATATCCGATGAACTCGCTTCGAGTCTAGCCCAAAGAATTCAGTCATCTAGTCAAAACGAGTCGGATCGGTAAATCTTCACAGTTTGCCGATGATGTCATTGAAGACTTCGTTGCTAATGTCTTTAACTTCGCTTACATGCGAATCATTCATCAAAAGTCGATTTAACTTTATCACTTTTACAAGCGATTATTGTGTTTGTGGGGCCCCTAATGTCTAACAATATGATGTGTAGTTGCTGATAACAGCAATCAATGTAGGCACAAAAATGATCATCGGGCTATAGGTATAGGGGCTTCAGCAACATTCGAAGAAAATTTCGCAACTCTATTTACTTTTTAATGTAAACATTCTTAAAACGATCATTAGCAATCCCAAAACAGCAAAGATATTGGAAAGAAATTCCACAGAATACCAGGGTTCACCTTAATATGCATCAAGATGACCTGGGATACATATTTATATATGACCTATATAGGCTATCGCCTTGGATGTTCCGTTGTTGCCGCAGCAGTATATATGTATATATATAAGGAAATTGTAGTCTTGTAAGAAGGGAAAGAAGAAAGTTGAAGGAATACCTAATAGAGGAATAATAGTTGTCATAGAATTCAAAAATGAGATTATCTACAACCATTTTAGCCATATTCATGTTGGTTCTTGAAGTCAACTGTCTCTCAGTTAAGAGATTTTTCGCCCCATCTTCTCCGATGTTTTCGTTGATTGCCCACCACAAAGGCGAAAAATTCCAATACAATTTGGTCAAATTCAATGGAAGTGATATAGTGTTAGGAGGCGATGAACAAGCTTTCTTCGGAAGAATCAAGGCTAGTAATGGATACACATTGAACTTGCCATTGGCCAACGGTACTAATACCACTCACCCATCTAACAGAACTGTTTATGTCGATAAGAACTACAGATTAACCACTACTGCTTTCAAGAACCAATCGAGTGAACATTTCGGTCTTAACAACTCTTTATTGACTTACCAGAACTCGTCCAAATTCTTAGCGTGCCCAGATCCAATCACTAAGGGTCAATATGAAATTTATGCTAGCACCAAAGCTAAGAATGTCACTTGTCCATCTAATTCGACAGGCTTCGAAGTAGACTTATTAGTTCAACTTCAGCTTGATGCAGGAATTAACTATAACCCATCAACTAACAAGGCCTCGTTTTTTGGTAAGAAATGAGTTGCATGAATAGATTTCGCAACTATTGAAAAATTTCGCAATTTGTGGAATTAATTATTTTCCTTTTCTTGTAACGCTTGTATTACTGTATAACATTTTATTCTAAGTTGTACCGTTTTTGATTCCCAAAATTATTTGTTGTATAACTATTAAATTGTCAAAATATCATTATTTCTTTATTTTGTAGAAAAATTGAAAAACATTATCAGCAAACAAATCAAAAGAGTATATTTTCAACTGCTATTGTTAATAGGATTTCACTGAAGAAGATAAAAGGTTAGCAATAAAAGTTAGGTAGATACTACGTCAAATTATTTTATTAAATCACTTTGTTCACTTATAAAATTAACATGTAAAAACTATTCGCTCATATACGGTCTGTCAAATTTAAGATTTAATTATGCATTAATGGAACTACTTTCGTCGGACTCAAACTTGCTGAAATTTTCGTCCAGAATATCCTTTTCGCTATTATCGAGGTAATAGTTAGAAATGAATAAACTAGCAGCAATAAATTCCATGGTTGTTGCAAGACAGTATTCGTAAGCAACGAAATCTGAGGTGAGGCCTGCCCCATCATAGTTCGAGAGTTGATAGTAGTTCATTTTGTCTATGAAGATAGACAATATTCCAAATATACCTCTAACAAGCAAGAATGGTGAGGCTGCAAACAACAAGTAGATTGTGTGTCCTCTGACTTTCTCTCTGACGTACACATATACCAGAAGTAAAATTACAATAATAGTTTGTATGAGGAAGATGGCTTGTCCCGCTGTCCTCAACCCTTTCGACGTATTAATCTTGTCGGTCTCTTGGTCCCATCTATCAGTGTCAATTCCTGTCAACGTAGTACCACCACCAATAACAAGAGCATTTGCTGGGACCAATACCAAGTGAAAAACAGTTGACCACGACAAACAAGATGTATGCTTGAATTTGCTTGCTTCTTGCTCTTCTTTGCGTTCTTCTTTACATTTACACAACCACGATCTCCCATTTTGTCTTATCTGGCACTGGACAATAAAATAAAATGCTGCAATAATTAACGAAAAGTACCCTTCTGCAGTAAGCACCAAATATGCGACTAGCCATGGCCAATACTGAATTCCCAACACTGCAAACGCAACACCACATAATTGTCCACCCACTCTAAATATTCCAAATGCCAACAATGCCGTATATATGGATTTAAACCCTTTCTTTCTGACAACATTTATAGCCAACAAAAGGTACAAGGTATATAAACCCAAATATATACTGGCTGCGACACCTGAACTAGTTGATTCGAATCCCATGTTAGTATTATCTATTTATTATTATAAGCAATTTTAATATTATGAAATCAATTGCATATATCTAAGCTATCAACACAGTCTTCATTTAATGCAACCCTTACTTACCATTTATATAGTATTCCAACCTTTATGTGTATAAAAAAGAATTGGCATTTAATCTGCGCTTACGTAAGCGCCGTTTTTAGATGCGAAATCGTTCTATTGTTCAGCCGTACATTACAGTCACGAATTCTGTGGCCTCTTACGGCGAGATCGTAGAGCTGATCTATAGGTGATACATTTGGCTATGTTCAGTTATCTGTGGGGTTTATTTATGTAATTTATGGGGCATAAGCGGATGAACTTTTGAGTCTACTGCTTCATAGGACAATAGACTTCAAGAACATGTGTGTCATGCAATGGGTGTTTTCTAGAGGTAGTCTCTAGAGTCAATCACTCGAAGTTGCGACTAATTTGGCTTAGAAAACGACTGCGTTCTCGTAAAAACAGTGAAAGGAAATCCTACAGAGATTGTTAAAACGCAATACGTGACAGATCCCCCATCCTCGACTGAAGGCTCAGATTCTGCCTCATCTTCTGGATCATCTCTTGTTTGATGCACCCTGAAATGCGAATTCTGCGGAATTACACAAGCCTCAAGACACACGTTGAAAATTAATTCTGACCCTCTCTGAATCACGGAGATAATGAAATCTATCAGAAGAACTACTTTTGATTAATTCGTTGAGAAGAACAAGAAATCTTTCCGCCTACAAAATTTTTTTTTTCTCTACATAGTTACGGCAATTCACAACCTTTAAAATTTGTTCTCTAGAACTTGAGTAACAGTCTATAAGATGATTTTATTAAAATTAGTGACGGATAAAAGTAAAAAGTTAAGTAGTCAATAGGTAGAAATGAATTAAAAATAAAACTATTCACTCACAACATCGTTTGACCATATTTTATAAAGGGGCCTATCCACCATTATCAAGACCGATTCATGGCTTCTATAAACTTTCCTCGGACTCAATCTTGTTGAAATTGTCAGATTCAGATACCTTCAGATCATTGTCAAGATAATAGTTGGAAATCAATAAACAGGCAACAACAAACTCCATCGTTGTCGCGAGACAATATTCGTAAGCCACAAACTGCGATGTTAGACCTGCTCCGTCGTAGTTCGAAAGCTGGTAGTAGTTCATCTTGTCAACATAAATAGATAAAATCCCAAATATACCTCTTACTAGCAAGAATGGAGATGCTGCAAACAACAAATAGATGGTACGGCATCTGATTCTCTCTTTGACGTATACATAAATCAGAAGTAGAATTACAATGATCGTTTCGATGAGAAATATGGTCTGTCCAGCTGTACGTAATCCTTTAGACGTATTCACCTCTGATTGCTCTTCACTTAACCTGCTAGGATCGAGCCCAGTCAACATTGTACCTCCCGCAATGATGAGGGCATTCGCAGGGATCAAATTAATATGAAAGCAAAACGACCACGATATGTTGGAAAACCGATTCAAAACCCACGATCTATGCTTCTTCTCACCACTACCTTTCTTTTTTTGCAACCAAGAGCTCCCTGTTTGTTTTACCTGACTCTGAATGACAAAGTGAAATGCTGCAATAATCAACGAAAAATACCCTTCTGCAGTAAGAACCAAATATGCAATAAGCCAATGCCAGTGCTCAATCCCCAAAACCCCAAATGCAACACCGCAAAGCTGTCCACTCACTCTAAACAACCCAAACAACAACAAAATCCTATAAAGGAAGTGGAACCCCTTATGTCTGACCACATTTATAACCAACAAGAGATAAATTGTATATAACGCCAAGTATATACTTGCAGCAACTCCTGCACTAGTCGACTCAAATCCCATAAGTCTTTTTTAACAATTGATTTTCTTATTACGAACTGTAAACCGTAATGATTTCTATGTCTTCAGTTCTCCAGACCATCGTATATATTCGAGACCATGCCTTATATTTATATTGTATTGAACAGTAAGATATCCATATACGGCTTAGGTAATCATCGGACTTATTGACGTAAAAATAACTTGTTCAGCCGGATGAGTTTTGACAGTAGTGACCCGACGCGATCCGTTATCTTGAAATTTTAGGCTTAGGTCCCATTCGTCATGTTAGCTGGTGTACAGGGTGCTTGATTTTGGTAATAGATTCCACAATTTAACTTTCGGCATAATAGAAACAAGAAGTGCATAAAATCTACAAAAATATTATTTTCATTATAGGTGCAAAACTTCGAACTACCTTGGCTTATACAGTATTCTCATGACTCGATGGCATCATTTTATTGTAGATATGCATATTTTTGTATAATGTGGATGTCAAACAGACTTGAGGTCTCATTTTTTTTTTAGTAACTGCGGACTAGGTGAGACAGTGAAATCAAATATACCTTCAACTTTACAAGTTTCATGATTTAAGGAGACACGAACATCAATTAGATAGATATAAGTTAATCAATACACAATTGCACTTTTGAATTGATTTGTCTAGGCCTAGTAATTGATCTAGTAAGATAAATTTTATTGAAAACTAAAGATTGTTTGGCGCAGTATATAATTTTAATGCGAGCATGACTCGTGTAGACGGTACAATGAAAGAACTAGACCATTAAAATGTTCCGCAGTAAGACTACAGAAGGACTACAATAGTTAGGATCTTTTTGAAGAAGCTTTCCTTTTCGAACTCCTTGATCTTCTCTCGGTCAGCCACTTTTGCATCTCGGTCAAGGTAGTAATTGGAAATCAATAAGCATGCAGCCATAAATTCCATTGTGGTGGCAAGACAGTATTCGTATGCAACGAAACTTGGAGTTAAACCTTCCGCAGTATAATTCGAAAGTTTATAGTAATTCATCTTGTCAACATAAATGGACAAGATTCCAAATATACCTCTCACAAGCAAAAATGGGGAAGCTGCAAACAACAAATAAATGGTGCGACCTCTTATTTTCTCTTTGACATACACGTAAATCAGAAGTAGAACCACTAAGCCTGTTTGTAATAGAAAAATAGCTTGGCCCGTTGTCCTTAAAGCCTTAGATGTGCTAACATTTCCTGTTTCCTTTTGTAATTCTTCTGCGCTGGCCCCTGTCAAAAGTGAACCACCAGCAACGATAAATGCATTGGCCGGAATTAAAAACGTGTAGAAAATACTAGCCCACGACACCGACTTGGGCTTTTTGTCCCATTTTCCAACACTCATTTCCCCGTCGCTCTTTCTACGATAATCCTCTTTTTCGTCGCTTGCATTCTCGTATGCTTCTCTCTCTTCACTTCCATTCTCATCAATTTCCCTTTCTTCACTTGCCCCATCACCATCCTCAACTTCATCTCTATGATTCAGTAGCCACGATCTTCCCTTCTGCCTCACCTGACACTGCACAATGAAATAAAATGATGCAACAATTAATGTGAAGTACCCTTCTGCGGTGAACACCAAATATGCGATTAGCCATTTCCAATGCTCAACTCCCAACTTTGCAAATGCAACTCCACAAAGTTGTCCCGCTACTCTAAATAATCCAAACATCAATAATATCCTATAGATAAACTTGAATCCCTCGTGTCGGACAACATTTATTGCCAATAAAAAGTATGCAGTGTACAATCCTAAAAATATACTGGCTGCAACTCCAGCTTCTGTCGAATCGAACGCCATTGTAAATCTACTAAACTAATATTTTAACTATTATGTACCGTGATAGTACTATCTATTAAAGATATCTAAATGTAATGCTGTCTATATAAGGGCCTTGACCATATTTATGTTCCAAAGATTGGCATGCACCTAAGAATTATTATATAATCGTTCTTCCTAAAGCAAAAAACCTTAATCTAAGATTAGATCAGTACCACTTGAGGTTACAAGGGTGACAATAGGGAGGGGCAGTATCGTAAGTATAAATCTACTTGTAAGGCATAGATAATAGAAAGGATGCTATTGTTATACTCACGTGATTATTCCTAAAAAAAAAATTTCAATATCATCGCTAGTAGATTTAGAGGTGAATAGTAGAATAGACCCTTCGTATAAACCAGTTTGTAGTGAAGGAAAATGGCAGTACACAAGTCCAATGAATATGTGGATGACTCAGGATCAGACTCTGATGGAGAAGTCGAGTTCCAACCGCCAAAACATTTCCATAAATCAAAGCCAGCATCCAATATAAAAATACAGAATGATAAAGAAATCTGGTTGATTAAGACACCAAAGGGGTTCCCATTGAAGGACTTGAAGACTTTACCAGTCTCCTTCACCTCTAAGTCTATTTCTACTGGACCATCACGTTTCAATTTGAATCAGAAAAATTTTCAGGTCAATGAAGAGTTGTTAGGTACCGACACAGAAAGCTCGAAGTACGCCATCCTTACGAACGAAAGCAAGAAGAATTTCAAGATAGTAGGTCAAGATATCAGTCGTTTCTATAACATACGTGAAGCTGTGGATATTCCAGCTATTTCTATGGACGAGGTTATCAAGCCAAGAAAGAACATCAAGAAAATCAAGAACTTGAGAATGAGACATTTCCCTACCGGATACGGAGCTGAAGATTTTGACGAAGCCAAGCCTCAAGTTGGTGGTGAAGATGCTGGTGATAGCGAGAGCGAAGATGACGGAAAGATAGTCAAAAAGGCCAAGATAGAAGAAAAATCCAAGAGCGATAAGAAGGAGAAGAAGGAAAAGAAAGAGAAGAAGGAAAAGAAAGAGAAGAAGGAGAAGAAGAGTAAGAAAGAAAAGAAAGAAAAGCATCATTAAGGCTCTGGTTGAATTTTGCACCCTCTAAAGTCATAGAAACTCCTCTAAGGTCCAAGTTTTTGCATTCGTTTTGATTTCATCTTTTATCCCTTATCTCTTGAATCTATATTCATTTTCATATATATATATCTGTATGTATTGTACAATAAACCGTTTTTCAATATTAATCCATCAATATTAGTTTGCGCACTTGAGATCAAATACAAGAAAATATTTTAAATATACTGTTTCTATTATACAAAACAAAACAGTCATAAATATGGGAAATAAGGCATCTAAGCCGTCGAGGAAACTCGCAAATACGATATCGAAGAATACAAATACAAATATTAATCGTTCATCCAATATTAACCAATTGCCATCAGAATTCTTAAAGGAAAAGTACGAGCAGAATGCCATTCAAAAAGAACTTAAAGAACACCAAAAACAATTCACACCGGATGAGAGCCTCAATCAAGGTGACCAAATGCATATATTAAACCCTAATACCAAGTTTGACCCCAAGCTTTTGAATAAAAAGCTCAAAAATTCACAGCAAACCAAACCGCAAGCACCAGCACTGCAGAAGAGTCAACCACCCCAAATGCCGGAAGGAAAAGACGGATTTGACCCTCATGTTGGTTCTTATGACCAAAATTTCATCAATTCAGTTACAAATTTGGGTAAAAATATACATTCCACTACATCTGATTCACAGATAAACCCAAACTTTTCGGCATTAACTCAGTTAAAAAATCGTAAAACGTTATATGAGAAAGGACAGAAAGAACTAGAGACACAAATGGATCCTCACGGGCCTGCCTCAGCCTCTCAGCTTGGTGAGAATAAGGATGCGATCAGAACCATGATTCATCCCCGTACCATGGGTGCTATTTTAAACGATCTCAGAGATCCAAGAATGACCAAAGATAGGATCACTTTAGACTACCAATTACGTCCAGGGTTTTTGCAAGAACTTGGTTCTAGATTTAAGGTTGCTACTACGACTCAACCTCTTGAAGAGCATACGAAAGACGATGAGATCGCTCCGAAGGAGGCTCCAAGTAAATCCATGATGGATTTTAACGAAAACGACGAGTTGGCCGAATCAGTTGATCAAAATAGATTGAATGCATTGAAAAGTAGATTGGGTATGGATGATGAACCTGAAAACACCGATCCTAAGAAGAGTTGATGTTCTTCAATATATTCGTGTATAGTCTTGTAAATACTTAGTGTGCTCGGTTTGACGGATCCACGGACTCTGGGGTCAAAGAAACAAACGAATTGTAATTTTCCACACCGTACTTTCTTCTGTAATTATATCAATTAACCGAATTAAACCAATTGTATTGTCAATAATGGCTTCTGTATCTAAAAAGTTCACCACAAAAGAAATAATAACGATCTTATCGAAGTTTACTCCTTGCGATGTTTCTGATTCCTTGGTTCAGCATGGAATCAGTAACGGGGGTTACATTCCAAATTTACAAATTCGTTCACCAGCGACTGTCTCCGAGCAAAATAAGACGTCCGTAGGGCCTGCCTATACTGTTTTGTATGCACCAAAGTCTGATCCAAGACCCGCAATTAAAGAATCATACATCGATAATATTCCAGAAAATAGTATATTGGTAATTGGTTTACCCCCATCCTGCCAAACCACAAATGCCCCATACGTGACTGTTAACAATGCTCTCTATGGTGGTCTTATGTCTACTAGAGCCCAATATAGAAATGCCCATGGGTCTGTAATTTTAGGCAGAATTAGAGATTTAGATGAGCACAACGATCTTGGTTATCCAGTCTGGTCATATGGAGTAGGCAGCACAGCTCCAGGGCCTGTTGTAAAGGTAGTCGGGATCAATGTTCCTTTGGATATAACTGTTGCAGGAATCGACTCAAACGAAAATCTTAAGGTCAACCCTGGAGACATTATGATAGCAGATAAAAATGGTGTAGTTAGATTACCTGTTTCTGGACATGAGGGCAAAGAAGGACAATTAGACTTTGAATCAGTTATAGACTATATTCCCAAGAGAGTGGATGCTGATACGAAAGTAAGTGAAGATATAAAGCTGGGAAAGCCTGCTGCTGAAGCTCAAAAGTTTTGGCGAAGCAAAATTTAATATAGAGATAATTTATAGTATCGTATATTTATTCTTACAATTAAATTGGCAGTTAGCCTCCTATTCACTACGTTTAGTTCATAATGTAGGTATTAACGCATGTATTTGACTTCATATATAACAAAAGAAGATAGGCTTATCTTTGTGGAGTCCTCGCGCACAAAACGTCATAATGAAATCCAATCTGATTAAGTTAGTACTAGAGAGCAATAAGACCACAAATTATTAGTTTAACCTGTAACTATGCCTTTAGAATTAAAGTCAAGGGCCAATTCTGAGACTTATGAAGAAATCTCTGATAATTACGCTGATTTAAGGGTTACACTTATAGGAAATAATGATTTGAAATATAAATTGATCGGGGATACTAAGTTTATGGAGAGGTTAGTTCATGAATTCAGTATTGTTATCAACAAGGCGGTTTTGGACCCGAATTACTTCTTCTCCAATAATATTAACGAATTCTTGAATGATTTAGAACATAAAATCGTTGTGGTGAAAATCTTATCCTCATTTATCACAGAAATCAGTCCGAACAACAACCCAAATATTTCAACCAGTTTGAATGAATTCGAAGGACTAATTCAGCCAATGATTTCTTTCGTGTCATATTTCATTGAAAAGTTTGCTCCTTTGATCTATAGTCATACATTGGATGATAATTTGGTCCATACTCTCGAAATAATGGTTGAATATTGTCTCGATATATTTGTTGCTCTTTTTAACAATAAAAGCTATGGTACTTTGTTTGAAAATGATGGAACAAACAAATTATGGAGATTTATTACTTCATTGCTTATTATTACGTACGATGCATCGGACATTTCTGAATTGATATTGACTAAACTGTTGAAATTAGTGCCGGTATTACTTAATAATGCTAGATCACGCACTAGTATACATGAGCCATTAGTTACACTTTTATCTACGCTTTTGAAGAGGTTATCAAAGGAGTGCAAAACATTGTGCCTGTCAAATTTCCCTGCAATTGAATTTACCCCAGAAATAGTTAACAGAGCCGGATTTGAAGACCCTAATTTACCCAATCTTGAATTGAATCCATATATTTTTAGAACGAAAGTGAATTTATTATTATTGACTGATTTAATTACTTGCACTGCTCAGATTTTCAGTTTTCTGAATGATAATAAATATGGTCTTTTTATTAACTCATTACTAGATGTTGACAAACAAAACCAAGATAATGCTTTATTTCTGCCCGATGTCTACCTTACCATGTTGTTATTAATCAAGTATGAAAACAAAGCATTGAATTTAGCTGCATTGAATTTGGTATATTTTCATTTGAATAATTTAAAGCAGTATTCGAATCAAGCTGATACTGAAAAGAGAGAGGAGTCAATATTCAATAACTTTAAGAAGATCACTCCAAAGTTAATAGAATTATTAAGCTTAGATGACAATAAATTTGTCAAGCCCACAACATTACCGATATTTTTATTATCACCAACTAAAATATTAACCAATTTAAGCTCACAATATCCTTCTATCAGTGATGAATTGAGAAAGAACAATGTAGACTACAAAATAATGAAGGGTTTGGAATTACGGTTTAAGTCTAGTCAGAAATTAAAGTACTTCAGACTATTGAAACTGAACTCTCAAAATTGTACCAAATTGGTGGATTTTACGGTGATGATGAATTATCTTCAAGAAACAAATTTGAACAGTCTTAGTGATTTGCTTTTATTGTTAAGTGTATTCACAAGCAAGAAAGAGGAATATCGTGAAAGAGTTGTCAATTACAAACTTACAGATACTAAGTCAAAACACCAACATACATTTTCACAAATGGTGTTTGAATTAATTGATGATTATAGGTTCATACTAATTCAAATTCAATTAGTACATAGAATACTATATCCTAAGGACAATATTAAGAAATTTTCAGAACAAGATATTCCTTGTTTAAGTAAGAATTTGGGCGTTATGATCACTTTAGTTAATGATCCAGCTTACACTAATGTTCTTTACTTGATTAGGTCGCTTTCTAGATCCGTTGCATTATTAAGAACATTTTTTGTTGATTGTAACTCGATTGTCAGCGAAATTGATATTGAAACAAGCTCAAGCGACATTGCTAGATCAAGATATGCCAGAGATAGAAATTCTTCAAGTGGTGGCTTTATAAGTAACATTTTGCAAATTCTTAAAGGGAATGAAATTTCTAGTAAACTTATTCAATTTTTCTGTAATTTTAATTCTGAAGAAGATACTGGAAAGCAGCTTAATAAATCTCAAATGCTCAACAAATCTATTACATTAGGGACAATAGCAAACTTTGTGCTTGATTTTAGCTCTTTCCGTTATAATATAGTTAATGATGAGGGCTTTTTAAAGAATTTATCAGTTATCTATAAAAACTCGTTGGTGACAAACCAAAATATTTCTGCAGGTAAAGTCGATGATGAAGAAATGTTCCAGAAAAATACAATACAATTAAGTATTTTACAAATCTTGAAAAATTACATGTACAATGAGAATCAAGAAAATAAAAAAGAGTTAATTGAATATTTTCCAATATCGATATTATTCGATAAAATAGTATATGGGGTGGCTAAAACCGGGAATATTCCTAGCCATGGTATTGGAAGCGAAAGCGAGGAAATTAAAGGCTTGAAATTGCAACAGAAGATTGTAGCTTTTGACATTCTAAGAAATTTGACCGCGGGTTCGCCATATTTCAGTCAATATTTAATCGATGCATATGACAATAAGTTGGGCGATGATGTCAAAAGAGAAGATAAGCTTCCATTAAGTTGGGCAGATTTTGTCATTGAGAATATTACAAATTTTGAAAATTTTGAAGGAGTACATGAACGAGTAAATCTAAAGAAAGAATTGTTCTATGATGATTCGTTTTTGTTATCCTTGATGGATAATAATGACTATGTGTCATTGGTATTGGCCATAAACTATATCGAAGACCACAAGTTCACAAATATAGAAAAGTTTAGAGAAAGATTGCTTCCGAAAGAATCACTTTTGAAAGTGTGGAAACGGTTTCTCAATCTTAGTGTTACCGAGGGGTTTGAAAGCCAGTTGGATTTCAATTCGAAAATTAATATCAATAATAATCTTAATTCGATCAAGCTAAGCATTGTGTGGATCATAATCAACTTAACATGGAAAAATGATGTGTTCGAATATACCTTCCCCGGGACAGAAAATGAACCCAGAAGAAGTGAAGGTGATCACTACAGAATTTATGATACGGTAGAGAGTTCGCCCAATAGAAGAACCAGCTCAGCGAACGACCGAATTGATATCGACAATTCGGACGATTCAGACAATGAAAAGAAAGAGGCAAATGACGACAACGAAAACAGCTCCAATCGCAATAATCATAGTGATGCTACGAGCAATCTTATAGTGGGGGAGTCGGATGAAAAGGTTACTACTCCCACCGAAAGAGCAAAAATATTGAAAAAATATGGGTTTCTCGAGGTACTCGACAATCTCATCGGGCAATTAGGAAATTACGAAAAGACTAATAGAAACAATTTAGATAAAGGATACACGGGACAGCGATTCGATTACTTTATGAGCAATGACTTGCTTGAAAAAATCAAAACTGCTCGCTACCAGATATTCTCGCTTGAATCCGGAGGCCATATTAGTTTCAGACCCAGGCAGACAAGACCCAGCCAGCAGATCGATCGCACTATAGCACAACGGCCCTCATCAACTACAGCAAGTAATAGTGCTGCTGTTACGGCTGCTGTACTTGCAGCAGCGGGTGCTGGGTCGGGGACCAGTGCAGTACCTAGGTTAATCGCAAGACCCGATGTAAACAGAGGCGGTGAAGGCTACGGGTATGGTTCGGACGAAGATTTCACCGATATCTCGCCGAGTGCACCCAACGAGACGCAGGTTAACGACGACGAGGATATGGAAAACGTAGACGACGACGATAATGATGATGATGATGATGATGACGACTCGATCGACGAGGATTGGATTCATTAATCGTTAAAGCAGTGTTTTCGCGGTTGGGCCGGTCTCATCAAAGTTCTGAGCCCTCTAGCTCTTCTTACAAGGAGTTCTTGAGCAATGCTATACATATATAGCTGGTTAATTAGCCTTTTGCAGATCGTTGTGCACAGATCAACCATCTTGACCCAACATTATGCATATGTCCATATATGCCGCGGTATGGCCGTTTCCGCAAGATTTCCGCAAGGACCCGCAAGAATATGTCGGTGTCCTCGGTGGCTAGAGCAAGTTTGCGTATTAGTTAGGAACCAATACGACACCAAGTGAACTCCAGCATCGCTTGCACTAAGCTTATCTTGAGTCGCATGGTGACATTATATAGTACATGTTGAATCAAATTGCCTACACTATATCTATTACTATTACCCTACTATGTTACTATATTACTATTATTAGACTTTGTGTAGCATTACATGGCATTAAACTACTATGTACTTTGCGCATTCTACACCAGCATACTATACCAAATTTGTTCTATTCACTTTACTATATTCGTTGTAGCATACTTGCTGTTGTGTTCTCTTCCCTGTTCTGTCTACTGTCCGCACTCGCGATTTCTATATGCATCGCATATCGGGAGGTACCGTATTGCCTCGTCTACTCTGTATATGTAAAACAAAAATACCGCTAATTCATTACTCTAATACCCGCAACACAATTACAATTCACTTCAGCCTATACAATTACAGCCAATACACTACAACCTATACACTACAGCCTATACACTACAGCCAATATAACGAATTCACCACAGCCAATACTACTACTTCCAATTCTAACACAATGAATACAATTAATACAGCCAAGACAAGACATCCATGCCTCTACCCATAACCCAATCCTTAGCCACGCGTAAATGTGATGTATCACTAGTGATGTATCCCATTGTGATATAAACATATGTGACGTATAACCGCCGCCGGAGCGTAAAAAGAAAAAAATTTGGTAAATTATATACAGTCTACCGAATTTGTTAGTACCCTTATTTACTAAGGACATTCTGGTATTTACACGGGTCCTTAGACGCTGAAAAAAACAGAAAGGTGATGTAATCATATGGTCTAATTAATAGATTATCTCTTCTTTTACCAGGAATAACATATTGTCGGTGATTATAACGATAATTATACGCAGTTTTATTAGTAGAAAGTGATCTAGCTGAAGCAGGGCGGATTTTTGATAACAAGAAACAGACACGTTCATCTAAAGGTAGTCAGTGTTTTATTGGGACAGCTGTGACAAGATGACGTCGATGGAGCATAATGAGACCAGTACCAAGTCGCTAAACGATATATCGCTAGAGGAGTTGAGTAAGAGACAGCAGCAGCAGAATATATACGTGCAGCCGGTTTTGGGGTCGCAGACCGACGATAACCGCATGAGCATCGACAATCAGGGCGACGCCAACACAGAGGACGGAGGAGTGAGCCAGGCATCCAAAGGAGGACCATCAGACACAGGCGCAGACAAGAATGAGAAGACGCTGTCGGCGGCCGAGTTGACTAAAAAGGAGTCGAGACATAGTGACCGTGATACCACGACCAAGGGCAAGTACACGTTGAACGACTTCCAGATCTTGCGAACATTAGGAACTGGGTCTTTTGGTCGGGTGCACTTGACACGGTCGATACATAACGGGCGTTTCTACGCCATGAAGACGTTGAAGAAAGAACGAGTAGTCAACATGAAGCAGGTTGAACATACAAACGACGAAAGACGCATGTTAAAGCTTGCGCAGCACCCATTCATCATCAGAATGTGGGGCACCTTCCAAGATTGCCATAACTTGTTCATGATCATGGACTATATAGAAGGAGGTGAGTTGTTCTCGCTCTTGAGGAAATCCCAACGTTTTCCAACCCCAGTAGCCAAGTTCTACGCAGCCGAAGTATTTTTGGCCATTGAATATTTACACGAGTTGGATATCATCTATCGTGACTTGAAGCCAGAAAACATCTTGTTAGACAAGAATGGACACATCAAGTTGACCGACTTTGGCTTTGCAAAAGAAGTTAGCGACGTTACATACACATTATGCGGAACTCCCGATTACATAGCCCCAGAGGTGGTGGCAACAAAACCTTACAATAAATCTGTAGACTGGTGGTCGTTCGGGATCTTGATCTTTGAAATGCTCACTGGCTACACGCCATTTTACGACCCTACCCCAATGAAAACTTATGAAAATATATTAAATGGTACAATTACCTACCCTGACTACTTGCCGCCGGACATTTTGGATTTACTTCAAAAGTTAATCGTAAAGGACTTATCCCAGAGACTTGGTAACTTGCAGGATGGCTCTGATGGAATAAAGAACCACCCGTGGTTTAAGGAAGTTATATGGGAAAGGTTACTTTCGAGAGATATAGAGACTCCTTATGAACCCCCTATTACATCTGGTATTGGTGATACTTCTCAATTCGATAGATACCCTGAAGATAAAGATTTGGATTACGGTATCAGTGGTGTTTCTGACCCTTATGCTTCTATGTTTGGTGATTTCTAATCTTCCTTTCGAGCGGTTAACGTGATAGGCGTTATTTTACGTTTTGTACAATAGATCTTTTTATCGTTTTTATTTCCAATGATGATCATTTTCCATCCTTTAAGGGTTAATTTATATTATACATTTCCTTTCATTTATCATAATTTTGTTTATTATGTCCTGGTAAGTTACAACCTGTCTATATTTATATTTCATACAGAATATAATAAACAATATATACAGTTCTCTAATTAATGCAATCGTAGCAGTTGTATACCGATGTCATCCAGTCACCTCTGATAAATTCGTCCGAAGTTAATCTTGTTTCAGGATTTGGATCTAATAATTTATACATGAACATTTTACGTAATTCACATAGTTGTAATTCATCGTCATCTAATTGACACTCAAAACCTCCAGTTCCTTCGTCGTCCTCATCCTTTGGGATTACAAACAAATTTTCAATAGGTCTAAACCTACCCTCTTTCTTAATCAACCACTCTTTTGTTGTGTTATCATAATCCGCTATCATTCTATTCTTCGTATACTCTTCAAATACCTTATCCCTATATCTCTTCTCCTCAGCTTTCTTCAAATGATGCATTTTCATATCTGTACAATGCCATAAGTATCCAGAGCTATATTCGTCAAAAATCCCACTATATTCAGCAGGCTTGTCATCATCACCATCCAATTTGTTATGGATAAAGTACTGTTTACTTATATTAAATAATACTAGTATCACAATTCCCAAGGCCCAATTATCTTTACTTCTCGCAGAATACCCTCCTGTTTTATTCATTTTACCGAGATGCTCCTCTGGAGCCATATATGGCTCTGAGCCAACAGGTCCATTGACATAAGGTATTAATTGTTCTTGTTGGTCCCATTTAGTTTTGAAGACGTTCACCTTTCCAAAATCTGATAGCTTCAAGACGATTCTAGTTCTTAGTGGATCTTGTGGATCTGGAGGTAGATAATTTACTAAAATATTTTCAAGCTTAAGATCGCAGTGGGCCACCCCATGTTTATGCATATACCATAATCCTTTCGATATTTGTTTTATAAAGCAATCAACTTCATCAAGTGATACACTTCGTATAGGCTGGTTTCCTTTGTCGGTGGTAGTTGACATATATGTAAACAAATCACCACCTGTAGTACACTCCATAACCTGACTGATTTTTATGCACTGACTGAGCTCACTGGCTTTCTTAGAGCCTGTAGGTGGCAATGTGACCATCAAATCCACTGTCTTTACTATATGTTTATAATTCAAAGTTGAGGATACAATGAACTCAGATATCACTCTATCGATAAATTGTTTCTGAGACTCTTTTTGTTTTACATCAGTTCCGGGTCGTTTTTGCAATTCTTTCACTGCATAAAATACATTTCCCGGAGCAATCTTCGTTGTTGACTTAAGTGTTGCATCGGTTGCATTAGGGTCAATGATCTTTATTAGTCCATAGGCACCTCTCCCTATTATATCTCTAACCACACCGTATCTATCATAAACAGTCTTACCATTGCGCAAACATTGAATCAGTTCTGACGGTAAACCTTTCAGGCTTAGAACTTCATCAAGTTTTATCTGTAGCTTTTCAATTAACTGTGCTTGTTTATCCCCGATAACCGATTCGGTCAATTTTGGATCCTTTCTGTTCGACGTGCCCGACAAGCGATGTATTTTCATATTTTGGTCAAGCAACGAAAATGTTCTTTTCAGCTCTTCGTTTGCAAGTGCTGCTAATGTCTCTGGATTGGTTGCTGTCGAAGTTATCCCACAGTACCCCATTATGCTCGATAGTTGCGATACAAGATTACTCTGAATCGAAAGACTCTTTCCTCTAATCTTGATGGCATGCAAATGTTCTTCTTCGTAGTCACTATCATCCGAATCAGAATCAAGATCATCCAGATCAGTAGAGTCGTACTCCGAATCGAACCCACTGTCTACGTTTTGATTTGCCTCATCCACATCAGCTTCCACAATCGTGCTTGTTCTCTTATTAAGACGTTGTTTGCGTATTTCTTCCACCTTTGCATCGTTGTCTAATCTGACTTTCTGTAGTTCCTGCTCAATTTTATCAGTTGATGAATTTTTCGGCTTTAAAAGACTCTTGATTTTACTCTTGGGTTTACCTGCTGCAGATCCCTGCCCAGACGATGCCGACGCATTCGAAAGCTCTACACCGAGCAGATCCGACGCACTAGATAACGGGGGCGATAGCGATGTCTTTTTACGTTTTGAATGTCCAAATAATGGCATTACCGTGGTTTGTTGGTCCGTACTTCTCACAAGTACTGAACGCTTAGAAATACAATTCCCAGGTAATGCTATTCTGTGCATTTTGAAATATGGTCACGTGATAGAATCCTGTGTCCCAATTCGGTCAGCCATAACAGGCCCCTTCACCACCGACTATACACTTGTGACACGATATCTGTGTGGATACTACTGTGAATACCTTCGTCTACAGCTGTGCATGCTCTTATGTCTCTTCTAGTTTTGAAATAGGTCTCTCAGAAATCAAAGCACCTAAAGCAGCTAGCATTATGCTTATTTTGGTGCTCACGGGAAGACAGCCAACCCCAGATCTTATATTTGGTAGCCCACGAGTTTAAAGGCACCCAATTACTCCTATCTATGTTTATGTAGATTTGAAAATTTGGGATTTGGAATTTGGGGGACATCAATTTAAGTGCCTGCATATATGTTGGCTATTGCAGCCGCCTATACTAAATGTCTCTGCCGCTATAGACCAGTTGATAATATGGTGTGTTTCAGCGGCATATGTGGCTGGTATCCATTCATAGTATACCTTGGAGGATGTTCCGCTTCGCATCCCACGCATGCAAACCAAAGGTAGTATTTTCGTAGTTACATCGTCAAACAAATACGAGCCAATTTACTGTTAATGTGATGTATCCGATTAAGTCACAATCTGGTTATTTTGACCACTTGGGGTCCCCCGTCATCTGCTGTTCAGGAGTATTGCGTTTATCCTTTCTGGTTCCTTCAGTTCAATATCTGGTTCGTTCCACAATCCAAACTATTCGATATTCACTCCGTTGTTTCAATTAGCCGCCCTGTGAATTTGCGCAACAAGTTCCCCAGATAGCAAAAAAAAGCACATACATTCCATTAATTGTGTCCTGTGGATCTACAGCTTCCATGTGAGACATACTACATGCTTTTGACGTCTGAATCCCCTGATTCTAGCCTCCACATTGCTCCTAACATGAAATACACAAAAACGCGTAATTTTAGGACGATTTTTGGTGCAAATCGACAAAGTATTTTCTATGGAGTGAAATTACACAAAATGACGAGATTCTTCCAACTCAAAGGAAATTTGTTTCGTAGGTGTTAGAGGATCATCATTCAAAGCAAGATCACATACCATTAGTTTCTAGTATAGGTGGGAATTTGACAAATATAGAGGTAATAGAGCTATAGGATATCATTTAGGAACCTCTTTCAAACGGTAGAGCCAGAAAATAGAGATCAATGACAAGTATTTATACATCAGACATCAAACATCATAGAAAGGCGCCTCCACCACCTTCCACGTCTAATACGTTCAGAAGCAACAGTAGCAGTTCTGCTAGCAGTTCCAGTAATGATAAACAGTCGATTAAGTTGAATATAAACTCGAATAAAAGGCAATCTGGGTGGGTGCATATTAAGGACGATGGGATTTTCACATCTTTCCGGTGGAATAAGCGGTTCATGATTATAAACGATAAGACATTAAATTTCTACAAGAATGAGCCGACCAATTTACATTCGTTCAACGTGCCAGACTCGAGTCTGGTCAATTCAAATAGTCCAGACTTGTCTTTTCCTTTAAATTTGATCAGCAGTATAAACTTGAAACCAAATTCAGGATACACCAAGACGTCACAAACGTTTGAAATCGTGCCTAAGAATAATGGGAAATCGATGTTGATTTCTATTAAATCTAACAATGACTATTTGGACTGGCTAGACGCGTTTACCACGAAGTGTCCGTTGATCAATATTGGAAATGAGAATTCTACCAACTCGGCATTAATTAATGGTAATACGGGGGTATCGAACCCAATAAACTTCACGCATAAAGTTCATGTTGGTTTTGATCCAGCAAGTGGTAATTTCACTGGTTTGCCAGACACTTGGAAAAACTTATTGCAGCATTCTAAGATCACAAATGAGGACTGGAAGAAGAATCCAGTGGCGGTCATTGAAGTACTTGAATTTTATTCGGATATCAACGGTGGCTCTCCTGGTCTGACTCCAATTAGCCTGCCTTCGATAAACAACAATAATAATAACAATACTAATGGCTCGAGCTTACAAGAATGGACGAAGCATCCTTCCAAACAATTACAAGCATCTCAACAAGAACAACCACAACAATTTAAACCTAGTAGAACTGCGCCTAAGCCACCAGTTCCTTATCATTTGACTCAGCAAAAGTCACAAAGTAATGTATCACCATTAAACAACTTATTGCAGAATTCTGAAAAGCCAGATGCAAAGAACGATTCGCAAAATGACTTGATACCAGTCAGAAGGGCGCCACCCCCTCCAACTTCAAATAAACTTAACCTTAACCTTGATAAAAACAATAGTGCTCCTAACTTACCTGCCGGTCTAGGTATATCAGGTTCTTCAAATTCAATTCCAAAGCAATCACCCCCTTATTTGCCTAAGCAAAAGGATTTAAAAATCCAGACCCCATCTACTGGCCTTAATAAATACCCTTCTCCTCCTTCGAGTGCTCCAGCAGCAGGTCCAAGTTATATCAAACCATTTGGATTGACTTCTAAGCAATCACAATACCTGCAACAACAACAACAACCGTCTCAGCAAGAACAACAAACACCAAAAAGTTCTGGAGCAAAATATATTACCTCTCCGCAGAAGAATGATGAGACTCCAATTAAACCTCTCCAACCTCGTCCTCAAAAGCCTCAACAGCAACAACATCAGCAATCGAATCAACCACAGCTGCAAGTCAAAAAGGTCACCTCTCCACAAATGGGACAAGGTACAATCAAGAGTGCAAAGCAGATTAAGAAAGAGCGTGAAAAGTTAAATGAGATGCAGATTATTGCTAAATTGAAGTCTGTGGTTAATAATAATGATCCAACCCCATTATTCAAGATTATTGAAAAAGCAGGACAAGGTGCTTCTGGTGCAGTCTATTTGGCAGAAACTAAGAGTACTGGTAAAAAAGTTGCTATTAAGCAAATGGATATGAATGTTCAACCAAGAAAAGAATTGATTATTAACGAAATTTTGGTCATGAAAGACTCTCAGCACAAAAATATCGTGAACTTCCTAGACTCGTACTTAAGAGGATCTTCTGATTTGTGGGTTATTATGGAATATATGGAAGGGGGCTCCTTGACAGAGATTATTGAAAATAATGAGTTCAAATTATCAGAAAAGCAAATTGCCACGATATGTTTCGAAACATTAAAAGGGTTACAGCATTTGCATAAAAAGAATATCATACATAGAGATATCAAGTCAGATAATGTTTTGTTGGATGCTAGGGGTAATGTTAAAATAACTGATTTCGGGTTCTGTGCCAAGTTAACTGATCAAAGAAATAAAAGAGCTACAATGGTTGGTACTCCATATTGGATGGCCCCTGAAGTTGTGAAACAAAAAGAATATGATGCCAAGGTAGATGTTTGGTCTTTAGGTATCATGACTATTGAAATGATTGAAGGTGAACCTCCATACTTGAACGAAGAACCATTAAAAGCTTTGTATTTAATTGCCACAAATGGTACGCCGAAATTAAAGAAACCTGAATTGTTATCCAATTCTATCAAGAAATTTTTATCCATCTGCTTGTGCGTAGATGTTAGGTATAGGGCACTGACAGATGAGTTAATTGAGCATTCATTTATTCAACATAAATCAACCGATGTTGCAGTATTAGCACCTTTATTAGAATGGAAGAAAAACCCTCGCCCAGATTATAGCGATGATGAAGACTGATCTGTTTAGTATTTATTATATACTTTGTTTATTGAATATAAATAAATAAATTTGATGTTAAGCAAAACTATCAAGAAAAAAAGTTTAGTAGTTAGCATACATTGATATTTCAAAAAAATGAAATTACAAAAACTTGCGAACTTAAATCTGAGAATTAAATCATATTATTAGACATTACATATTGATAGGCAATATTATCTTCATTCAACTATCCTATTATGATTATAGTAATAGCAATAAATAGTACTATTCTATAAAGCCTTGCAAAACTCACCGAATAAAGTTATTTAAAATATAGACCAGCTACTAAAGAGACTTTCGACTCATGTAACTTAATGATAATAATTTAATACAAAAACCCATAAATATGATGATTCAAGTGAAGGGAAAAATTATTTTAAAGATTAAAATATCATCAAGTTAATTATGAATTTAGTTGGAAGTAAAATTTGATCCCGTTAGAAACAGTTGATTAGAATTATCACTATTATGCACGGAGGGATTAGGTTGGATATTAATTGGGTGATCAACTAAATCTTGATTCAACAGATTCTGAGGTGCTGGAACATAGTTTGAATTGGCATTTGATGCGTTTGTGGTAAACCATCCATTACTATTACTGCTAACTGAGTTTGTGCCACTTGACATATTAAAAGACCCAGGATTAGACACGCTATTATTTGTGGTTGTGCTATTACTTTTCTGTTGTCTTCTCAATGGGTACATATTACCAGCAGCCGAATATCCATTAAAGTTAGAGCTTAAAGGATACTCCCCTCCAATTGAATTACGGTATTGTGGAGTTTGCTGCTGTAAATACTGCGGTTGTGACTGTTGGTGTTGCAGGTAATGTGGGTACATGGAATAATTTGATGGATAATTTGATTGATAACTATCAGCCACTTGATGTTGAAAATTAGAATATTGCAGCTGTGGCAACATATAGTTATTATACCCTGAAGGTCCTGAATTATTATTTGGAAGCCCACTAACTGAAGGTTGAGATTGGGTCGGTGGAATTGATGCTGAATTTGAATTGCTTTGAAAATTAGAAGTATTGGATGTATTTCCAGATGTGAATGGATTCACAAACGAGAAATCATTTGAAGGCGGTAAGCTTGACGAGTAATGATAATCATCCTTATTAGTCAGGAAAGGAGGATGGGACTGGTGGTGCTGGTGTGGCTGGGGTGGCTGATGCTGATGGCGTTGGGGGTGTCCTGATGGAGGTGGTTGTAAAGGTACAGGTAGCATGTGTAAAGTATTGTTATTCGCACCACTGGTTGAAGAATTATACTTCGGTGGTATAAACTGCTGATGCAGTTGACTTTGAGCTCTTGGTTGAAGTTGAGGTGGAGGTGGTAAAGGTGGCTGTTGCAATAATGACATATTTTGTAATTGATAATTCTTATCCAAAAAGTAGTACGCTTCGTCTTCAATAGGAATTTTCCCACCCAACAGCGACTCCTTAACGGCATTCCACAAATTATTCGTTATATTCAAATTTTTCAAGTTAGTATCTGGAGGCCTTTGCAATTTTCCATTCAATACATCATCAACGTTATAATAGCTTATTAAATGGATCGTTTGTTTTTCATCTTTATCGCTAATGTTTAATTCCTTAGACAGGGTGGTTAGGGACAACGTTTTTTTAATCAACCCCTGGTCCTTAAATACGTACGTCGTAACTAATGAGCCAACAAGGTGTTTGTTATAATCGCCATCTACCATGTCTGAACTCAATGGATTCATCTGCCCCATGGGGTTTGGATTTAGATGATTTACACCGTCAGATGAACTATCTTCTAATTGGGTAACACTAACTTTACGCTTCTTCTTTTTCTTGTCATCCTTTTCTCCAAGTGAGTGTTTATCTAACTCACGGTAAATGAGAAAACGTCCCAATATTCGTGATGGTGACCACGCGATACCATCTGTCCATCTTTTGATACCCGAATGCTCTTCGATAAATACAAAGACGTTCCCAGACTTGATCAACGACGCTCGCTCTCTTTCGTGTGGTCTTCTGTGTACTAACTCCAACTGTTTATCCAATATGGCCTGGATGATCATCAACGCATCCTTGGTCGACCCAACGTACCCATA